AACACTTCTTGTACATCAAGGATGTGAATGATTTCAAGCATCGTATGACACGACAGAACGATGCAAAGAATAGACATCTCTCAAGAAATGTGAAATGCAGGTTCTGTGACGACTTCTTCGGATCTCGCAAAGCCGTTCATGATCACGAAGTACAAACACATCGTGAACTTGTCGATGAGAGTGATCAGTACGATTTGTCGAACGAGGAGACTCGGTTGCGATTCACAAACCAGCGATATGAAATGCCAGCACCGGTTGTCGTGTACGCTGACTTCGAGTCAGCAATTGACGACAAGAACAAACACAAGCCCATCATGTTATCCTGTCTAGCCGTGTCTCGCATTCCAGCCATTGACAGCCAACTGCGAGTCTTCCATGCACCACATGAGAGCGAAGAGGATCTTCGCCCTTTCATGGACTATCTCACACAATTGCAGAGCAGAGTGAAAGAGTATCTCTTCGATGAATTACCACTCGAGAACTCTCCGAGTATCGAGAGGGACTTTCGTGCAACAACCGTGTGTCCCTTCTGTCACAAGAAACTGGATAACGACAAAGTACGGCATCATGCACATGTGACAGGTGAATACACCACAGGGAAGGGAGAGGTACGTCACTTCGAAGCAGGGCAGTACATATGCACCTGTTGTACCAAATGCAATCTCCAACTCTCGTTCAACAAGAAGAACTATCGTCTACCCGTATACTTCCACAATGGATCGCACTACGACTTCACGTTCATCATGAAACTCATCGCAGCTCATTCAACCTCTAGTGACTCCTTGGAAGTCATTCCAACCACTGAGGACAAGGAGATGCAGATCGAATACAATGGCATACAATTCAAGGACTCGTTGAAGCTCATCAGCAGTCCACTGCGTTCCATCGTCGCACAGACACTCGGAGGCAACCTCGATTTGTATGTGCACACCAAACAACAACTACGCAAGTACTGTGAATCACGAGGTAAGCAATGGAATGACGAGTACATCGATCTGTTGACACGGAAAGAACCCATGTTTTACAGTCTCATCAAATCGTACGACACATTGACACTCCCCCCATTCCTTCTCGTGAACAATGCATTGATGATATGAAGGGAGAAATGATGCCCCAAGGCGAATATGATCACATGGTGAAACTGTGGAAGACCTTCGATATCAAGACATGGGGTGAGTACTACGAGTTGTACAATGTACTCGATGTAACTCTCATGGCTGATGCATTCGAGCACTTCCGCGTTACCACACTGAAGGCATTCGGTGTTGATCCGATGCACTACATCACAGCACCACAAATGGCCTATTCGCTCTTCTTGAAGGTCACAATGGAGGGCGATCATAGCGAGAGTAGCCTCATGACCCTCGCAAGGAAATGGGCTCAGTACATCATGCGCATCAACGCGAATGAGGGACTTGAGGAGAAACAACTCGTGAAAGTGTTCTTGAATCGCATGGGTGAATTCTATGAAAGCAAGGGAATTCGATTGATGGAGACAAATGAGATCGATGACTTCATGCGTCTACTCAAAAACCTTCGAGGAGGCATCACACAGATCGTGAAAAGGCATGCCAAAGCCGACCTTGACAGCACCGCCAACAACGGAGAACAATCATCCATCTACTACCTCGACGCCAACAACCTGTATGGTGGAGCCATGCACAGAATGATGCCTTACGAATTAGTGGGTGTACCCGAACGACGAGAAGTAATGGAAAGGATCAACCGTGATCCGAATGGGTGGGTGCAATCACTCAAGACATTCGGTAAATATGGGTTCTTCATCGAGTGTGATATCGAGGCACCAGTGGAGCTGCACGACAAGTTCAATGACTTGCCATTCTTCCCCGTACAGAAGGCAGGTATGTACTCAGATGGAATCAAGAAGTACGCAGCGAAGAACGATATTGTGGACAAGGTCAAAGAGGTGAATACACCGAAACTCATCTGCGATCTTGTGCCTCGGCGCAAATATCTCGTGCACTACTCTCTGCTGCAATTGGGTCTTCAACAGGGATATCGCGTCACACACATCTACCGCATCATCCGTTTCAAACAAGCACCCTTCATCTTCGAATACGTCAATATGCTCAGTGAAAAACGAGCCAAATCAAAAACCACCGTAGAAAAGAACCTGTACAAATTATTAGCAAACTCCACCTATGGCAAATTCGTTGAGACTGGACTGAAGCGAATGAAGGTGAAGTTCGCCAACACGTGGAATGAACGCGAGGCTATCATTCAGAAGCACGGATACGACATGATTGCTGGAACAACCATGTATTCCGAGAATCTCATCGGCATCAAGCTGAACACACCGGTGCGCAGAGTGGAGAAGCCATTCTTCATCGGGTTCGCTATCCTCGACATGTCGAAGCACATCATCTACGATTTCTACTACAACGTGCTCAAGACGACATTCAACAGTGTGGAGTTGTTGGGACAGGACACGGATTCGCTCATCGTGCAGTTGAACGACCGTGGTAACATCGTCCACAAAATGTGCGATATGTACAAGTCGTTTGACTTTTCTGAGTTGGATAATACGAGCTACTTCTACGGAGAACTCGTAAAATACTACGAGCATGAAGTGGACAAGAGAAAGTTCCCTTCATTGGAATCATTCCTCAACTTCAACAAGAAGTTGCCGGGACCCATATTCAAGGATGAGCATAACGGGCATCGCATCACTGAATTCGTGGGACTTAGACCAAAGATGTACTGTTTGATTGACGAGAAGCATGTAGTGCATAACGCAGCGAAGGGAGTTCCTCGCAATGTGGTGATTGATGGAGAGAGGATGAGCGTGAAGAACATCGAGCTGTACAAGCGCGTCCTTGAGGCAGAGAAGAAGGAAGATGCAGTGATCGAAGGTACTTTCAAGCGTATCAACAACCAGGCCTTCAATATCAGCACGAAGGAGCAAACCAAGACACTCATGACTTGCACGGATAACAAACGTTGGATCTTGGACGACAACATACACACACTTGCATTCGGGCATTATAGACTGAAGTAAAGGAAGCAATCTTTCACTTTGGACATCCATGGATACCATGGCCTACAATGGAAGTCAGGTTAACATTGCAGAAATTGGCCGAAATTGGCAGCCATGGGTTTCCGCGCGTTTCTTGTTATGGGTATCGAGGTGACCAGGTAGACAATGGCAGGAAATGGCAGGAAATGGCAGTCATGGGTTTCCGCGCGTTTCTTGTTATGGACATCGAGGTGAGCAGGTAGACAATGGCAGAAAATGGCCGAAAATGGCCGAAAATGGTCGAAAAAAGTTCACCGCGGTTATTTGGTAGAAAATGGATTTTCGCGCATCTATCGCCTTTTCCCTACTACTTATATACCTTAAGGGAAACGAGATACGTAGAACGGACAAGGGATATATGAAGTTAATTGAAGGTTAATGAGGAAAATGAGGAAGATCAAGTATTATTTGTGAGTTGAACCATGATATATATAAGCATTTAATAGCTATTTTTTACAATCACTCTCTTTCTTTCTCTCTTTATATATATATTTTTTTACAAGAGAAATTGATTAGTATGTTCATAAAAACTACAAATATGGGTACTCTTCTGAATTGATATTTGATCCACATAACTTATTTTGGTTTAAGTCAAGCAGTTTCATCAGTTTTGGTTTGATACGGAGAGTTTTGAATTGGATCAGTCTTTCATATTTGTTAAATCTATTTCTTTTCTTGAGGGTGTTATTCTTATCAATATAACCATTGATCTATGGATAGGTAAACAATAAAAATACGAACTTTTCGACTTTTTAAGTTGCAAATCATCAGAATCAATTCAAAGCAGTCGATGTAGTTTCATGGATATTGCTGGTATATTTGAATTAAAGAATCTACTACATTTACAATGCATTCACATTGGTACAATTGGAAGTGGTTCATCATACAATTTCTTTTTATAAATCCTATGTTATCAGCATCTATCAAGTGATATTCAATATGCAGTAAAAACACTTTATGTGTTACCTCATATCACTATGAGGAATTGAGGATCCTATATAACTAATCAGGAGTATAAAGTATATTAATGGTATTATTTCTTAATAGATTGTATGTGTGGATGTCTTTCATGCTCACTCATTATTCATGAGTATTGAAATAATGCATTCTTGGTTTATACAAATAGAATTGGTTTAAACAATACAAATCTGGTTTGTGCTATTCGATATACAATCCGTTTTTCTTCATTGGATGTATTTTTATATCAAATATAACCATTAACCAGATACGGGGCTTCTGTTAGTATCCTATCTGAATATAGTACCTGCTATGTATTCAATTAGCCAGTATTCCCTCATTTCTTTCACTCGAATTTATAATAGTATAATCTTATCACGCCTACATAATAAACGATGAACCATTTATATTGATGCATATGTTGACTGCTTCCATTCATCCATCCTTTTTCCTTCTGTATAACACAGTATTTAATCCGAATCCATATGGATGGCTTTTATTTTCCATGAATCATGAATAAGTTCAATATTTGAAAATAGTGATTTACCCTTCTGTTGCCAATATCCCATTTGGTTGAAAACCCTATTATTCCCTTCTCAACAAACCCTTAGCAAAAATATCTATTGCCTTCTTTCATAGATACTACAAGGTTTACGATAAATACATAGGGTGTATACACTCATTGCACGTTCTTGTTCTATGATATGATATCCAACAGACAAAGAAGCATTCGGTCATACAATCTAGTGGAAAATAATAGCATATTAGCAAGGAACACACAGATCGAGAGCCTTTCGCTTTTCTATCCACTTTGAGCAAATAACACAATCCACGAAAGAAATCCTTTCATACAAACCTATCCAATCTATGGACACTATTCAAACAAAGTGAGAAAAGAAAAAACGATCAAGGTGGGACTCGAACCCACAACCTCTGGATCCGAAGTCCAACGCGCTATCCATTGCGCCACATGACCGATCCAAACAAACTCATCACTCTGGCTCCTTCAACATGTTACTTTCAACAAACAGTCCCAGAACATATTATATAGCAGCTTATCAGTTCTGTAAATAACCTCCGTTATCTCTTTCGTCTCTAAATCTAGCGATTTCGCGATATCCTCTTGTTCCTGGGTAGATAACATTAGATACTTCCGAATCACTCCCATGTCCAGCACTCCCTTCCTTCGTGGATATTTCATCATTCCATCCGACATGTACTTTCGGAAATTGAAGTTATTCAGAGCCGCGTTTTGCGGTAGAGCCTCGATTAATCGTTTTTGTAAAGAAGAAAGCTTTGTATATTCCTCTCCCGTCACAAACAAGAACACTCCCATGGCGCCCTCAGCCGTTAGAATTACGTTGATACACTGCCCGTCTGGCAAGGAAATGGGGAGAATCGAAGTAATCTGCGAGGCGAGATGGAAATCAGCTTGGCGAACTACATTGCCTGGGGATCAAGGGATGCTTCCTGCCCTACGATCGGTAACGTGGTAAATCACAAAGTTGCCAAGCGTGTCGGACTTTGTGGGGAACAAATCCTTGGAATAAATCATGAAGCTCGTGTGAAGAGTGTGATTCACCTCAACCTCGCTGTGGAACAATCGGAATTTATCGTCCTGTCAAGTGAGATACAAAAAGCAACGCTTACTCGCCACATCAAGAAGGTAAGTCCGCGCATAATGTCTCCAACGACAACCATATTGTAAATGCAACGAATCGATGTAACATAGCTGCTGATAACCTGCTGGTTTGGCATTTCTTCCTGGCTCTTCTTCTCTAAATCGACCATGATAATTCGGCTTCCACTGCTAGGAATGTTGTCGATCATTCGCGCGATCACGACGTACTTCGCCCTCTCCGTCATCACATCGCATGTTGTCACAGGCGTCGTGTATTCATACTTGCGCTCCATATGCAGCGACGACACCACGCCATTCTCCAGACGCAAGCGGAACACGTACAATCGTCCACTGCAGCGATCATAGTCGATCTGATCCGGCAACACAGCGATGCACGCTATAAGAAGTGGCTGACCCTCCTCTCCATGATGCAACGAAAGCTTGTCAGTGAACTTTAGAGACGTGATTCGCTTGCTGGAATCCAGAGCGAGACTATGATAGAGTGACTGAGATGGAAAGGACGTACGATGTGACCTCTTTTCCTTCATGGAGAATCCGAATGATGTGTTTGTCCCGCGTTGGCAAACGAACTACGAATAAGAAATGCATTTTTACTTTCCTACCGCCTTGCTCATGAGCGTAGTATGTACTGTTGTAGGTCTCACTGTCATCTCGCACGGCGCTTCCATTCGTCGCTACCACCACGGCAACGTAGTTTTTGTCTGCAATCCGGAATGTTTCCATCTTCACGATATTTCCAGAGCATGGGATGGGCGTTTCGTGTACGAGGAGCTGCGATCGAGGATCCATTACTTGCGGGAACAAGGGCAGCTCCATGATGTTAAAGCTGATATTTCCAGGAGACGAAGTAACGGCAATAATACAATCCTGGGTTTCATTCATCTGAAAAGAGTCTGCAGCTCGGATGTCTTGGTCCTTGCTCTTCTATCGGTTAATTCATTTGCAAAAAAAACTACCAAATGAATAGCCTTCGCATATCCACGGATTGCTGTGATAAACAAATTGGGATCTGCAGACAACAAAATACCCATATACCCGTGAGCATTGTGAATTGGGAACAGAGAGAGCTCAGGATGGGATACGGTGACTTGCAATCCTGCATAAACTCGCATGAGGGAAGTCGATCGCGGATGGATTTGCTGGTAGACAAGCACTCTTCCGTCGTCTAGCACGCACTACAATCGAGAGTAATTCCTAAACAATACAGCAAGAACGAATCGCTGCATTTCCTTTATCGAAACAGGACCCACTTGCATCACTTGGACATCAACACAGTACTTTGAACGGCCTTGTTGGTAGCCGGAGTCGAATGGCTTCAATACCGAGTTCTCTAAGTAGATTTGGGGATAGACAAATAAGGGCGTTAGATCCGGCCAATTCAAGCAGGCAATACTTCCATCACGATAGCTAACAAACAGCATCGCATGATCGTCCTCGTCTTCCACCTCCATTTCCATCGATGAGTCAGCAGCATTAGGAGTTACAGTGGCAGCAACATTAGCAAATGGAGCTGATGAAACCGATCCAAAGATTTCCTCGTCGTTGTCTGCGAGCGTAAAGTCCATTTGCTGATGCTCTACAGCCTCCATATTGGAGGATGCATATTGAATGTCATCCGTCTTGAGAGAGAAATCAAAGTTCGGAGCATTCGATTTCATTTCAAACGAATCTCCGTGATATAAGCAAAACGCTGTTACTCGGTTACTCTACATCTGAAAAGCAAAAAAACACGAACGTACTTGATCGCAAGCAATCGAACTCTGCTGATAGAAAGGCGCTGTCAAAGAAGGCTTGATAACCACCCACTCATGGTTTGCATTATACAGCAAGACTCCCTTTTTGTCAATCACGCAACGACTTCATATCATCCCAACTCCCTCACAATCCTACCTCACTTTCGACACTTGCTTAATATCACAAATCACGTTCGATTCGTCACTGACTCGCACGCCAGTATCATACACCTGCACGATCACATCTTTATCTTCACTTCCACCCCACAGCGAAGCGGGGAGAACTGCCACATCGACAGTGTGTGTATTCAGCAGAATAGGACTTTCCTCCGCAGGGATGATCGAGATAAGCGTTCCCTTGATGGAATAAAGAACAGTGCTCGTCGTGCTACTCAACACCACCATGCTGTCAAACTGGCTCTTCCAATGCAAGGACCGAACTAGATTATATTGCAGAGCCTGCGATTTCGATAAGGAGAAGGGGTTTAAGACGCAGGTATCTGTCGTGCGGGCAGAAACGATTAAGTTACGACCGGTTAAATTAGGCATCAAAGGATGAGCGAAGCCATGCGCATAGACCAAGCAAGTGTCTTCGGGGTGCGTAATCCGCTGCAGACACTGGGCAGACGATTGGTCCAACAGGGTATCAGTAACAGATCGCCCTGTAATATCGTAAAGAAGACTGCAGGAAGATTGAGAGCCGATAAACAAAAGATCACGACCGTTGTATGGAATGAGTGACATGCAAGTGATCACTGTTGGAAGAATTGCTACGCTCGATATGCTCAGAGAGGTGACTTCATCGTTCTTGACCGCTATCTCCATTCGAAAAAGCGGTCCTGCTGTATGGGCTAGATACACGCTCGACCCAGTCACTTTCATTACGCAGTTCTCCAAAATAATATTGATCGAATAGGGGATTATGTTGTTCTTTTTCGCGTAGATGCTCTCCGGATAGGCGGCTGCTCGCTCCGCCACAAACTGAGACCCAAACTCCGTGAGAACAAGGATGTAGAATCCCAGAGAAGTGTGTACAAAGATCAGATGATTCGACAGAATCACAAAGCATTCGCTCGCAATGTCGCACGCTTGGATGCTCGAACAATCGTAGGGAAGACCATAGTAATGGAAGATCACTTGAGCAGGGTTTACTGACGATGTATCAGTAGTAGGGTTGGCAAGAGGCGCCACGCTCACAACAAACAGCGAAGTGTTGCTGCCATTGTATCCTGCAGTACCTGCCCAGGTGGGAGAACTCTCCTACAAATGAAGAAGCAATCAGAACGCCACGTTTAGAATCGCAATTGTTGGAATAATGCAGTTTGACAGAAAGCAATAGTCCTTAATTTCACCTTCGATTCCCAACGGTTCCTTATACAAAGGGAAGGGGTCTCCAAGACCCTTCACAGTGAGAGGAACGATGATAAAGGTAAAGCGGTTTAAGAGAATGCTAAAGCACTGATAGGAAGGGTCGACACGAATTAACCCTTGGTTCAGAACATAGCCGTTGTCTCCAAACTCTACGTACTCCCCTTTTTCTAAAGTCACAGTCAATTTTTAAAACACTACTGTTCTTTCCAATCACAGCCTCTCGATTGAGATCATAGCGCTCAACCGTTTGGATGGAGGAATCATAGTTATCATAAGAAACGATCGACATATAATTCCCCTTAAAACTCATGATTAACGCGTCCCGCTTCGAAGAGTCAGTCGTTGGAAATACGATGTTCATTGGGATTGGGGCTATGCAAAGAACTTCTCCAGAAAGCGGATATTCCGCAATAAGTCGCAACTTGTACGCCGTTGTCTCATTTCCGCTCTCATTCGAAACATTTTCTTTGTAATGAACTATCTGATACACAATCATCGTGTCTGAGGAACAAACCACGATGTTTTCATCTGTTTCGTTACAAAAATGAGCACGACAGCATAGCTTCGCTCCTGTTGCTCGTTGCAACTCATCATATAAAAAATACATTCTTATTCTGTGATTTGAGCAGATTCTCAAAATCGGCTCGACTTTAGGAAGTGCGGAAATCGAGATTCTGATGAATATCAATTCAGATGGATTATTATTGTGTAACTACAATTAGATATTCGATGGAAATTAGCGACGCAAGGAAAAAACAAATCTTCGGTATTAACAAACAATTAGGGTAGTAATTTTAATTTTCTTACTAAATACATTATCAACTATCCGATTCTTGATTTTGAATCTTTTCCCATAACTCTCTCCACTGACTCAGTATTTGAGTTGACCTATCGTTTGAATATTAAGGCCTAAACATACTGTGATATTGATTCCGATAAATGATCCAGGTTCGCCAAAGTTGCAGACAGATTTGAGTTTATTGATGAAATTATGCTATTACACCTTTGAAGAGTCTGTACTTCTTGGTCACAAGGCGTCTCCGGTGTCTCGATCTCCATTGAAAAATAGTGTGTGTATTTCCTTCTTGTTTGTTTCATAAACAGATTACTAAATCACCATTAATAGCGGCTGAACTTCTTATGCTTCTTCTTTCCTCTCTTTTCCCGTCCCTTCATCGCATTCGGATTCTTTCTTCCATATCCCACAACGATTTGCTGCTATGCATCACTTCCTCGCCCAACAAGTACAAGCAACTCCTGATCGGTTGTCTTTCCAGACTCTAGACCCAGACTCTCTGCACCTACATCCCCAAAAATGCATCCTTCCTTCTTGGCTCGTCTCATTTTGATTAACCGCTGTTTCCACTTCCCCATCTTCAACTGATCCTCGCACAACAGCAGATCATCGTTCTTCCCAATCGAGTACTACACGTTCCAACCTCACTCCATTCCTACGATGGTTCCGCGCAGACTTTTCGATTGGAGCGGGTATCCGATTCGCACCATGCCTCGCATTGTGTAAACCGATACTTTGGCCAGCGATGGATGGCCGCAGTCCGGACAGAACAGGCGCGTCTCGTCGTTGCAGACACTACGATGAACGATGCTACTCGCTTCCTACCTGAAGCAATCTCGGCATCGTCGCGTCCACGACTTCAGCCGAGTGATGAGCTTGTTGTCATACGATATTACCTGCAGCCTCATCTGGAGCAGAACGTTCTGCATGGCGTAATCGCTGGTGCAGCACGCAGCGTAGCGACTGCGGTCGATCGAGTTGTTCGTTTCTTCCTTGCGGGAGATATGGCCATGATCGAACGAGCCAAGGGTTTCGCTGGAGATCCATTCATTATCGTCCTCTTCGTCCTCTTCGTCCGCAGGGTGCACTGTGCTCGCCAGCGTGGTGCCACTCGTGAAGATGTGACTGCCCTGCGTCGTGGGCCGAGCCACCTCGGACGTGTTTTCGATGTTGGGATCGGGGCCAAGGGTTGAATTGCTTTCAGGGTTGGCAGAAGAAGATTCCAAGTCTTCCGACTCAGGTTCTGATTCGGGTTCCGACTCGGGTTCCGACTCGGGTTCCGACTCGGGTTCCGATGCAGGTTCCGACTCGGATTGCAAATTGCCCTCCTCACATTTGCTTGCCTCTGCAGATTCATTCGACTCTTCTTCTTTTTCTTCGATAGTCTCCACAGGCATAGTCTCCGATTCCTTCTTCTCCTCCTTGCTGGCAAAGCGCGCTTTGAACTCGGGAGTAGCGCACACGGTCAAAATCTCGCGATCCTCCTGGTGCTTTTCCTCGCTCTTGTGCGATCCCAGCGTCGGGAATCGATCGTCGTTCGCGAAGATCGATTCGCTCGGCTTCTTGATATTCCACCCCTTCACTACGCGCGGCTTGCTGGGCGTTTCTTCAGTTGCAGTAGCGTCTTTCTTTTCTTCCATGGCAGGAGATACCATCTTGGGAACAGCGGGAGCTGGAGCAGGGCGAGGACGTTCAAGATCCCCAGAATGACGGTAGAAGCAGTTGCGGCCGTTGCGACACTTTTCGGGAGTTGCAAAGAATTTGCAAGGCTGTTCCAAAACATTGACTCCAACAATACGCTTTTCATTCACATCGATAATATCATCGCGCTAAATATAAATAAAAATAAAAGAGAGAAAAATACACGAATTATAGGAGTTAAGTTAATCTCTTCGATTCCACCTATCTCTTTTTGCAGATCATATACCAACGCAATCAGCAACAAATCTGTTTGGGCCAATTGAGTGAAATCACCTGTCGCTCGTGAAAACTTTGATACTGGACGTTAAAATACGTTTCTTATAACCCACCTATATCGATTGCCTCCTTACTAGGAGAACGGACCTTAATCTCAAACGGAAACTGTTCTAGAACCTTTCTGGAACTTTTGTCACGAACCTCACGGAAGACTTGTTCGATGGTGTAATATTCCTAGACGTCAAGGCAAACAACCTCGATCTACCTCTGCTGCTCCAATAATGGAGGCGTGGTTAATAAACGCGTTAGAGTCAAGAACAAGGGCTTTGTACTTATTCTCTATCATTCTACAGCAAAAGAATGGTAAGAAACAAAACTCCAATAATATTCACCTTTTTGCTAAAGAGAAAGACTTTGTTTTCACAAAAAGAACCCCAAATCAAATCAAACTATTGTTAGTTTCGTTCCTTTTTTTTTTAGAATAAGACATTTTACAACTCTTTAGAAATTTCTCCTTGATCTGAACTGAACCTTTTTCAAACCGGTTCATTTCGTAAATCTCTCCCACACAACACCGGGGACACAAGAATCCCTGCTTCAAATACCAATATCCACAAAACTTGGTCTGGAGAATTTCAGGATAACCCGTTTGTCGGAGACCAAGACATTCTGCGTGATAACCGACGTGGCACGAATCACAAACTAACCGGAGTGAGTCGTCGCACGGTTCGCACAAACAAATGCACTGCAGACGAGAATCGGGAGAACTCCTTAGCTGCTTATATTTCTTGCCATCTTTGTAGTAGGATAGCAAATTGTTGAATTCCAAAACAAGATCAAACAGAATCCCACAAATACTAGCCAGATGGTTCGTCTCCACAACCAAGTTTCGTGAATAAGTTGACTTTTCCTTTGCCATTCGCATCGAGCACAAGTGAGGAGGATAGATCGAGTAAAACGTAGATACAAATAAGCAACGCAAAACAAATATCATCGTATTAAGAGACTTGCAGTTATCACTGAGATCGACCAGCATTTGCTCCAATAAAACCAAATCTTCGTTTGAAGCGTCGAGAATGCCATTCAGATTATAATTGCCTCTCTTGTAACGCTCATAGATTTGCTTGTTTACGCCTCTATGGTAGAAGTGGATGTATTTATGGAAGGCTTGGTCGGAAGAGAGCATGTCCTTGTACGGATATTTTCCAAAAAGAGAAAAAAACTTCACGGATGAGATCAAATCAGTTAGCCTTGCCTTCAAAGCGCGTTCCTGAAGCGAGCCTTTCAACGTCACAGAGAGATCAGGTGTTTCGATTTGAGGACAGAAATGGAAATGCTGCCGTAAGCAACGATTCGGTTCCTGAAGAATGCAACAACGATTACACTGCGAGGATAAAGCTTTTCGAGGTTTGGTAGAATTGGATCCTTTCTGCGTTGTCTGCTCTTTACTCTCGACTTTCACTTTCTTTGGAGAACTGCTAAGAGAAACATCGGATCGTTTTACACTTCCAATCGAGGTACCTTTTTTGGAAGAAGAAGAAGAAGAAGAAGAAGAAGAATTCGACTTTGGATCGAGAATGATATTTTTGATGACATTCCTTTTCTCGATCTTCCAAACTCCAGAGTCCAAGGCCTTGTCAAAGTTCGACAAGTAATTAACACAGCTTAACAATTCTTTTTTGATTCCTTTCTTTTTTTCCTTCCTTCCTTTTTCAATTATGGCATTGGCTAAAGGGATATTCCGAAAGAAGCGTGGAATCTTAAAAAGAGATAAAGACCACGAAAGGCATGTCAGATCTCTCCACTTTGCTTGACAAATATCACAATAGTGCAGCGAATCACAAGGATTGGATTGAACCAAAGCAATATTTGCGTCGCAAATCGACAAACTAGGTGAAGTGTCCAAATCAGACTTATCACCAAAGGAAGATGGTTGAGATGACTCATGATTATTATCATATGCCTCGATAGGATTCGATGATCGAAATAAGGCAAACGGAGTGTGTTCACTACAAAAAATCTCTCGCTTCGTCGACAAAAAGGGAGGGCAGCCTTCATGGTCATGCCACTTTGGCAGAGAGGAGCTATAAAACTTCCAACCACCTTTATATCCACAAAAAACATGGCAACAATGTGAACATTCAGGATAAGAACACCAAACAACACCTCCTTGCCTATGGCAAATGGAGCATATTCCTTCCATTCGCTTCGGATTCAAATAGAATGGGTTGCAAATGGGAATCAAATTCTGCGGACTTGCATAATACTTCTGGAACAGAGATTGGTCCACTGCACCTTTCGTATTGGAAAGTTGGACCTCTTCACACCACGAAACACAAGATAAATGGCAATACACACCGTTGAGAACAGTTCGGATCATTGCTCCCTCGCTGTATCCGCAGATGCAGCAGAAGATCTCGTTTCGATTCGCCATTATTTCAGGCTCTACTCGATCGATTTGTTCTTCTTCAAACTTGTCATAATCCGGCACGTTCATGCAATATCGCAGAATATCTTCACAGACGATGCAATACCATACTTTTTCTGGGTGTCGTTTGAGGTTGTAGCAGACAGCGTGTGTCTTACAATGACACCCTTTGCACTCCACGCACTTGTCCAATATGCACTTGTTGCAGACACTACAAACCTGGCCTGATTTATCTGCCTCATGATGCTCTTCCAGATATTTCCGATAAAGAGATATCACAGTACCCTTGTATTTATTGAAGTCGCTCATTTCTGTAAACGTCTTAATCGCCTAAAAATCATCGAGTCTTCACAACCACTACGTCATCTTTGATAGAATTAAGAATAGCTTCGTTTTCTTTCATTACACACATGAGATCCCTAATACAAAACACCAGTTCTTTCAACACATTGTCTCGCTCTATTCCATGATCAGTCCTTAGAAAATTGATTATTAGCGGATCATTTACAAGGTACTTCTCGCCGAATAGCCAAGTATCTTCTACTTGAGATTTGGTACGATTGTCAACGACATAATCAGGATTATGCAATTTAAACTGAACCTGTTGAATATAGTCGTCTATTTCAGAGTTGAGATGCTGGACATCGGAAGACCTTGCTTCTACCTTAGAAAAAAGCAATTGTCCTGATTTATCAAATCTCAAGTGTAATACGGGGTTCGCAGATTTCTTCTTTTTTGGGCATCCTTTCAATGTAGAATAGATACGAATTGGTTTGGACGACCCTAAAAATAATGGATAATCCTTTGAAATCTACGTGTCTTTTCATTTCTGCTCCTGGTTTTGCTCCTGGTTTTGATTCCAGTTCCGACTCCAGTTCCGGCTCCAGTTCCGGCTCCAGTTCCAGTTCCAGCTCCAGTTCCAGCTCCAGCTCCAGCTCCAGCTCCAGCTCCAGCTCCAGCTCCAGCTCCAGCTCCAGCTCCAGCTCCTGTATCAGTTCCAGGATTACTTTCAATCTGACTTGAACAACCACTCGTTTCTTCCGCCTTACTCTCCTTCGCTTTGATAAATCTACCATTTCTATCACGAAAAGACTTGCTTTTACATTTCGGTAACTCTCCATCTTTCAGAACACTTGCATCTTCGGTAGGATTTATAGTTCCTCTATTTGCAGGTATATTTGTATTTAGTTTGTAGTCAAAGCGAAGGATGGATAGTTGCATTGAATACTTTCCTTTATCTTTCCTTTTGATCACCTTCATGCCACGAATTTGTTGGAAATAGGGTACAGCACTATAATTACTGTCTACAAGAACCCATTTCATTCCAGCTCTTCTGCCATGCTCACTTAAAAGAGAAAATAAAACCTTGGAAGTTTCAGGCTCGCTTTCCACAGTCGAACTCTTCATTTTCCGTTTTGTATTCTTTTTTTGATTCAGTTGAAATTCTGAAATATACACTACCTTCTCCTCCATATTCGGCTCTTTCTTAACTACCACTTGACCATCTCTCCCATTCATTCCACCCTTCGTTTTCGATTGTATCGCTGCAAAATAGTAATGTACCATCCCCACAATCACTTGCTCTCCTTGGGAATCTTCTCTTTCTACCACCAAAAGAAAGTGATTGCGTAAAGAAAACAGTTCCTTATAATACCCTGCTTCATTATACTTTGAGTTGATATGACTCAGTTTCGTAAGCGTTGGGATATCTTCACATGTAGCGAATCGAAAGGTACTGTTACAGCAAATATGCTCCTTCTTAAACCAATCGATAACTGATTGATCGATCAAACTAGGATAGGATCTATGTAGCGGTTGAAAAAGTCCTGGATCATAACCAGTATAAGCAAATGGGTCGGTATAATTCCGCAGGTTATAGTGCTGGCTTTCGTCGATTGGATCAAGAGGATCACGGCCAAAAGGTACGGGAACCACAAGACATGGATCAACATCAGAGAATTGTGTACTCTCTTCTTGGAAAAAAGGAGGAAGCGATATTACTTCTCCACTATTCATCGTGATTTTGAGTGGCTATATAAGATAGATCTAATAAGCAATAAACCCTACAGTCTTTGGATTCATTCGAAACAGACACCCCATTTCCTTCTTTTTCACTTCACAAAATATGCTCTTCACATACCGCCACAGAAATCGAGTGTCATAGATATTGCAAATTTCTTGGCATTGGAGTTTCCTACCATTAAGTTCAACGAAGCAAGCAAACGATTCCTTCTTCTTCACTTTTACCGCAGGAAACTTGGCCTCGATCTTTTTCTGGCTTTCTTCTGTTTCCTTCTTTCCTTCAATCCTCTTATTCGCAGGATTCAACAATCCCAAGGAAGAGAAAATGTCGTACAGCTTGTTGTGAATTTTGGTGTTATTGTAAATGTGAGTTGTTCCCAAGCTAAAACAGTGACGAAGATTGAAAAAGGGCTTAAATAACGGAGACTCTGTCGTGGAAAAAGAATCATTAAAGTAAGAAAAAACATCCAAAATATGTTCATGACAGAGATAAAGAAAATGATGAGATGGAGTCACAAAGTATAATCCCGGAGTACAGTAAACATGAGAGGCTTTTAAACATCCATCATGGCTACACTTCAGGACATAACGTCCTTTTCTACACACATTACAGAGAAGAGAATCATCTCTTGGTAAATCATCCTCATTCATCAATGCACAACCATAATGGCAGGTCATATAGCTATTTTCGAAAGGAACTCGAGCCAGAAAACGGCGGCTTCGCCCACAAAACTTGCAAACTGCCTTGGGGTTTTCACAATGAGCGCATTTCCAATGTTTGTCGTTTGACATCTCACAGAAGGCGTGAACTTGAACCCCGCACTGCTCACATGTTAATACCCGACTCTTCAATCGCGGGTAAATTTCTGCCTCTAAGGGAGCTTCGCAGATAGCACACAGCAGTCTCATTTTCCGTCCAGACATAATCACGTTTTGCTTTGATAAGATTCGCTCGATTTTCCGCTTGGTAAAGTGCAAGGAGCTATACTGGTATGGATAGAGTTCCACTTTGCCTTGCACAGCATTCTCCATGTGTGAATAGAGCTGATAGAAGCTCATTTGATGTGAACACGATTGGATGGGACCCGTTGCCTCAAGGGTTGAAGACTCTGAAGATACAGACTGTTTGTTGTCTTGTGGACACTCAGAAAGCAGCGGGTATAAAGACTCGCACAAACACTTTCTGGAGTGTTCCTGATTCAATCGAGCAACGTCTTGCTCGTGGTTCGAGCAAAAAAACAGAAGACTCACAGAGGAGTCATTCGAATGAAAATGAAATAAGCGGTCATTAGACTGGTCCAGATAGCAAGCAGGATGGCAGTACACAGAACAACCGGGATGTTGGCATTTTATCAGCAGATTCTCTTTAGTCTCACAAAAGCAGCATCCCTTCGTTCCAGAAAATGGTTTTGGGACAGGAAATTGATGCAAAAAACTTTCAAATAAAGAGAAAAGCAGAGGCACAGTAATATTCTCGCCATGACTATTGATGCAAAAATATCGGACAAACTCAAAAATATATGATTTCTGGTTCCTTTGTCCTAAATCTGTTGACAACTCTGAACTTGACTTTCGTGTGTTAATACATTCACTAATAATTGGGTCTTCCTGATCTAGATAAAGGTAGGATGCTAGAGCCTTTATACAAACGATATGAACATATCGACCCTGATCTAGCTCTAAAATTAATACCCATTAAAAATATGAACTTATCAATCCCAGCTTATTGCAGATTCCATTACATAAACAGCAAGTTGGCAGGACTCTCCCTCTCCTTTTCGATTCACAAAATTCACAGTATTTACTATCAGTAAGCTCGGTTTTCATGCAGTTGAGATGCAACTAAACCAAGATGAGAATTTGAATCACCATTTATTCGCCTAGTTTAATATCTTACAAAACAGCAAACAAAACATAATATTAATTGTCCATTCCAATAAAAGCAACATACTTACTTCAACCTTACAACAATCGCAAGTGAACGTCGGGTCTCCTTTGCAACAGCATAGGCATGGTCCTATCGACGAGAAGGATATCATCAATATGCTTAATAACCCAAACTAGAATAGTAAAGGATTATCGTATAGAAGCGGAAATCCTGAAAAACGACCTAATTCCATCATTATTCTAAATAAACAGACTCAAAGATCACTCATAGTAGAATGTTCAAATGGCTTGTAGAGAAGTATATTTACACTATACGAACGAATATCAGTAGTAAAGCCAAATAGGAAGCTAAAACACTCACCGAAATATAAAATAATCATGATCTTGATTTTTGTTAGATGTGTCACATTTGGGGTAGAGAGTAAGTAAGTAATTCACATCATCAGTGATGCTACCTAGCTTCACGCTCCTTCCTAATATATACTACTTTTTTGACTCATATCTATCTCACCTGATTCAAATAATCCGGATTTTTGACGAACCTAGATTCCCCGCCAAAAATAGAACTCCTTTATAACAGCGACCTTTTTCTCTTTTTTTGTTTTGGTTGACTGCTTTACCACTTTGGCAATTTGAAAATGGATAATAGCCGTGAGGAAAGTTGGTCTCAGTGGTTCCATACGAATAATCCATTTCGAACATCCGAAACAACTCCAAAAAAGAGGAAGATTACTGAATCAAATCCAACATTGTTTGAGCCTTCGCCCGTTCACATTCATTCACATCGTACACGTATTGTGATTACGGAATTATCAGCAGTAGAGAATAAAAGTCTGGAAAAGCATGCGCAAGAATTTGTGCGCGAACTAATGAAAGGAAATGCTTTGAAGCAAGAAATGACGATTGATAGAAGTGCGTCCCAAACTAGGGATCACGAGAGAGCAGCCCAAAAAGAAGATTCAAGGACTAGTGTGTGGGAACAGTTTGTTTCGGGTCCTTCCAATCCATGTAGAATATTTTAGCCAATTTCCGTTAACCCGCTAGTTATTGCTTCACCTCAAAACTCTCATAAGTCCTCCATGTCGAAACTACTAAGTAGCAAATACAAGGCTAGTAGTAGTGAGAGTCTTGCGCCCGTTTCGTCGAGTAAAGTGGATATTAGTAGTGAATGCACTTCCATATCAAAGTATTGGAACAAGGAGAAAGAAGTCACATCAACTCCCGCTTCGGATTCCAGCAATCCTCTCACTTATTATCAGCAGCAAAGCAATTATCTGGAAGGAGGCGTAACGATCACGGGGAAAGCGCCGAGTAAGACAGAGAGGAAATCCCATCGGAAGGAATTGGCAAAGGAAAGGAAGAATCTGATGAAAGAGGTGAAGGTGGACTCTGCAGAATCCTCCTCAAACGCGGAGACAAAACTCAAGGAGGAAGGCGATGCGAAAAAGACTGTCTCAAGACGAAAGACTGAAGGAGCAGAGGAAGATATCGAGAAGTCTACATCAGGTCAAAAAGCACTACATGAAAAGAACGAAGAAAAGAAGTCTTCTGCAAATAAGAAAGACAAAAGTGTCCAAGAAGAGAGCGAGAAGTCCCGTTCGAAAAGAGGGGCAAAACGAGTACAGCGTGCAGATGTAACTAAAAGTGGATCAGAAGGGAAGAAGCGTCGTCAGAAAGAGCCGATTCGTTATCGATGGTCCTGGGATATTCACCTACAGAAGTATTTCTCCCAAGCTCGAGTTCTCCGTGTTTGTGATTTAGGGGCGTTGGTCCGCTCATTCCAAGTCGCCTATGGCAAGCCTCTTGAATCAGAAACAAACCTGATGGAGATGCAGAAGGCCTGTCTGGCGACATGTGCGTTCTGCTTTATCCTGAATGACTCAACGAGCACGTTTCAGCCATCGCAGACGGTGCACACGGACATTGTCAATCACAACTATCCCATCGCCTTCTATTTCACACTGTATCTTCCGGACGGAGAGTCTTCCTTCGTGTTGCCTCTTGCTGGTGATGTAGATGTGGAAGATTCGGAAGAGACCATGGTGCCGGTAGTTCACTTCTTCAAAACGTTCTTATCACTACCGAGATTGCTGAAGATTACCTTTGGTTTTCAGCGCTTTCTCCGTTTGTTGGACTTTTATGTCCAGCGGCACGGATGCAGTTGTCTTCTAAATGCTGATGTTTGCTCGCGATCTTGCATGGATGTCCTTCTTCTTGCTTGGATCCTCGATTCGGACTATCAAGGTATTCTGGAAGACCGAAATCATGCTGATTCTACAAGTAGAGATACACCCGAAATGGATTCTACCAGGCTCCAGGAACCGTACAGGACATTTGAGTCTGTGTGGAGCGCAGTTGAAAAAGAGTCTTTAGATCCCAACACACTTTGGAGTAACGAGACTCCCGAGGTTTATTTGCAGGCATTAGTGCGAGGAGTCAAGAAGATGCATGTAGGTGTGGCGCAGTTTGCTTACCTGTAGGAAGACTTGGTCCGAATGGCTTCGCCCTCGGAACTCAACAGCTATTGGAACATTGAATTGCGCCTGCTTCCTCTTCTGGCTCATATGGATGCAACTGGCGTAAACGTGGACTCGGCTGCGCTTCAGCGAAATAAGATGGTGATCGACCCGCTGCTGAAGGATCTTGAACAGAAGGCGGAGGCTCTCGTTGGACATCCCATTTTGATGTGGAGTTCGAAGCAAGTCTGCGAAGTCCTCTACGACGAATTGAAACTGGAGGCGCCGAAAGGGAATCGAGTATCGACGGAGAGTGTTCTTCAAACGATGGCGGATAAGCATCCATTCCCAGGACTTGTGATCGAATATCGCAGACTCTCGAAGCAGATGTCTACCTACATTGACGGATTGGAGAAAGAGTTCGTCAGCGTTCCATTTCGATCGACAGAAACAAAGCTGATTTACTCCACATGGAATCAGATGGCTACAGGAACAGGCAGACTGTCAACGGCTGCTCCCAACATGCAAACGCTTCCTAAACGGAGTTTGGAGCGGCTAAGTAATCTGGATGTGGATATTCGCGGCGCCTTTGTCGCCTTGCCCAACAGACGACTCATCAGTGTGGATTATCGACAGATTGAAATGCGCGTCTTTGCTCACTGTAGCCACGATATTGCTTTGATTAATCTCTTTTCCTCTGGGCAGAATAGCGATATTTACACGATGATTGCATCGATGATTCACAAGGTGGAAGTGAAGGACGTGACGCAGAAGTTTCGAGATGAAGCCAAGGTGATTACGCTGGGTCTTTGCTACGGAATGGGTGTGGAATCCATGGCCTCCAAACTCAAAATACCTATACTGACAGCCACGCAGCTGAAGAATTCGATTCTAAATGTAGGATTGAGGGCACTCGATGATAACGAATAGCGCTTTAAGGGAGTCCTTCAGTTCATGAAGAACACGATTTCCTCTGCAAGAAAGACACATTTTGTCGAAACTCTGTCTGGAAGAAGAAGGTACTTCAAGGCGAAAGATTCAGGCGGCGAGGGGCTAGCGCATATCGATCGGCAAGCAGTGAATAGTGTGATTCAGGGATCGGCGGCCGACCTTCTGAAGTGTGCCATGATCTTGCTGTGGAAGCCATTGAGCGAACTGGATAGCGAGATTATCCTTCAGATTCATGACGAACTGGTGATCGATTGTCCTGACAGTGATGAGGTGTGTGAGAAAGTGATTGCCTTACTGAATCAAGTGATGTGTGTGGAATCCAAAAAGATGCTGCAGGATATGTGTAAAGCAAATCACCCTGAAATACAGTATGACTTTGATGTTCTTTTAGAACAGAGTGTGAACATTGGTAAGAATATGGCATTTAAAGATTAATAATAATATGGGTATTTCTCTCTTTTCACTTTTCTTTGTGTCTATCTGTTTTTTCATAACAAACTGGAATTGGTTCGCTTTTGTCAAAAATAAATAATAATATAGAGAGATAGATATAGAGTAAGTAAGATCTGTTCTTCCATTTTTGCAGTATTTACCTGTCTTTTAATATACGTTTTGATGGCAAAGCGTATGACTCAAAGCGAAGAATCCTGTTTTTAGCCGTACATGTATTGTTATCATGGGAGGAACTCATTCTGTTTGTTTGGAACGTAATAAGATAAGAACCGGACAAGTTTGTAATTTTTATTCAAAGTTCAATGTGGAATTTATTTGATCAGTTTTTTGCGTGGCTTCGGAGACGGAAATTAGTAAATACACAGTGCGGTAAGAAAAGAAACTTTGATTTGACTCTAGGAATTTGTAGACACGATATGCTTATTTCAATCGAATTAAAATGCGGTCACAGTTTTTGCTGTGGATGCATAGAAGAATATTCGAAGGTATGAGTGATTTCACTCTATAAGCGATTAGACGAAATTCAAATGTCCTCTATGCTGCAACAATATTGAAAGAAAGAATATTGATAACGTGACTTGCTATTTCTATTCGTTTACTGTAGTTCTCGAATTACGTTCTTACCGCTATTAACCGCATTGCTGCGAATGACAGTATTAATGAATATTTCAAATGGTATGTTGAGCAATATGATACAGACCATTCTGCTCAACTCCCATTTTTGGAATCCTTTATGCACTTTTCTTCAGCAGTATTTTTGACTGCACACTGTTTTCGATGTAGGATACGCAAAGAATGATTAACCTGATCCAAAACTACTTTACTGAGACGAACACAGCGCTAAACTACTTAATTCTTCTCCGCTCTTTCTCCACAGTGGACGAATTCGATCATTTCTACAGCAACGTCTACAAGACAATCGTTAGTCGTTCTTCAGATATTTCGCCTTTGATTCCATCGTTAACGGAGTATCAGGAAATGGACCACACCCAAGATGATTATATCACAAAGCTGTCAAAGGTTAATGAAAAGGTCCTCCTTATTGAGATTCATCTCTATGTCTAGACCGAAATGGATCTGATTGCCTTGATGGCCTTGTGGGAGAAATCCGCTGATGTGCATTGTAACTCCCTCTGTGAACTGCTGTCCTCGATGAATCAATCTGTACAACCGATGGAACGGACTCACGCCTAGCAATACGACTGGTTCACGCAGCAACTTCTTCAACATCGATTTGGAGTACTGGTTGGAGTGAGTTCTGATACGTAGTGCTGGAACGACCTGTATCAAATTCAACGCTTTATCGAGGAATCGCAGTCACCAGAGGTGAGAATTGGTCTGGACTTAAACTCAGGCGTTCATGAAGATTTTGTTGTTGGATGTGCATCCGAAGTCGCAATGGGACGGAACCATTCATGGAAAGGAAAATCTGCTCAAAATTTTTGAGCGATTTGATGGAGCTAAGATGACACACTATGTTACAAACGTTGATGCAGTTCATAGTCTGATGCCTTGTGTAAGCTATGATTCGGTTGGCGCTGACGTCTAGTCTATGGAGGAGATAGAGCATGTTGCTAGAGAGGCAGTAAATAGAACGTAATGTGGGTTGTTTGTTTTATGGAAATCCAAAAATCCAAAGGTTTTTAGTGGATAAAAAGGGGCAATATAGGATTATCCTCAGGAAAATGCAAGCTAGAATTAGAGCTCTAACGAATTTGGTGCGTTCTGCAAAATATGTTGCGTTTCCTCGTGTGGGTTTGCGAGTTTTCTCTACGGAAACCGCTCCTGCTCAGGATGTCTACGAACATGTTAGCAATATGAAAACGAAGGATTTGTTCCAATTTGAACCCTTCAACAACGAGGATATCATGGTAAGTCGCAATTTGGGGTCGATCCTTACAAGCAGAACTTCCCTCAGGTAAAGAACGGAAAGAACTATTCCCTTAATTGGGCATTAGCCAGCGAGAACTTTACGATTTGGGGAAATGCCTACAGAAACCCGTCCATCGATATTCTGGAGAGAGACAGTCACGGAGAGGTGGATCGTGATGGCAACACAACTTGCACTCGTCACTATTTGCCCTCCTCGGAAGTGGCTGAGAAATCTGGCGATTTTGAAGATATCAGTGACTCTGTATGCCCTTCATGCGTCTTTCGCTGACTCACAGGTTAAAGATTTCCTGTCCCAGGTCCCCAATCTCTACGTGGAAGATGCTGCCGTCTGCTCGGGTCGTTGCGCGGAGCTCCGTATCCGTTCTGTGACCAACGACCCCGTTACCGCTATGGCTCTAAAGAACCTCTTCGTAATGAGCATCTTTCTCTCTTCACGATAGCACCGCATGCCTCTGCGCGACCCCATGACGCCGCACCCTCTCAGCGTGATCGTCGCTCGCGGCATGCCGGAGAGTTTCACGGCGATCGGGACGGATCCCCACTCGAAGTCTCTGACGGTGATCGCGACGGGCAACACGCCGATCGACCGGATTGTCGCCGAGGTGGCCAAGGCTGCGGCCAAGCAGATGGACGCTGCGCGCGGCACGTTCGAGGTGGAGATCCCCGAGACGGAGCCTGGCAAGGGTCCCACGAAGCAGGTGAAGAAGGGCCCCGTGCTGCAGAGCGTCGTGGGCGCCGCGGTGGTGCAGAACCCCGCGGGGGAGACCGTGATGATCTGCGGAATCCCGGAAGAGGCGAAGAACGCGGCGATGAAGGCGGGGAAGCTGTAGGAGAAGGAGGAGGGCGCGATGGGTAGGTTCTGCGGAAGCAACGCGGTGCTGACGAAGGACGGAGTGAGCCGCGTGTTCGCGGGCGAAGCGGTGAAGGCGGGGGCCGCGCCGGTGAGCGGAAGCATGATCGTGAATGGCGAGGCGTTCGTGCCGATCGCTGGAGATAACCTGCTGTCGTTCCCGTCGAAGGTAGTGTTCGTGGAGGAGAATGGAAAGCCGGTGCAGAGCGAGGACGTCGCCAAGATGCTGGGCGCGTATTGCTGCTGCGAGGACACGGCGAAGTTCGCGGCGGAGCTGCTGCAGAAGCAGGGCGCGGAGTTCGTGTGTGTGGACGCTGCCTCGGTTGGATCGCTCTTTTAATTGTGTTTATAATGGCATGGTGTTTGCAGGAAACACGAGATAATGTCAACGAAATATAGGCATATAAAAAGCAGCACAGCAACCATAACTCATTGATTCTGTACTGACTAAAATCGGAAGATCCGCCCAGATAATTGTATGTCCACCCTGTCACTGGATTCTATTGCACTGACAAAACATCCTTCCACCTTACATAAAACTTCCGGATATAGGTATCAACCTTCTGTGCATGTCCCTGCGACAATCCATAGGCCACCAAGCCCTTTACAGAGAAATTCTTGGGCGTGAGCGAGGACAGCAGCTTCTTCATCACCTCCTGGATTTGGGGCGAATAATTCAGCTGAGCCACAGAAGCCTTCTGAGCGAGATAATCCATTATATTCTACAGAGAAGGTCGCACATGCTTTCTACAGTACACAGCTCTAAAACCACTTTGCAAAGCCCTATCTGGTCCTTTCTCTCGCGATCCGAAGGCTCCTGCAAATCAAAAATCTTCTCAAAGAAAGAAGTCAAGTTATTCCGCACCAAGGCGAAGCTTTGACCTCCTGACATACTCAGAGTCGTTATTTTCGGCTTCTGCTGCAATTCATAACAACGGCTGCAATCACAATGATAGGGAGTAATGGTTTGCATGAACGAAGGCTGGATGGAGGGGACACGCCAAGAATTCACCGGAGAACACGGTGTATATTGTGGCTTGCTTTTCTGCTTCTGTTTTCGTTTCTTTTTTGAACTTAGCGAAACGGGACGTCCCTGACAGTCCACATCTTCCTTCTCATCAAACGATTCGGCACACGATGGCTCTGCAGTCTCGACCTGCTCGGTTTGTGGAGGGGAAATCGCAGGAACTTCGGCTAGCTTTACCTGGGCGTTGTTCATTTGGTGTTCCGCCCACCGGTGATTGATCAGCTCCATCATGGTAACACCCACAAAGCGATGGCAGATATCGCAGGGATAATGCTTCGCTGCGTTGTGAGCACGCAGCTCCGCTTCGGAAGCGAAGAACTAGTGCTAACCGAACAGAGGAAAGTACCGAGTTGATGTTGTTCAGCCCACAGATAAAGCAATGAACGTGCTGCTTTCGACAGTGATCCATCAACGCCTTGTTGTCGTACTGAATCTTGCCACACGCGTGACACAATACGTGCTTTGGAAGTTGAAGAGTCGACATAGAGCCATTCAAATGGGCTCGGTACATCTACCAATGAGCAAAAAGAAACAGAACGACCGCATCGGACAAAATAGGGTATTCAAAAATGAACATCGTATTCGACTCAACGCACACAGGACAGAGTGCTGCATGATGAGCTTCCCTCATATGTAAATTCAGCGACTCAACACTGTTATATACAATCGCAGAGGACTTTAAATATTCCTTTTCGTTGATTTTGGCAAACGAAACATAGGGGTGGCAACGAGGGCATTTCATTGTGATTAAGTCCAATGTCCACTTTTCTAAGGCAGGAGAGTCAAAATACAAGTCGTATATCTTATTGTAGACATATCGGTATTCATTAATAAGTGCTGAATACGCCTTTTTGCCGAAAATGGTAATGATCGCTTTGGATAGACTTTTCTATTCATAAATGATAGCTGAAAATATAACTCGACACATGGGACAACGCGGTTTCTTAAACAGCGCTATCTCCTTAAAGATGCATTTCGCGCAGTAATCATTGTGACCACACGGTAAGATGGCGAATACATCCACCTTTTCGAAGCAAATTTGACATGACATTATGCCTAACACTTTGTTTGGTTTCATAGGATCCATCCTCGTTGCGGATTACCAAGGAACTGGGTAGTAGTGCATAATGATTTGGAGATCACGTTAGGTAGGTATTCTCCTCTTCCTTCTCCTAACTGAAATACTAATTGTGTGGAAATAATGAAGGGCGAATTGAATGAAGAATTAATTCAATTCCATTATTTCCAACAATCTACACATAAATTAAATAGTATTCATTCTTGAGAGGAAAATCCACATAATTTATAACTAATTCTATTTTGGTCAAATCATTAGAATTGTTTTCACATTTAGAAAAGAATAGTATGGAATAGAAGAATAAATATAGGAATAACCAATTCTCATTAATTCACCTGAATTAATAATGGAATCATTCAAATCACAATTAATTATCCACAAATATTGATACTATTCAATTTCTCCATTTGATAAAACAAACACACATATTGCTAGCACTCCCAAAAACATTTGCCCTAAAAAATACTGCAATTCTTTTTTTCGTCTTCCGAATATATGCTGTTTACTAAAACCTGTCAACCCTTCGCAACACGGCCTACTTCCTCGACTTGGATATTCCCCAATCGGTCCTTGAGGCATTGCCCCCATTGTTAAACTACGATGACGGCTAGGTTGCGGTGAAGCACTCTGCTTTCTTTCGTTTTCTTGTCTGTGGCTAAGCACTCCATCCGCAGAGGCCTACTTAAATAACAGCGCCTCGTTATAGATAAGTCTTCTAAGCACCAATCTTTCATTGTCCGGGTTTCCTTGAATGACATACTCAAAAGGAAACACCATGGTGTTTGTGGTCAGTTTCTAGCCCTCACAGTGCGTCCGCAACCCCACTTCATATTCTGGACGACGTACCAGCGATACAAATTCACTTTGCAAAGCTTCTTGAACAGTGATTCGCTTGCTGGGATCTGAGCGTTATCCCTTCTCTCCCCTCCTCTGCCTACCAAATGTCAGCATTCGCTTTAGCAAATCGATGGCCGAGCTCTCCGCGTTGGGGAAGAGGTCGGTGAAGTCCATGGGAGGCATGTAGTCAAGAGAAAGAAGATACTAGGCGTGATGGCCGCCATGCGCGCTCACATCTCGCATTGGTCCGTGATCCAACTTCATTAGCTCATCACGATGAGGCGTGCCGATTACTTCAAAAATCTTTATCAGTTGGTGCGTCTCTGCCCGGAACTCCTCGCCAAAACGTTCATTCTGGTTCTTCTCGTTCCGCTTGGAAGAGAGCGGGAAGCAGCTGCTCCCAGGGAAGAGCGGCTGCACGCGCCGGTTGGGCTCCAGCGTCTGCAGCAGCTCCGCGAGGATGCAGCCGACCGACCAAATATCGATCTCGGCGTTGTAGTGGTGCTGCAGCAGAATCAATTCCGGAGCGCGGTACCAGCGAGTTACGACGTGCTGAGTCAACTGCCGATCGACTGCCGACTGGGATTCGCCCCAAGCGGCCGAGCTAGAAACGTCGCTCTATCAAAGAAAAGCCAGCAAAAGGGTCAAACTCGAGACTCTCGCTCATCTCGGTATTGGTAGTTCATTTGGCGCGCGAGACCAAAGTCGATGATTTTCAGTTCACACTTGTTGTTTATAAGGATATTCGATGGTTTCAAATCACGATGCACAATATTGCCACTCTCGTCCTCAGATCCACACCACACCACCTACCTGCATGTATAATAAGCCACAAAGCAATTGGTAAGTGATGAACTTCACATGTTTTAGTCCCCAGCCACTGATCTTGTTTGCGCTCTTCACGATACGTGAAAGGTCCCACCCACCATATTCCTGAAATGTTCAAGCCAGAAAACGCCTTACTTGAATAGTCCATAAATGCTTGAAAGTAAACTCATCCGGAGGGACAAGAACATCACTGGAGATCACAATCACTGAAGTGCATTACTATAATTTGCAAATGTTGGGATGGTCACACTGACGCAGAATCGTAATTTCACGCAAAGTCCGCTTTGCGTCAGTCCTAGTTCGGAATACATCGTCAATTCGTTTAATAGCAACTCTGCACTTCAAACACTAAAAGCAACCTCACTGTTGTCCGTTCGTTCGATCAACAGCCAAATACACCGTCCCGTATGCTCCCTTTCCTAATTCCTTTTTTATAATGTATCGCGTATTAATCTCGTGCGGTATTGTCGTATTTCGTGTATCTTCGTACTCCACCTGAATATTATGTGATAGACACAACAAAACTTCCATGCTCTGCGTATTGCCAACAGCACTGATTTGATGTTTTCTATCAATTAAAATTCCACGAAATTTACCGCGGTAATTGGCAAAATGGTAGTACAACAGAGAATCGCTCTATTATGTGACGAATCTCATGCCTTGCTATGCATAATTTCAAACTGAACTAGATTATTATTGCATTCGAGGCCCACGCTATGAAAAACATCGTAAGCACGAATTTTGTGCTTTCTGAATAAGTTGGTTACTGTCTTTTGTTAGAAAAAGAACGTTTCAAGAGGAGCAGCTCTGCTCTAGCACCATGTTTAGAACGTTTTTGATCTTCTATTCCAGCTCCGTTTCTTTAATTCGACTACTATGTGTATTTGGAATTTTCCTTCAACAAAAGTACCGAACAGGATCATTGCAAAATCATACAAATCAAAACGGTGTTGAAAAAACATAAAAAGACGAACTAGTTCCATTTTCGCCATTCTGATCGTTGTGTGAGGATGGTGTAGCAGCTGACATGTTGGAATGCTCATCCGCAAAAGAGAGAGCCTTCGATCTCCGCATCAACTCATCCTTCAATTCGGAGATGGACGGCAAGGAAGGAGAGCACGAACCTCCCGGCTCGAGCTGCTGGCTGTCTCCGTCCAAGTCGGTGAGCGTGGGCTTGGACTGAACTCGGCTGAAAATGGAGGAGATGGTCACATAGGGCTCCTCGACGGCTGCTCCCGACCCCGCCCGCGACTGCATCGACGCCACCGTCTCCGTGTGGCTGTTCGTGATCATCTACGTCGGATGCAAGGCGCTCGGCTCTACCTTGGTGTTCATGATCATCTCCAAATCGGGCTCGGTGAGCTTCTCCTTGGTGCATCCGAAGGTCTGCCGAATGATGGCTTCGATCTCGCTCATCTGCAATGAATCGATCGATCCGCGACTACTGGAATATCGTCGCCGAAGAACAAGTGCAGATCCTGGATCGAGATCACGCCGTTGTGCTCGCGATCGACCCTACATCGCTCACTCCTCCCTCCATCGCGCACAGCTGGAAGATCAACTCCGCATATTCCCTCCGAAGCCCTTCTTTCCTCGCCAAACACGCAGCGACGAACTCGGAATAATTGATGTACCCGCAGTCATCAAAATCGATATCATGGAAGAGCTGCTTCAGCTTGTCCTCGTCGGTGGTGATCGAGAACAAGGAGGCGTTGTTGCAGAACTGCTCGGTGGTGCGCAGCGTCATCAAGGCATCGCGGAACTACGCTTCACTCGCACGTCGCTCGCCCACGTCTTCGAAAGTGATCATTCCGTCGTTCGACTTGTCGAAGTACTCGAACGCGTCGCCCAGCTTCATCAGCTCGTTCTGCCATGCACGCCCCTCCCCTCCCCTACGTTGTTCAGATGGTACGCCACCGCGGTCAGCGCCGCCTTCTTCAGATGATTGTAGCCCTGGAACTCCTGGATCGACGTGAGAATGCTGGGCTGCAGCACGGGAGGCGAGTAATTCCCGGTGGATTTGAGCCAGGGGTGATTCTGCGCCTCCAAAACTACCCATCAGATCGCTCCGCCTCCCCTCGGCCCACCTGTCATTCGATTCACCGGGTCGATCGCCAGAAGCCGCTGCGTGAAGTCCTTCGATTCCTCGCTGAGCTCGCTCCAGTACAGCCTCGGGAAGGGAATCCGCTCGATTTTGACTTCTGTGAGAGGCGTATCGCCGCGCTGCAGGGGCAGCGGATTGTGTCCCGTGAGCAAAAAGTAGGTAATGACGCCGAGAGACCACATGTCACAGCTCTTGTTGTAGCCCACGCCCTTGTAGTCCTTCATATAGACCTCGGGAGCGATGTAGTAGCGAGTTCCCACCAAACTATGCATGTAGTCCGTATCGTTGACGATCCGACTCAGTCCAAAGTCGATCAGTTTGATCTCCGCGTCCGGACTATTGTCAGAAAACATGATATTCGCCAGCCTATTTGGAACACACAACGAATCCGCACTTCAAATCGCGATGCGCAATGTTCTTGGTTTCATGGAGATAGGCAATAGCGTTTATGATGGACTTGATGATTCCCTTTGCGTAGCCTTCCGAAAACTTCCCCACTATTCTCACAATTCCATCTTCTAAGGCTACAGGGACTGTTCACAAGACGAGTGTAGAGCTCACCACCGCTCAGCAACTCTTGGATCAGATAAATGGCCTTCGGAGTTTCGTATACTTCGTACAGTTTTACAATATTGGGGTGATGTAGACGCGCTAGAATCAAAACCTCTTGAATGAGCCGATCTATCTGCTGACGGTTAAAACCGAGAATATTGATAGTCTTCATTGCGTACTTCACTCCGGTTTCTCTAACAGTGATTTTGACCCAATCGAGCAAACCGATGAACTACAGTACGAATTGGTCCTGTTGCACCAACTCCCAGTTGTTCTGAAGTAAAATAATAAACAGACTGAACACTCCTTCAAATCACTCGTATTCAAAAAGACTACTCATATCTGTATACAACGTTTGAAACCCCACGCAGTAAATTATCGTTTTCTTCTTGCATAATTAAAACATCAGAGCCCTCGCTAGAAAACGAAGACATGTGAATGTCCTGAAAGCTACTATCAGCATTCGGCGCGAGAATAGTATTTCCATCTCGTGTTACCACTAGTCTAACAATGCTTACAAAACTCATACCTGCATCGTTGGGCTCTTTCTCTTCATAATTCTTTTTTAAAGTTTTCTTTGAACAGCACTGGAAGAGTCCAGGCATAGCAAAAATATGAAATTCCTACACAGTATATTTCGTATTCAACTCTATTAAAGTGCTAAAGAGTGCGTTACATCCATAACGAAAGGCCGCCATCAAGAGTAATGCATTCTCACTGGATAGCTTAAGGCTGACTCTCTCACTCCCTTCATTCCTTGTCATTTTCACCAAATCCCCGCGGGTTTGAATAACAAGATCATCTAAACAATTATCTATTTCAAGATTATAATGCCTGTGATTTCTAAATACGACACCAAGGACTACCCACCCCTCATTTGTAAACCTACATATTAACTGTAATTGTGTAGTGTGTGGACCTAGTGGAGTGGGAAAGAGTTCTCTTATTAAAAGGATGATGGAAGATTTTCCCAACAGTTTCGGGTTTAGCGTGAGCCATACGACTCGAGCACCTCGTGGACAGGAAGTTAATGGCGTAACTATACGTATCCATGTTTATTATGCAGGTCGAATACTATTTCGTTACAAGGGAGGAGATGGAGAAGGATATTGCCGAAGGGAAGTTTATTGAGCATGCCATTGTGCACAATAATATCTACGGAACTTCGTTCGAAAGTGTGATGAAGGTTGTTGAGAACAAGAAGATCTGTATTCTGGACATTGATGTTCAAGGTGTTCAACAGGTCATGAAGTCTGGAATGAAGGCGGAGTATGTTCTCATCAAGCCCCCAAGCTTTGAGGAGCTCGAGCGCCGTCTTCGTGGCCGAGGCACTGACTCGGAGGAAAGTATTCAAGTGCGCTTGCGAAACTGCAAGTATGAACTGGAGATGGGAGAGAAGCTTAACATCCCTCATGTGATTGTGAACGACAACTTTGATAAGGCGTATGAAGAGTTGCGTCGCATCATCCTGCCCATTATTCAACACCAAAATGTATAAGTTCTCTCTATTTGTTAACAAACACTCTCTAATATTTCCGTCGGTTGTTTCCTCCCTGGTTTTGCATCGAGTTGTTGTTGTTGTTATTACTATTATTAGAATTATTGTTGTTGTTATTGTAATTATTATTGTTATTGTTGCGGGAATTGTTGCGATTCCACTGGTTGTAGCCAGGCATCTGAATGTGGGACTTGTCTTGGCGTGGGAATCGGTTGCCTCGAGGGTAGTTGTACTGGCGTTGATCGTTGTGCTGCCTCTTCCCTTGATCATCATAGTTCCCTCCGCTCATTGAAGCGTCTCTCTTCTTATCGTATCGTCCAGGGAAGCGGATATCCGCTCCGCGATCGCCAGGATTCTTCTGGGAGTTCGAGTACTGGGGCTTGGGGGCGGGAGATTGCGACGGATAGGTAGGCTTTTCTGTTCCCGCTTGGAGGGGATGCGTTGTTCTCGGAGCTGCTTCCTTTCGTGGCTCGGACTGGCTTTCCTTCAGCGGTGGCTGGGCGGATGGCTGCTGCTGCGGCTGCTTGGGAGGCTGCTGCTGCGGCTGCTGAGCAGATTGTTGCTGCTTGGGAGGTTGTTTAGGGGGCTGAACAGATTGCTGAGCAGATTGTTTAGGAGGTTGTTGAACAGGTTGCTGAGCAGATTGTTGCTGCTTGGGGGGTTGTTGTTGTTGTTTGGGAGGTTGCTGTTGTTGAGCAGGCTGCTGCTGAACAGGTTGCTGGATAGATTGTTGTTGTTGTTTAGCAGGTTGTTGTTGTTTAGCAGGTTGTTGTTGCTGCTGCTGAGCAGGCTGTTGTTGTTTGGGAGGTTGTTGTTGAGTGGGCTGTTGTTGTTTAGGAGGTTGTTGTTGAGTGGGTTGTTGCTGTTTAGGTTGTTGTTGTTGCTGTTGCTGCTGTTGCTGTTGCTGAGCAGGCTGCCGTTGCTGAGCGGGTTGTTGCTGCTGCTGAGCAGGCTGTTGCTGTTTAGGAGGTTGCTGTTGAGTGGGCTGTTGCTGCTTGGGAGGTTGCTGTTGCTGTTGAGATGGCTGCGATTCCTTCTGCACATCCTTTGAAGGAATACTATTCTTCGCGTCACTCTGAGAACTCTTTGGAACAACCTTCTCATTACTATGTTGAGATGTTGCCTGAGTGGAATTTGAAGAACCCGTTTTGACATCTCTAGGCACATTCTCTGATTCTTCCTTACCCTTAAGAGATTCCTTTTTATCCACTTTCTTATTATCCTTTTTCTTTTCATTTGGATGATCTTTCTGATTGTCTTTCTGCACAGGTTTCTTCATTTCTTTGGAACCATTATTTTGCGATCCTTTTGGGTTTTCCTTACTATTTTCTGGATGCGATTCTCCCTTGTTGTTCTCTTTATGATGCTCCTTCTTTACGTCTCGATTAGGATCCTTCCTAAAATCATTCACCTTATCTTTCGAAGCATTGTGCTGATGGTTTCGTTGCTCTCTCCTCTGAGAATCACCCTGCTGATCTCTTCTTTGCGAATCTTCTCTACTGTCCTTGGGATTTCGCTTCTCTCTTCTCTGTAACTCTTCTTGATTCTCTCTTCTCTTCATGTCATCCCGATAGTCCCTTCTCTGTGAGTCTTCCCGATGGTCTCTTCGTTGTGAATCATTTTGTTGATCTCTTCTTTGTAATTCATCCCGATGATCCCTTCTTTGAGAATCCTCCCTATTTTCTCTTCTCTGGATTTCGTCGCGATTATCCCTTCTTTGTGAGTCTTCTCGATAATCTCTTCTCTGGTGATCATCACGATTGTCCCTTCGCTGCAAATCCTCTCGATTTCCCCTTCTTTGATTCTCATCTCGATAGTCTCTTCTTTGAGAATCTTCGGGATGATCTCTTCTCTGATTCTCATCTCGATAATCCCTTCTTTGACTACCATCTCTATGATCCCTTCGTTGTGAATCATTTTGTTGATCTCTTCTTTGTAATTCATCTCGATTATCCCTTCTTTGACTACCATCTCTATGATCCCTTCGTTGTGAGTCTTCGGGATGGCCCCTTCTCTGCGAATCTTCAGGATGATCCCTTCTTTGACTGCCATCTCTGTGATCCCTCCTTTGGGAGTCTTCAGGATGATCTCTTCTCTGCGAACCATCTCGGTGATCCCTTTTCTGGGAGTCTTCTCGGTGATCCCTTCTCTGAGAATCATGTCTAGAAGATGATTCTCTCGACGAATCTCTTAAACGAGATCGACTATGATCATGCTTCGAATGAGTCGCTCCCCTTGGATGGGATCGATCTGACTCATGTTCCTGTGGGGACGAGTGATGATGATCTTCATGCACTCTTTTGTCTCTTTTGGTATCACTCATTTCGCTATTATTCTCATGTTCACGCTTCGAATCTTCTTTTTTCATTCCCTTTATTATTTTCAACAAGTCTTTCTGTTCTTCCGCATCATCCAGTTCTCCTTCTTCTTCCATTCTATCCTCATTCTCACCTTCCTTCTTCTGCTTGTCATTCCTCTCCTTCTCTTTCGTTTCTTTACTACTCGAAGAAGCCGATTCTTTCCTCAGTTCTGCATCCTCCTTTCTCTTCTTTTCCTCGTTTTCCTTTTCTCTCTGCTTCTCCAATTCCATTTGTCGTTGCTTCTGCTGCTCTTTTCTTTCCTCAACATGCTTCTGCATCTCCCCTAACGACAGTTCATTCGACTTGGCTCCTTCTGGAATCGCTACTATCATCACTTCTTCCTCCTTCCCTACCAATCCCATGCAATTGGCAGTACGTTTTCGTGCTGTCCAGAGGCGGAACCTTCTCCGAGAACGCGCAGAACTGCACCGTATTCTGCGATAGCAGCAATCGCAGCAGTCTCCAGTTATAAATGGGGTTGCGATAGGGCATGTATTCCTCTTCGAATCCGTTCTCCGGATCCATCGCTTCCACCAAATCGCGCGCCATCACTTCTGCAAACGGAGTTGCGCCCATCGCTTCCGTTGTGCAGTTCTCAGGGACTTCTGGGTGTGATGGATATGTGAGTTGCTCTCTCCGAACCGTTTCTTCGCGGCAGCTTTGGATCTGGATGTCAGCCTCCCTCTTCATCAATACGAAATCTTTCAGCGTATCGTCGCGACAGAGGTTCCGCACATCGCCAGGGCGTCGCGACGCCAAGCTCACTTCCACCGTTTCATGGGCCGGGATCGGCTCTTTCGGAACCATCGGGGGAAACTTGCTCTCCTTCCAATCTTCCCACACGACTTCGCGATCCACATGCTTGACGATCGCATTGCAGAACGCATCTCCGTGCGGTGTGCTTTGCAGCAAGCGGAGTACGTCCTTCTTGACATCTTTCCATTCCTTGATCTCTGATTCACGCTTCAAAACAGGACGGACGTGCATCAGATAGCAGTACATTTGCACGCCGATGGACCGCCGAGTCTTCACATCGCGCATCTGTGTCAAAAACACACTCGCTCGGGACGAATACAAGGGGAGAATCTTGTCCGAATCTGCTTATTATCGCTTGCTTTCACTCGCTTACCATCGAATTCTTGAGGCTGAAAATTCAAATAAATCTTATCCAGCTCCAGCGATTCCTTCTCCAACTCCCCAGCTCGTGTCAGTTCCTTGATTTCGCTCATCCGTTTCGTCACATAATGAATTAGCTGGTGAAGCTCTTCCCATCGTGACGCCTCCTTCGTCACATAGTCGCGATTGCATAGAATTTCCTGCAGCTTCCAGAACTTCCCGTAGAACTCCGAGTAGTTACCTTTACTGCCGTTATCTCTGCACATCAAGCAATCAAACAGCGCACACAATATCTTCTTCACTACGTCTGGAGGGTCCAAACGAAGCGAGGCATGCCGGTTGAACTGATTCGCCATGTTCAGTCCACTCCTCTCTTCCAAAGAAAACATGTTCGACAGAAACCTAATCGTCAACCAAACGCTGCAACCCAACATCATCAACGAGCCTCGAAATGCGCAATCCCGTATTTGGCAAGTGCGACGGAGGAGAGAATTCACAAGCTTTAGTACTGCTAGGCTCGTAAGGCTGCAGCGTTTCTCATCGATGTGTAGGAGCTCCGATATGTCCTTTTGGTAGGTTTTGAACGTATTCCATATTGCTTCACACTCATTGATTGGAACCGATTCAAACAACTCATCCATTATGAGCAAAGGGGTTGTAGGGGAGCACAAACCATTTTTACAGGCAGTCATCGCATTCATTAATAAGGTATGATACGAGCTCTCAGAAAAGGACAAGTGCTTCGAAATGAGCTCATCTCTTGCATCCTTTCCAACAATTTGGAATGCGAGAGTTACGGAAGCATCAAAAAATGATTCAAAAATACTCTCCTTCCCACCCGCTACGAAAATCAAAGAAAAGTCATATTTCCGTACCAATAAGTTTTGTACGTATTTCCTTTATCTCGGTTACGAAGTTCTCTGGATCGTTTGTTGGCTGGAGTGAAGATGCGATTGAATTCTTTATTTTATGATTTGGCTTTGATAGAATACCTTCACCGAAGACAAAACATCTAGTGGATCCATGAATCGTCAACTCTCAGAAATACAATATGAACTATGTATTTTATCAAACCGTATTAGTTGCCTATAGAGTATGAATATTGAAATCACATTCATGGTCTCAAACTTTTGTAACAGCACTGTATTCGAGATTAGAAAAGTGTGGGTATGATAAGCGTCATTGTTAAAATACAATGTAACATTTCCCTCCAAGTACGAGTTGATGTACACTATTATTCAAAATGGACTACCAACGTTCTGCATGTTATGTGCAATTCATGTGTAGATATAAATTTCACAAATAATCCGTTTGAACAGGATGAGCGTCCAGTACCAAAGCAACAAGAATTCCAAGCACAAGTGTCTTTTTACAAAGTGTGTGAGCTATAGACATACTCGATTCATCATCCGTTGCTCCCTATTTCGATTGCCTCTATTAACAAAACGGTATGTGATGAATCAGGACAGCGATTGTTCTATGGAAACATTGTCAATCCACTTGTATTATAACTATTTCCATTAGTGAAACAAAGGTTTGCGTTGTGGGTATCGTGCTTTCGAGCGAATCGAAGGGAAACTGCATGGATCTGCTTCTCCACGACGGGACCGGAACGATCTCTGCAAAGCAATGGCTGGTGAACTCGGCCGATCTCTGTTCTTTCTAGTAATCTCCTCTCCTTGTATATCTAATACCGCAGCCAAGGCCGCGAAGTTCGTGTGATCGGCCTGACCAAACAATATAAAGACACTCTCTGCATCACCATTCAACACATCGAATTGATTACCTCTTTCAACACGATCATTCATCACTGGCTGACCATGATCTTGTCCTCCACCCACCACACCCATCGCACTGATCGCACTAATAGTACTAATAGCACTAATAGCACTAATAGCACTAATAGCACCAATAACACTGATCGCACCAATCGCACTGATCGCACCAATCGCAGCGATCCCTCGGCTATGCGCAGCGTGGTGGTCAACCCACAGCCACGTCGCGTCGCCGTTCCATCGCAAGTTACCGACTATTTTGAGTCCAAAAAGCCAAAGCAATCGATCGATCTACTGCTGCAAGAGAATAGCTGGGAGGAAGAACCTCTGACGCAGCAGCAGCAAAGCGTTCTGAGGGTGATTCAGCAGCAGGGAAACAGCTCCGCCGAGGGAGTGAGCATGCAGATGATTCTACAGAACGCTGCCAAGCTGCGGATGAGCCAGAAGGATATCGTGTATGGGTTCGTATTCGTTTTAAGCAAAGCACCACGGTATATCAACTGCTGAGCCAAGGACATGCGTATAATACCATCGATAGTTCGCACTTCAAACCTACGAACGTGTTCTCTTTTGTTTGTGCAATACCCTTCTCAGTGGTTCACACTATTTGAAATCCTACACATTTCTTATTGTTCGTTGGCAGGTCAGTTTTTGTGCATTAATTGTGGTTTGGTAGTGATAATTTCTATTGCTTTTGTTTAAAATGAAGCAATTCTAATCTTTTCGTAGATGAGCAATATTAAGCAACTGCTGATAGAAATCGAGGACAATGTCGCACTCGTTGATATTAACCGTCTATTCGAAGTGCTATTTGAAGCTATTGGTTTTCACTCTACTATTTTTTAATTTATTAGAAAAAATCGAGAGAGAAGAAGATCACATAAATGATTTCCAATCCTACTTCGACTTGTGGTACGTCTCTATTCCTTTCCACAAAACCTTAGTGTCTCTCAGCAGGCTACGAAGGGACCAATTTACAGTGTCTTGCTAAGTCTTTTGACAACGAGACATCGGCCTTTTGTTGCCGACTGTGTGACGATTGTGCAACACTCCCTTCTATCGAGTATCCAGGAAGGAAACGTGATTTCCAGTTTACTGCGAGTACAATAGAATCTTCTCTTCCAGTTAGTTTCGCTTCCTCGTCCTTTTAAGCCTTTTCGACGTGGTGGACGTGGCTTCGATTCGCCAGTCCTTCCAGTTGCTCATGGAGACCATCAAACTGACCCACAACGCTCTGCTGATCCGTCTCTTCTCCTCCACCCTGCTCTACGTACCCTCCTCTTTCCTGCTCTCTCCCTCCAGATCTACCCATTCGTTCTCGCCCACAAATCCCCGCTCACCATCGACGAGTTCGTCGATCTCGCCAGCGCCTTCCACACCTACATGGAGTCCGACTACCGCAAATCCTCCACCTTCTCCGGCCAATCGCGCGGCTTCTTGAAGGTATTTCCCCGCTCTCTCTCCCCTCTCTAACGCGCAGCGCACCGCGACGTCCAACGACCTCTTCATCCAGTACGACGCCGCTCTGCAGATGGTCAGCTCCGCGCTGCGCAAGTCCCAGAAGTCCCCCGCCGCCGCGACCTGTCTCCGCACGCTGGATATGAACTATTCCTCGCTGGTGCGCATCGCCTACGAAGCCCTGCAGAAGGCTCCCGAAGAGTTGGAGGAGGGCGAGGAGGCCAGCAATCCCAGCCAAATCCCCGACGTCCAGGAAAAGCTCGTCGCCTACTACCAGGGAAAGCGGCTGCGGCTCCCCATGCTCATCGAGTGGCCGACCGTACCCCCGGGAATGGCGTGTTCTGTAGGAGATCGAGTCGGTGACGGCTCCGCATTTCATCTGCTCGAATTTGGCGGCGAACGGGGATATCTCGTACTCGATTCTGCCGCTGTACCAAACGCTGTTCATCCAGGAAATCGTGGAGGTAGCTTCCGCCCTTTGTTTGTTTTCGAGTAGAACTACCTGTTGCTGTTTTGCCCTTCGTGGGAATACGCGTCCCGCTTCATCCAAAAAGTCCACGAGCTGATTTTCCCGTACCACGAGATTGATCAGCGCACGCTGGACAAGAACATCGCGTCCATCATCGTGCAAGTTCTCTTCACGCACATTCTCGACACCACACAATCCACCACGCTCTCTCTCCACGCGCAGAACACGCTTCTCCACCTCGCCGTCGCGTCCATCAACGCCGACCAATCCAGCGAGGGCGCCTTTCTCCAGCGTCTCTCGCCCGCGCTGTTCCGCTACGTGGATTCGCTGTGCATGTACGGCGATTTGCTCACCGCCGAGGCGCTGCAAGTGCTGATTTTCTGGTTCGCGCGCCACATGATCAACACGCAGTACTTCTGGCCCTGGCAGAAATGGTTTCGCTTCGGCTCGCGCTGAATGCTAGGGAGCGCGTCTCGCAGTCGCCCGTGTCTTCGTCGCACTACCTTATCATTTCGGAGTTCATGATCGCCTGCTCCGCCCAGGACTCCGAGGAAAACTTCACCGAGCACGTCCCCGAAATGGTTCGACGCCTCCGCGAGATCGGCTTATTCAACCCCACGCAGCCCATCCGCGATCAGAGTACTCGGTTTCCACGCTTCGCGAGTAGACCCCGAGTACGCGAAGCAGATTCACCGGCTTCTGCACGGGAAGAATCCGCAGTCGAACTTCGAGAAGCTTCTGGTGGAGCAGTACAACGGCCACGGATTGTTCACGCGCGAGCTCGGCATCGTGCTGCTCCTCTGCTTGGACAGCACGGACATCCGGAAGGTGTGCGGCAACTTCCAGCGCTACGCGGGAATCCTGAAGCTGCTGGTGATGGATCGCCAGTTGATGGTGATCGAAGAGGTTTTCTCGTCGGCGTATCGGAACTACGCGGCCACGGCCATCATCATTCGACAGCTCGTGGAGCTGGAAATCATCTCGCTGGGAGACTATCTGCATTTCCTGCGGATTACGAATACGAATCATACGCTGTAAGGGTGGAAACGTGGAATTGAACGAAGGTTTTATTATTGGTATATTCTCGATATCGTGCTGCGGGTTACGAATAAGACCGAGAGTTATGTGGATGTTTTTGAGGTGGAGGAGGTGGAAGAACGTGAGGCGTAGACATTACTCGACCTGCATAACAAAAATGGAAGCACGATGAATTCCGATTTTGTCGTGTCGTTCATTGAGCAGATGATGAAGCACTACAAGATCGAGGTATTTTTTTTATCAAGATAGGAATGAACGATAGTTTACGAAACGAGATGATTATGAACAGTTTATTCCCAAGATTGAAGAACGTATTCTCTCTCTGAAGGTGAGCCAGGGCCGTTCTGTGGAGATGAGTCGTTATCTGACAAAGTTTTAAGTGTGTTGTTTGTTTAGATACAATGAAAAACGAAACAGTATTTCTATGTCTTTCTCGCCCCAGTCTGTGACTCAATTAGAAGAGTTAAAGAATCTCATATTTGTTTCATATATTCGCCGAAAAAAGTCGAAGAAAGTAGTGAATGCTCTCCTATCAGGTGCAAGCGTATTTGTACCACAAGATTTATCACTGCCTATTGTGCTAAAGAAAAGTGATATTTGTAGGATTCCAAGAGTTGTTGTTGAGTAGTAAATCATGTTGCAACGGAAGTCAGTGAATATTATTACCAGTCTCTGTCAAAGAAAAAGATATGCATGATTGGAAACGAAATCCGAACGGAAGATGGTTTTTCCGAGTTGCGGCTCATTAATTTTTCCCGACAGTATACTTTGAAAGAAGATGAATTTTGTGACGTTTTTGGAATATCTGCTCCGAAGGAACGGAGTGCGGTTCCCTCTGCACTCACCGTGATTGTATACATTATTGATTGTCCATTCGTTTTTTTTTACCTTTTTATTTTCCTAATTCTTAGGAGCGAGGCATCATCTGTCCTTCTTGTGAAGAACTATTAAGTTTTGAGCAGCTGTCAACCTACATGAACTATCTGGGTCTCTACGCATCCATCAATCCCCTCGTTTCCCAACTCGTTTCATCTCTCGCTCCCTCCTCTCCCTCTCCCTCTCCCCGTCCCTCCAGCAACTCCCTCTACATGATCCGCACGGTGTCCACCCAGAAGATCGCCCCCAAAAGCTCTCTGCACATGCTGAAAGTGGGTCTTCGCGAGCGCGGCCATATTTATCTCCAAGCCATCAACGAACTCGCCAACGCGCTCTGCAAACGCTACCCCGAAAACGCAGAGCGCAAGAACGTCGTCGTCTACGTACTCAATCGTGGAAACGTGGAACCTAGACCCTGCATCAATGCCTGTTTCGCGTGATTTCCCCGCGAATCGTATCGATGCTGTACGAACGATGCCGCGAAGAAGTGCTTCTGTTTGACAAGGCGCGATTGAATCTCTCCAATCTCTCGCTGCAGGATCTGAACGTCCCGGTGGATTTCGTTTGTAACGTAGCGGAAGAGCGAGCGGTTGAGGCGTAGTTTATGCCCGCGCTGGCCCAATTCAATTGCTCCTATTTTGAGTTTAATTATCATCTCGATACGGCGCTGCCGCTGTCGATTCTGCAGTGCTGGAATCAGTTGTTGACGGATATTCGGTACGGAATCAACGTGGATATCTATCGGAATAAAAAGAAAAAGGCGCATATGGCGAATCTGGCGTTGTCGACCGACGATATGATCTCGCTTGTAATCTATATCTTGATCAAATCGTGGGGTTTGCGTCTTTGCATCGCATGTAGAAATCTGTCGTCCTCGCTTCCGGTTCATTTAGTCCTGGTTGATGCGTTTACGCCTTGTGAGTTGTCGTGTTCGGTGCTGGGATACGCATTTGGAGTGATGGAAACAGCAGTAAACTGGATCCTGAAGAATGGTGCCAAAGAATCTTGTGTTGTTTGTTGAATGAAATCATGAGGGAAGGGGTGGAGATGAATAGGATTTGGATTTGGAATTGGATTATGGGAGAGGGATGGAGTGGAGATAATTGTGAAAGAAGAAAAGGATAGAATAATATATATGTAGGTGAATATGAGGATTAGATAAAGAAATGATGATAGTTACATAGTTCAAAATACTTCAAATCGATCATAGATTATAATAATAAGGCAAATAACATGAATTCCATCTTTCTTTCTTTCTTTCTTTCTTTCTCCTTCTAATAATCGTAGGAATCAAGTGTCCGATAGCAAAGAATCGCGTTAGGAGTCATTTGTCATCGCGAGACCTCAGTATTTTAACATCCATCATTCCATATCATCAAGAGCGATTGTGTACTAACTCTACAAACTTCCTGAATTGTTCTCTAAATGTTATATATATATATGGAATTATCTATGATATATAATGTATTATAAGCGATTGTTTAGTCCTAACAATCAGAATCACCTTCACATGGCACACACCCTCATTCGATATTCGGCTTCAGACCATTTCCACACACAAAACTATGCCTCTTATAATGACTACAAATGCCCGATTTCATTTTCTTGATTGAAACACAATTAAAAATGACATATAACAATTAAGCCCACTATTGTTCAGAATCCTTGCTGTTATTGAATGAATTCAAGGAATATGGGATTGCCAACATTGTGCTTAACACCCTCGTAAAAGAACATGAGATCTATAACTAATAAAGATAATTGATGATAACAAACATATGTATTTGTATTATCCAATAATCATCAGTAGTTGATATACGGAGAAAAAGAGCATCGCAATATCTATTAAATGGATATATCACCGCAAAGAAGGTACCTCGCGTAATTTGTGGAAAAGAGTACATTTTCATATACTATCAGGGGGATCATAATCATGAGTACCTTGTTTATCCACATAATCACACTGGCTTAGTTCGGTTGTTTAAAAATGGCGTAGTGTCACTAGAATGGAATATTAGAGATGGAAAACGTGAAGGATATTTGATTTTGTATGAAAATGGTTGTGTAGTAATGAAAGAGAGTTGGGACAGTATATTTGGAAGTGGAGACTGCTATGGCTTTTTATTCACAGAAAAAGGATTGCAACTCGCAATCGAAGACAAAGTGTCACAACACATAATATACATTGGCAATTACAATTCGCAGATGCAACGCCATGGAAGAGGCATCGAATACGACCCAGAATCTGGGAAGGAGCTATTTGAGGGGTATTGGAGTAATGGCAAATTACAAAGTATTTTGAAGTTTTTCGAGGACGATCGAATGATAGAGCTAAGCAAGGCTAGCCAAATCACCGATATGTCTGAATGGAAGCCACTTTTCATGGGTGGATACGCGTATGATGAACGTACCATGTGCTTTTTCAGACATGGCGAAGGATGCACAATCGATCCCGAAAGTGGAACAGCGTACAGAAAAGGCGAATGGAATATGGGAGAAGAGGTACGGAGTGTGGAATTACTGGATGGAGTGTATCTGCGTCAGAAGATCGTTCGCGATGAAGCGGATTTGAACCAACTTCCTCCCAATGTTGAGGAGTTGGTGACGCTTCCTGACTGCTGTAACAAGATGAATGAATTGAATTTCGGTTGGTTTTCGGAGCTGCGAAGTCTCTCGTTCGGAGATCGATGCTTTGGAAACATCCAAACCTTTGCATTGAATGGAATGAATCAATTACAACGATTGAGAATCGGAAATTATTGCTTCGCTCCACCCACATCCATAACAGAAAACGCACACACGCCTTCGTTTGCGTCATCCTTTCAAATCTCGAATTGTCCTGTGCTTCGAAAAATTGAAATCGGAGCGTTTAGCTTTCGGGACTATGCGGGAGGCTTCGACATATCGAATTTGCCCCTTTTAGAAGAACTGAACATCGGCATCCCAACTCAAAACTCTTCCAATTTCTTTCATTCTGACTTTATTTTGCATGGTAAACACACCAACTCATACTCTCATTGCTAGATCTGCCTAGACTGCACTCTGTTTGTTTAGGCTCTAGGTCATTTTGTCTTGCGAAGCAAGTGAAGATGATGAGTAGCCTCGCATCGATTCGTTCCACTCTAGATCTGCCTTCTCTATGTACTATACAATTCGGCCATTTTGCCTTGCAGGGAGTCCATTGCAATGTAACACTAGAAAGTAGCTACCTGAGAATGCACAATAGACTAGATATCCCCAAATTGAGTTCAATCCAACTAACCGAAGACAACTTTACGTCTGTCGAGCAAGTGAGCATCTTTAGTTTGCTATCCAATCTCCGTATAACGCATTAGACCTTCCTGAAAGTTCGTCTGGGTTGTTGTTGGCACATTTTGAAAAAGTCAAGGTAACCAAGATGGAAAATCAGCCGTTATTTTATTCTATCTTGTTTGTTTGTTTGATTCACCATTTATTAGCTACAAACAATGCATTCAAACAAGAGTGACAAAATTCGGGCCGATTTCCAAAGCGTTTCACTTGGTAGTGGTTTTCAGGTTCTGTTCATCCTAGAAGCCATGGAATCGAGCGGTGCAAAGAAAAAGAATCAGCGACGTAATATGGCTGGTAAGAAGAGACAGTTCTCGCAGAAAGGAAAGAATTTTGGAAAAAACAAGAAAGGAAATAGATCAATTGGTCACAAGAAGGAGTCAAAGATCGACCGTGAAATCCGCGAGATTACTCAGTTGCAGAAACAAATTGAGGAGCTTTCTGCCCTTCCTGAGGAGGAAAAAGCGAATATTAAAAAGTTTGAAGCACTCCCTCTATCGAACTACACAAAGAAAGGTTTGAACGAAGCTGGCTTTACGGAAATGACCGATATTCAGCAGAAGTCGCTTATTAGTGCTCTCATGGGGTTTTCTCTTCTTTACAATTGCATTACTTTTTAGTCGCGATATTTTGGGCTGTGCGAAGACTGGTTCGGGAAAGACGCTTGCTTTCCTAATTCCAGCTCTAGAGTGTCTTTACCGCGAGCGATGGACTGAGGAAGACGGCATCGGCATCGTCATCATTTCTCCCACTCGTGAATTGGCCATGCAGGTATGTCCCTCTTTCCCCTATTCTCCCCAGATTTTCGACGTTTTGTGCACCATCGGCAAGTACCACAGCTTCTCGGCCGGCCTGGTGATCGGCGGCAAGGACTTCGAGGAGGAGCAAAGCCGGATTGTCAGCATGAACATTTTAGTCGCCACGCCCGGACGTTTCCTCCAACACCTCGAGCAAACGCCGGGTTTCGACTGCTCGAACGTGCGCGGCCTGGTCCTCGACGAAGTGGACCGGTGTCTGGACATGGGCTTCAAGACCACGATCGATCACATCGTGGATTCGCTGGGCGGAGACCGGCAAACCCAGCTTTTCTCTGCGACGATCGACGAGAACGTGAAGACCGTACTCTCCAACGCGATCCCTCACCGCTAGCTCGCCAGCTCGATCCTCTCCAATCCCGTATCGATCAACGTCAACTCCGACGACGACTACGCGACCCCCACCACGCTGGTTTGTGTTTCTGTGTCTCGCCTGACGCACAGACGCAGCGCTACATCGTCTGCGACCTCTCTCGCAAGGTGGAGCTTCTCTACAGCTTCATCAAGTCGCATCTGCGCTGCAAAATCCTCGTCTTCGCCGCCTCGCGCAAGGAAGTCCGCTTCCTCTTCGAGGCTTTTCGCCGCATGAAGCCGGGCGTCTCGCTGCTGCACCTGCACGGGAAGCAGAAGCAAACGATGCGCACCTACACGTACTACGACTTCATCCAGAAGGACCACGCCGTGCTCTTCTGCACCGACGTCGCTGCCCGCGGGATCGACTTCCCCGCGGTGGACTGGGTGGTGCAGTTCGACTGCCCCGAGGACGCGGCGACGTACATCCACCGCGTGGGCCGCGCAGGGCGTTTCCGCGCCAAGGGGAACGGTCTGCTGTTTTTACTGCCGCAGGAAGAAGCAGCGTTCCTGCCGATGATGGCGGAGGCGAATATCCCGCTGAAGCGAATCGCGGTGAACCCGAGTCGCACGCAGAGCGTCACGAACCGGCTCATGGAGGAGATCGCGCGCGACGAAACGCTCGGACAGCTCGCCAGCAAGGCGTTTCAGAGCTACGTGCGCAGCGTGTACTTGGCGTCCAACAAGCAGCTCTTCGACGTGCGTGCGCTCCCGCTGGAGGGCTTCGCGGAGGTAGGTTCCCCGATTCCACGGTTGAGCGTAGTCGCTGGGGCTGGGCGTGGTGCCGAACCTGAGCTTCTTGAAGAAGAAGGCGAAGAAGGCGGGGTCCTACGCGCTGCAGCAGCTCCAGGAGGAGATCAAGAAGGACGCGGAGGACAAGGCGCGCGCCAACGAGCCCTCGCAGGGCGCTGCGAGCGCTGCGAGCGCTGCGAGCGCGGGACAGAGAGCGGAGGAGGCGACTTCGGACGAGGACGACTTCCTGCAGAAGACGGGGAAGACGACGGCGGACGCGCCCGCGTTGGAGGTCCCGCTGCCGGAGAAGAAGCGGAAGAAGCGGCTGCGGATCTCGCCGGACGGAGAGCCGATCGGGAAGAGCATTCGGTTCGACGAGAACGGCGAGGCGATCGAAGACACGCGCGGCGTGGTGGAGCTGAAGGACGTGGAGGGCGAGATCGGCGAGGAGGCGGAGAAGGAGCGTCTGAAAGACGCGCAGATGCAGCTGGAAGAGAACGAAGAAAAGGATCGGATGCGCGAAAAGAGGCGAGTCAAGGAGAAGAAGATGCTGCTCAAGCAGAGGGAGAAGGAGATGCATAAGACGGAGGAGGCGCCCGTTGTACTTTTAGGAAATGATGAAGAGGAGGAAGAGGAAGAGGAAGAGGAAGATGCTGATGATGCACAGGATAGTGTGAATGAAGAAGAAGAAGAAGAGAGCATGGAAGAAGAGGATGACGATAACGACGACGACGACGACAACGATGATGATGATGAATAAATTTTAAAAGAGTTTGTGGAACAAACAACACATTGTCACAAAGGTTAAGCTGTCTCCATATCGTCGCCTCCTTCATTATCGGGAACTTCGCGAATATACAAGACGTTGTTGCATCTTTTGGTTAGAAACTAGCAAGCAGACTTACCGAATCAATACATCTCCTAAAAGGGCAGTGCTCTTACCATCAACATATTCTTCGCAGTTAGACAACTAGGATTTCACACACACCAACCAAATTTACCTGAAGATTCATATATGAGTCGAACGAAACAAGACGACCTAAAATGAAATCCTATCCACAATTTAAATACCCTGATACTCCAAACCCCACTTCAGCTTAACGCAAATCAGCTTTCCTGTCATATTCTTCAGAAAAGGTTTGGGATTCAAAAGGTCTTTCACCTATGCAATAACCAAACTCCCCCAAGAATTCCCACAATCGCAGAACTCATTCCAGTCTCTTTTTCTTGTTTTTGATTCAGCCGAGTACCCGCGGTTTTCAATACGATCTAGGGGCGACTCGGATCTCCTTCATTTGAAACAAACAATGCAAGACAAGACATAGTTAGGATGTACATCGACCAGCCAATCATCCTCTTCGATCTGCCCGATATCACTATTCACTACCAGAATATGGTCTCGATTAACGAGTCTTCGAGCGATGCTTCGAATGATTCCTCGCTTATAATTCAATTCTTCCGCATCGCTGATGCGCATCGTCTTCAAAACGGCGCTAATCAACTCTCCGAATTTAATGCCCATAAACTGCACGTCCGGCGTTTCTCTCATTTGCCTTTCCTTCTCCTTCTGGATCAAAATCACCATCGCCTTCGCCGTTCTCGAATACTCCTCAAACGTAACACTCTTCGTCTGTTTTTCCGGAATTCCAGAATTCGCGGGTTCTTCTTCCTCCATTTGCTCATTTTGCCCCCATTCGTCCTCCTCATTGAGGCTCACATCGGCCGACTCCACGTGGATGATGGACTGCTTGAGGAGTCTGCAGGCCTCCTTCACATACGCCGGAATGACCACATCGCTGAGATGCACGCGCGCGATGGCCTCGCTCAGTCGAATCAGCGACTCCAGCTGGCGCACCGTGATGCGGTACGCGGTCTGCGTCCTGGATCCCACGGAGTCTCCCTCGCGCAGCATGCGGTAGGAGTCCACGAGCTGCTCCTGCGCCTCCTGCGTGAACTGCGGATTGATTTGCTTCGCGAAGCTGATGTAGTACTGGATCTGCTCCGTCGTGAAGTACGACTCCCCTTCCACGTTTCCACTGCTCCCATTGGTTCCATTGGTTCCATTGGCTCCATTGGCTCCATTGGTTCCACTGGTTTCTCCGGTTCCCTCTCTGCGTCGCTGCTGGATGATGTGTTCCGCGATTTTCCGGTCCACCGCGGGATCGCACTCGTCCAGAATGACAAAAAACAAATCGAATCGAGACATCAGCGGCGCCGTGATGGCAATATTCTGCCGCAGCGGCTTGGTGCGGTCGTACCGTCCGCCCACAGGATTGGCCGCGGCCAGCACGGCGGTCCTCGCGTTGAGCGACGCCGTAATCCCGGCCTTGGTAATCGAAATGGTCTGCTGCTCCATGGCTTCGTGAATGGCCACCTGGTCCGCCCAGTCCATCTTATCGAACTCATCGATGCAGCAGATCCCGTTATCGCTCCGCATCAACGCTCCCGCTTCCAGACACACCTCCCGCGTCTCCGCGTCGCGCGTCACGCCGACCGTCAGTCCCGCCGCGGACGCGGACTTTCCCGACGTGTACAGCGCGCGCGGCGCCACCGAGGCCACGTACTTCAAGAACTGCGACTTCGCCGTCGACGGATCCCCCACGATGCAGATGTTCAGATCCCCGCGGATCGACGTCCCGTCCGCCGTCTTCTTCGGAACGCCTCCCACCAGCTGCAGCAGAATCCCGCGTTTCACGTCGCTCTACGCGTCACCGCGGGGATCCACACCCACATGGCCATAAATCGTGGGCGCGATCGACTCCGCCAGCTTGTTATAGATGATGTTCGCCTCCCGCATCGCCATGATCGTCTGCTTCATCACGTCGCTGAATTCTGCCGTGACGGGCGTTTCGCCGCCCTCCACGCGCACCGCGCTGCACAGAAACGCCGTTTTGTACGTCAGCATCTTCACGCCCTGCCCCAGCAGCCCCGTCACGCCCTCTCCCGCGGTTCCTGCGCTCCCCAGCGAAACGCCCTGGCCTTGGCGACCTCTAGAGATGACGGCCTCCCGCGGGACGGACCCGAAAGCGTCGGGGACGACGATGAGCGTGCCGGTGGCGACGATTTGATCGCCGGGTTTGACGCGTTCGACGAGCGAGTTGCGGAGAATGAGGTCCAGCGAGCGGGGCATGCTCCCCGCGGGGATCTCGTTGGTGTTTTCCTGGAGCTTGGCGCGCTGCCAGTCGTCGAAGAGGGACTCGTTCATGTTGAAGGTGAACTGGGAGCGATTGTTGCAGTCGGGGTTCGGACACATCGCAGGCTTCGTGAAGGAAAAGGCCTGGTCCACCGACTTGATCTCTGTGTGGCACTTGTCGCAGGTGAACGAGCCGAAGAGCAGCTCCGGCTTGACGTCCGTCGTGCGCGTGATGGTGCCCGAGATCGCCAGCAGCGAGCCGATGTGCTCGCAGCGAAGCGCGCGGAGCGGGTATTCCTTGTCCAGGTTCGTGATGGACACGAGGACGCGACGGTCTTGCTGGATTTCGTCGCCCTGGGCGTGAAAAACGGGAAAACAAACAAACGCTGTCGTGGATGTATTTACGAACAAAATCGGAGGCCGCCTTCTCGAGGCTGGGCAGTACTTTGTGGAAATGAGCTCGAATACTCTCCGCAAGATCGGGATTGACAGCTTTCAATTTCTGGAAGTCTACAATCAGGGTCGTAGAATCTCTGTTTCTGTCATTCTCGATATTGTCGACAAACTCCTAAATCCACTCACCTCCACCAAATTAGGGTACATTGTCAATATACATGTTCTCTTCATCATGGAGACTCTCCTCCTGCTCCTCCTGATTAGGACTACCGGTAAACAAAACGATCTACCCGCACTGTTTCAAATACTCCGCAAACTGCTCTTGGATCGTATTTAAAAAGGGATCGCCAATGACTCCCTGCCGGAGATTTTCCTGTACATCCGCCATTCCCAGAATATATAGAATAATAAAAAAGCTACTCGTTGTCGCCCTATTCACAGTTGCGTGCTCTAACAAACAGCCAAACTACACATGCTTCGCACCTTCGTAAAGATTCCCACCAGTGAGCGGAGCTGAATCTCCTCCTGCGTCCCCGCATTCAGTCGAACCCTACATCGCACATCATCTCCACCTCTACTCCAAATCCGCCAACTCCCTATACAAAAACGCGTCCACCGCCGGAGGGAACGACACTTCCTGCAGCTTCCCGACCAGTTCCGTGAGGATGTCCGACATCGCGAACATCTTCTTTCTCTGCAGCTCTTCCAGCGTTTTCAGCGCATCTCCGTACGATTTCGCCATCAGCGAGCTCAGCACCAGCTCCATGTCCGCCGGCGACGGCATCCCCGCACATCGGTACACATGTTCCGCCGTGACTTTGCCGAACGCCATCGCCGTCGCCTACGCAAAATCACACTCAAAACCGCGGGGATACCTGAAGAACGTTGATCACGCGACGCATATCCCCGCGGGAAAGCGCTAGAAGGGCCGCCACGCCGTCGTCGTCGAATTCCACGCTATTTTAAAATCCCCGCGGGAATCGGGTACTTCTCTTGGCGCAGAATGTAGAGGAGGCGGGAGCGAATCAGCTGCGGGTTCAGCGGCTGGAAGCGGAAGCGCGTGCAGCGCGATTGAACCGCGGGAATGATTTCGGAGACATAGTTGCAGATGAGGCAGAAGCGCGTGTTTTGACTGTATTTCTCGATGACTAAAGGAAATTAAGGAGGAAGGAACGATAAAATACTGCGACGCAGGGCGAATTGGGCGGCATTGGTCATGTTGTCGGCTTCGTCCAGAATGACCAGTTTGACGCCCGTGTGGAACAGTTTCTTTGTACCGGCGAAGACTTTGATCTGCTCACGGACCACATTGATACCTCGATCATCGGAGGCGTTTAGCTAGTGTACATAGAAAAAGAGAAGCAAGAGGTACTTCCAAAACCATGCTCGAATGGCTGCTGCCATACAGCATTTTCGCTACCGCCATAATTGTCGTGGTCTTTCCTGTGCCTGGAGGACCGTAAAACAGGAGATGAGGAAGTCGGTTTCCCTCAATGAAACGCTTGACTATTCCTAAAAACGCTGGATACGCACCCACTTGTAGCGACAATATCGTCCTGTGAAACTATATTATCGAGGCTTGTGGGACGATACTTTTCAACCCAAGGCAGCGCATCATTTTGTTCAAAGTCCCCTCGCGTGATCGTGGTGTTGCTATTCATGAGGACTATGCAAGACAATTCAAACTCTCCTTCGACCTCCATTGTTCTGAAGTTTCAAAACAACAATTGCTACTATCTATTGTCAAATCAAGATTGGTTCCTTGAACGCTCCATTCCAGCAATTATACATATATATAAATATGTATCCAACAAACACTCCATATCCATCCTCTCACTCCTCCTCAACAAAACATTCCTCCGTCTTGTACAGCAACATCTGAATCACCTGCATGTCCTTCAGAATATTCGTGTGCGCCGTCTTTCCAATCAGCGAATCCAGCGAGAAGTTCAAATTCTACATCGCATCCCTCTCTTCTCCCCCCACATCATAATACACGTCGAACTTTTTCACTTTCGTTTGACAGAATTCGCTTCGGAATTGCCGCCAAAACGAAGAAATCATTTCCTGGTACACTTCGCCCTCCACTCCTTCTGACAATAAAATCGCGGGATTCGTTTCGATTCGTTCCGAATGAAACGGAACGAATGTGTCTTGGAAGGACGAAAATAGGTAGAAATAATGGAATGACGATAAATCTGGGACATATGGCAAAAAAGGTCCCTACCCGAATTTTGGGACATTCGGTACAGAAGCGTGTTCCGCGGGTTTTTATCGTCTTTCAGCAGCAATTCGTCCACCAATTGCGACGAATTCACGAATGCCAAAAATCGGGACCCCCAGTCGATCGACCGTTTCGAAAATGTAACGCCGCAATGCGGAGCGTTCAGTGACAAAAACAGGTGGAAAAATTGAGTGTAGGGGGTCAGCAGGGGGTTTCGAAACGCCAATCGGAGAATTAGGGCCCCTACCGAATGTCCCAAAAAGGAGATTCGGCGCAGATTCTGCCGTGACTGGAGTTTCAGCGCCTGGAGATGGCCGCTGATTTCCTGAGCCACTTTGGAGGCCAACACGACGAGCGATTTTTCCATCGAATTCGCGCAGGATTGCAGCGCAACGACTTTCAGCGCGGGGTATTTCAAGTTCAGCAGCGAAATGATGCGATGCATATCCGCGGGAGACGCCTAGCGGTGAGAGAAACGCCCGGAGAAAACGCGAAACCCGTGGAGGACGAAGAGAACGTGGAGAGAAGGAGGGTTTGGGTCCATTAAACAATAGGGACATCGGCGAACATTACTCAGATTAATATGGGCACATCTCCGATTGGGACAGGTCCATTGGGAGAGCGTGCCGTTGCTATTGGGTGAGTTTTGAACCGAAGTGTCCGTTTTTCCATAACGGTCAATCAACAATAGGGGACATGACGCCAAAACGCCGTCTTCGAGGGAAGAAACGACCAAACTATCGTCATGAATCACGTTTTCCGCGATGGTGTCGCTGAAGTCAAGGGAAGAACAATCAAAAATACCTAAAATAGGCACTATTTCGGACAGTTTCAAAGAGTGTTTTGTGTTCCTTCAACACATCGTGCGTCTAGTGCGTCATCGAAATTGCGCGGGTTTCTACTTCGCCGCTCAAATCCAGCAGACTCAAACGATTCAACAGAATGAAACGGCTGTAGAAATCGCGCAGATTTCGGTCATGCTCCCGATGCATCATTTCCACCATTACCCCGATGCACTCCCCGATTACCGCGGTTAACGTGTCATGCAGCTCCCACAGCTGCTGCGAGCAGTGGGAGATTTCCGCGGTTAACTGCTTCGAAAAGGAAACGCCGATTTGCTTCAAATCGCTTTGTCCCAATTCCACCCAATCATCTGCCGACAACGAGCGACGCATGTCCCGCGGGGAATCGTCATTTTTCCCGGGGGACAAAATCATGGGGATTCTGTCGGGAGAGTCCCGCGGGGAATCATCGCTTTTGGAAGGAGAAAAAATAGCGGGAATTTCGTGAAGCGACTCCCGCGGGGAATCGTCATTTTTGCCGGGGGATAAAATCATGGAAAGTTCGGAAGGCGCGTTCCGCGGGACATCGTCATTATTGGCGGGAAGCCGAATTTCGGGGATTTCGAAGGAAAATTCCCGCGGTTCCATGAGTTCGGCCAGGGAGTCGCGGAACGCGGGCTGGAACCGCGGGGATCCGCAAGGACTGTAGAAAGGATCGGAAGGTGGAAACGGAGAAGTGGGGGAATGAAGGGAACTGGGAAATGCCGAGTGTTTGAATGAGTTGGAAATCGGGGCTTTTTTTGCCATTTTCGAATTCGATGGAAAGGGGGAAACGGCTTCCTGGATGGGTTTGGAAAAAGGCCTGATTTTTGTCAAGGGGTTGGTGGAATCAGTGGAAACGGTGGAAACAGTGGAAACAGTGGGGTAATGGCGGACGATGCGTTCGATGGAATTCGCGAGATTGGTGAAGGAATTCTGCAGGAAGGAAACGAACAGCGAGGAAAGCGCCTCGAATTTGCACTCGATCGCTTTGTAGCTCTACGCGGTCGATCGACTCCGCCAAGCAAACGTCGCAGTCGTCGAATAAAAACCCGTCCAGCGGCTGCGGGTCGGTCAGAAGCTCGTTTGTGGGGCTCAAAATCGTTTGATGATAGCGGAAATCCATCAGGGAGCACGTGAACACGCCGCGGAGCTCGCACAGGCCTTGCTGGGAGAAGATGAGGCGGAGGTAGTGCAGAACGGAATTGTCTCCGATGTTGGAAATCGAAATCGTCTGCGAACCGATGAACTAAATGGGACATCAATGGGGGATGCTTACGGTCGCTTTTTCGGCGTAGGCGGAGACTTTCTTCTCATTCTTGATGGGTTTGTGATAAAATAACTCGACGGTGAACTCCAGGGAGGAATTATCCATGTGCTGATAGGGAACTTCCACTCGCCAGCAGCACGATTCGCGAAGAGAAGCTTCCTCCCCTGCATAGCGGATGAGGAGATTCCTAGATACGAATGCATTCTCCTCCACATCCACAGAACAAGGTTTGTAATACATTTCAGAATCGGGTATCTCGTGATTAGCCGCACAAGATCACGCTTACAATACGATTGTTACAAAGGTTGGCTTTTTGATAGGGTCTTGAGTCGCAAAACATAATGCGTCCAGATTCTTCTTGATTTAAGCAGACTCGGAAGAAATAGATGCTTTCTATCAAACATCACGTCCAAACCTACCCTTGCTGAAGCAGGCTCACATTTCGAAAAATGTCAAAATTCATGTAGACAACAAAAACAGCATTTAGCGACATGGTTCAACTCTAGGTCGCAATCACTAAATCCAGTTCGACAGCACGGCACTAAAGTAATACGAAGGGGGTTAGAAGGCGCTCTGCAAAGGATCGAGTCACAAAGGAATCAAAACTGATTCAAACAAACAGCAACGTAAAAAGACTATAAAAAGTACTGGAAATCAAACGGTTTCCGGTCAAACCACTTCTGCAAGTCTCTCACATTCACCACCAAGTCCGATCCCTATCCTTCACTCCCCCCCCTCATCACCCACAATCACATTCACTCGTATCGACGGCACCAAATCATTCTGCAGCAAATTCACCACCGCCCTCGCAGACATCCGCGTGCGCACCAACACCGTCAAATCCGCCAGCTGCGAGCTCGAAAACCGCTCCTGAATGTCCCGAAACAGCTTCAAAACGCGCATTCGGCACGCATTCGGCGGCAGCAGCCGGCACTGTAACACTATTCCTAATCGGAGAAACGGGGAAACCAACAGAGCTCGTTGTGGTGCATGTCGAAATCGAGGTTGGAGTCGTACTGATTGCAATACGACGAAATCACGTGGATCCCTTCGTTGAACTGAATCTCCTTCGCGCGTGCCGCGATTACCGCGATTCTACGCATCATCCGGTTTCTTCCACGTTTCCACTGTTCGGGAGAGAGGGCAACGCCCTTCGATTGGCAGACGTCCGCGACTTTTTTGACGGTTTCCTTCCACTTGGGCAGCGTATCGAAGTACTCGCAGAGCGCAAAATAGTCGCATTCCCGCGGGAGGATGTCGTCCCGCTCCATCAGGGCGCGGATGGACGACACACCGTCCTCCTGGAAGAGCTTGCAGTAGGACCGCAAAACCGCGGAATACGCGGTGTACTGGATCTTGACGGGCGTTTCGTCCTTCAGAAGGCGCTGTTCGTTGTTTGATTGGATGGTGTGGAACGTATCGATGCATTCGTTGTAGTAGCCGCCGAGGAACAAACCGTCCAATAAAAAGCTGTTCACGTCCGCGAAGCGGAACTTGTGCTGGGCGAAGGAGGCGAGGAGAGGCTCGGCTTTGTCGTGGAGGCCGCAGCAGAGGAAGGCGCGCGCCAGTTTGCCTTTGTAGATGTAGAGCGACTGGATGCGATGAGGGATGTACGGGGGCAGGCGTTGCAGAACCTCGCTGTCCTTCTTGGTGCTGCAGGCGTAGAGCAGCCAGAGGGTGGTCGATTCGGAGAGTTCGGGGAGCTGGGAGTCAGCGAGGAGGAAAAAGAAAGAAAACCAGATCATGGTCCATGCAGTATTCCACGAAGCCGATAGAACGCTGGAAGAGCTTCTCGCGGATGAAGGAGGCTACGATGTCCTCCACCTCCTATTTGTAAGCGGGGAAGACAATGAATGCAAAACCTGTGTCGTGAATTTTTGGTTTAAGTGAAGGATTTCGGAAGTCAGCATCTTTCTCTACACAATAAGAAGCAAACTCAGAGTCAAACCCTTTCTACGCTCAATTTCTTTGCTTTCAAGTCCGAAATGATCTGGGCCTTTGTTCTGACCTCCTCTGTTGGCGGATACTTTGCCATAATACGTCCCATCAGACCGCGTGAATCCTCAGAAAAATGGCGAACAGGGAATGCATGTAGAGGCAATCCAGAGTACGAAAAAGCATTCTGTCTCGTAAAACTCCCAAAGTCAAGAGATGACACACGTAAAACCGCTGGACAAATTCCTCGGACGATCTGGTGCTTGGAAGCCAAAATGAAATGTCTCGGAATTGCTGCGAACATGCGTTTTGGGAATGGAGCTCAATCGCGAAAACGGTTATTTGATCGTTGTGGCAGTGAGGACTACATGTTCTGTTTTTTCAGTCAGGAAACTATTTTTGAATGTCTCTTCACAAAATCCCGTTGTTAGGTTCACTGGCCTATATTGTAAGCAGCATTTTGAGCGACTTGAAATGTGTAGACCGAGGATTTGATCGGAATTGTAAGTGGCTATCGGTATGATGGAGAGCAAGTGATCCTTTTCGACATTCAAAACGATAGTTTTGTGTATTGTGATACGTCGCAAGTGCGACTCTATGGACAGGAGTTGGGAGGAAGCATAATCGATAGTTTGGTGCTGCCGTTCCTCGATTTCTATGCGCCAGTGAGTGTGAACCCAATTTCTGGAGAAAACGAGCGCCTAATTAATATGGCGTCTTGCTCGGAAAGTGTGGATGCGATTTGTGATCCAAGTCAGCCTCTATTCGCTGCTTCCTATCAAAATGTGCCTATTCTAACGCTAACTCCTGTATGTATCCTACGACTTGTGATAAAATCGCATAGGAAGACGAAAGTTTTCAATATCTGCGAAATATGCAGTCGTTCCCAACATCCATGTTTGATTGTCTTCTCATTTCCCTCCTTCCGTGCAAAGCGATTCCCTCTTCTCTATATCCCTATTTTTCTGAGCTCACTGTACGCACAGAGCATCCCCTGTTGAATCCATAGAAACCAATTTTCACATGCCCCATGACCCAATTGTTTATTTTTTGTCCCCATTCCACTTCCTCGAACGATGAACCCCCTAACCCAAACGAAGCTCCCTTCAAACGCCCCTACACGCTCTTCTCCCCACTCCACGACTCTCGATTCGGCAGTGAAACCTTTGCCGCGGGGGAGCTCGTCAACTCGGTGTGTGTCGAACAAACCAATCAATCCATCGTTTCCCTTCATCGGGCGTTTCATGTAGACAATCGAGTTCACCGCGGGGGAGTTCAGCTCGTTCTACACCTTGGCGGTTTCGCGCTGTTTCTCGGTGCTTTCTTACTATTTGGTACCTAATTCACTGGATGGGCCCAAATTACCCAATAGATCCTTCATGACCCAATTCTTGCTCAGAAATGGGCCCAAGCCATCGAGCACACCGAATCTCTCTGTGCCTGCGTCAACCATCTCTATCTCGACCCTCTTGTGAGCAATGCCTGTCTCGACCCTCTGTTGAGCATCTCGTCGATTCTCTAGTGCTGCTCTGCAGGGAGTTTCACGGGTAGTTACCACTTCAAAACCCCGTCACGTGCCATTCAGCCAATGGATTTGCAGACCGCGGAGGGAGAAACGCAGATCGACATTTCGGTTCCCCGCGTGCGGGAGATGGGCGTTTCATCGGCCAATGCGTACGTGGAGGCGAAATACTTTCAGTATCCGGTGTGCGGCGAAACGCCCTGGGATGATCTGCGATGCGTGCTGGATGACTCGGACGAGATGATCGCGGATTGCATTCAGCTGTTCGAGCGGAGTGGCGGCAAATTTAAAATCGCGCGGGAAAACGAATGGATCGAATTCCAAAAAAACGACCAAATTTTAAGTATTTATTTTTCTCTCACATTTCGACTCATTGTAAGACACTTCCTCACTCAATCTCAATCTCTTCCTCACCGCAGTGTACCACACTTCCAAATGGACCCCGCGGCTCATCCAGACCCTCTCTCAAGCCAGCGAAACTGCCCGCTTGCTCGTCCTCACCGACCAATCCTCTCTCGAGGGTTTCATCGCCTCGCTCGACGGCCGCGCCGCCATCATCCTCCATTTCCCGTGGGAATTCACTCCTTCCGAAACGCCCTGCGAGGAGATCGCGGCGTTCCGCGATTTTTCGTGCGTTTTCGCGAGCCCGCTCGCCGCTTCGCCGTCGCCGTTCGTCTCCTCCCCGCGGTATTTCCAAGTGTACCGGCAGACGGGTTTTCTGGACGTACGTGGAAACGTGGAACCGAGGATGTAGGCGGAGACGCTGTTCGCGTTTTCTCCGGTGTCGAGCGAGGTGAGCTGGCAGTTCGTGTCGTGCCAAAACAGCCGGTATTTGTGCGTGTGGCGCGAGCAGGTGGCGAGCGAGGTGGCGTTCTACCAGCAGATGGAGACGCTGAACGCGTTCTACGACGCTGTGCACGCGCACGGAGGTAGGAAGCCGCGCGGGCGGTCGGTTGATGAATAGTGTCGTTCGTGCCGCCGCTGTCCACCGTGCTGAGCGGCGTGCTCGCTATTGACCGCATCTGGGACGTTTTCGTAGAACTGGGGAAACGGGGTAACGCGCAGATGGTCGGGCCGTTCGATGAAACGCGTAGCGTCGCGCCGCATCCCGTGGAACAGAGCAGTTCCACCTATCTCACCATGTTGCTCCAGCAGTTTCACACTCTCTGGGACCTCGGTTTCTACTTTTCGTCCAATGAGTCGATCCTGATCGACGAAATTCCCGTGTTTTACGACGTTTCTCGGATCGTCTCGGTTTCTGGAATGACGGAAATCGACCAGAATTCCGCCGTCGCCGCCATCCAGCAGCTTTTCCCGCCTTCCGTCGCCGTTTTGAACCAGACTTTCCGCCTTCCCCGCTTCTTCCACGTCCAGCCCTTCGCGGGAGTTTCATGGCAGATCTTCGCCGGCGTGCCGCCCCTCGATCCCGCGGTTTTGACATGCGAAACGCTCGGGATCGACGAGCTGCTCGGCGAGTTTTCCTTCACCGAAATGCCGAAAACCGCGGGAATGGAGAAGGATCCCCGCGAAACTCCCGCGGCGGTGGGCGTTTCGGCGGGCGTGGAACCGGATCTCCGTCCTGAAACGCCCTCCGATGAGGGCGTTTCACCGAGAATGCGGGAAGAATTGCGCGTTGAAACGGCCGTCGAACCGAACGAATTCGATGGGGAGTTTCACTCGGAAATTCCCGCCAAAGACGAAGAAAAAGAATTCGAAACCGAATTCGAATTCGAAATCGAAAATCCGCACGAAATCAACACAAAATCCACCACCGAAACCGTGGAAACCGTGGAAACCATCGACACCCACTCCGAATCCGCGGTTCTTCTCTCCCCCAAGGACGAACCGCCCAATGAAACCGCCTTCTCCGAAACCGGCTTCTCGAAGGAGTTTCATTCCGTCCCCAGCCCGGGCGTTTCATTGGAGCCGGATTTCGAATCGGTGGGATCCCACTCTCCGTTTTCCAGCCAAGTGAACGCGCTGTTCCAGCAGGATTTCCGCGCGTCTTCGGTTCCCCGCGGTTATTCTTCTCCGTGGCGGCGGTCGCAGGACACGTTCGACGCGCTGTACGGTTCGGAAGAACCGCGGGGCTGGGAGGACGCGGAGGAAATGGAGGAGGAGCGTCGGAGCGTGTCGCTGCGGTCGCTGCTGAGCGAGGTTCCGGGGAAGGAGGGAACGCTGCGGCGGCGCGGGCGGCTGCTGTACCACGGGGACGAGGACGAGGACGTGCGGAACGCGGTGTGCATGGAGGCGGTGGCGGCGGCGGTGAGGCAGATCGTGGGGCTGTTGGGAAAGGAAGGGAAGGAGGAGGCCGCGGGGGAGCTGCGAGAGAGCATGATGGGGATGGGGAAGCAGGGAGAGAAGAGCACGGTGATGGAGATGATTCCTGAGGAGAGCGCGGGAGGAGAAGCTGGCGGAGAAGAGGAGGGAGGATTGTGGAATACGGGGTGTGGAAAGGATTCGTTGGGTGTTTGTTGGAGAAATGAGACTTTTGGGAGAGTGTGGGGGGAGGAGGAAGAGGAAGAAAAAAAGCATGGAGCGGAAGAGGCAGAGTGGTACATACCATAAAATGGGTGGAATTACCCTTTTCGTTCCTTTTCTTTGTTGTTTACTGTACTTTGCTCTCCAAGTATATGCTTCACATAGTTGGAGCAGACAACTGTCACCTACAAAGCAAGTAGGTTTTTATGGTCTCCCTTTATTCTTATGAGTTCGGTATCCAATATTTTATTGGCCAAAGTGAAAACGCTGCTCCGTTAGCTGATTTTCCCGTTTCACAGCAATGGAGGGCGGAAATATCTTCCCCCTTAATCCATCAAAATAGCGGTGTTATAGTACAACAGGAAAGCTCTGCAAACACTTCTCATGCGCCAGTTGGTAATATAATATTGATCTTTGAATTGTAGGTGGTAATACACAACAAACAGATATTTATACCGGTGAAAAACATCAACCTTCAGGAGTTGTCGATTCCTCGTTGCCTTCCTCCGTTTCTCGTTCTATGTTTCATTCAAAATACTCGGCCAGTCAAATTGCCGATTCGAATTCCGATTCCGATTCCGATTCCGATTCCGATTCCGGTTCTGTTGCTTCCCCTCCACATGACGCTTTTCCTTCTAAAACCATTCAGTTCAATTTCGGTCCTGGAGGTCTTGCGAACAAATTTTTCGGACTGATAAGCTGCTACGTGATCGCGGCTCTCACAAATGCGACCCTGATCTGTAATCCTTTTTCGAACTTACCATTCAGTTCCTCCATCTTATCCTCTCACTTCTCTTTTCAACGTAACGGACCTTTCGAACCATCCCGTCCCTATTCTTGAAGCTCCTCGCTCCATCAAGCGGTCCAATCTTCGAATGATCAATATTTGCTTTGGAACGAAATCGAAAGTCGTGCAGAAACTCATTTCTCAGCCGATTACTTCGGTTTTTAACGAAAGCCACATCATTTTAACCACAAATTGTCCGCTGTTTGCATGGCTCCCTTACTACAACGAAACATACAACGCGCTTGTGCGTTTAGGATTTCTTGAAGATCGACCGTTCAAATCTGTTCACCCCTCGATCCACGGGTTCAACGTTCTTTCTTATGTGACGAGAAACCATTTCGTGTTCAGTGAGGAAATCTTGAAAACAGTGCGAGAACGAAGAGAACGGATGGGAAGTAATAAGCCTTGCGTTGGATTTCATATTCGAATGGGCGATCGAAACTCGGATTTTGTGGAATATCGATCGTTCTTGTTCACAAAGGATATCATGTCTTTTCTGAAATGTTCGATCTTCGATCTATATCCAAAAGCGTCGATTTATATAGCTTCCGATTCGAATTTTGCAAAAGGAATTATATTGAATAACACAATGAATCATGAGGTATTTTCATTCACTCAAAAAGCAACTCATTCTGACTCTGCATTCAAATCAAGGAAAGGAAACGATATAGTAAAAGAATTATTTTATGAATTATTGACTATGGGTTCTTGTGATGCACTGGTGGGAACGTATCGCAGTTCCTTTACGTTTTTGGCTTCATCCTTCCAAGGGAAAGTTCCCTATTTGGTGACTCGTAATTCGAAGTGTTTTTTACCATCTTCCTTACATTTTGGTTAATTTGTTGATATTTGGGTAGATAGTCTGACTCTGTGCACATACGCATACATAAACATTGTGTATATAGTATTGTTTGTTTTTAGACGAAATGTTGTCTATACTCTCGATAATATCGTTTTCTATCGAATACACACAAAAATGTATATGAATGGATTTTAAATCATGAGTTTTCAGTGAGTATAATGTTGATTGTAAAGAATAGTATAAGGAAGTTAGAAACGAAATGCTAAATATCATTCAAATAGCTTTTATTTTACTTTAAGATTGTAGTATAATATGAATAAGAATTAGTTGTGTTAGAGAATAAGTGTTGAAAGCAATTCAGAATACGTATATATCATGTATAACACTTTTTTATATTGAAATGATAATAGACAAAAAGGCGAATCTTTTCACATAGAATATACATATATATATATAATGCCTGCAGTTTGATAATCACAAAAATACGTTGAAATTATAATTGGATGATCTGGTAATGAAATGAATATGTATTAATGTGCTTTGACAGGTATAATAAATCAAATTGTATTTCCATTTGCAAATACTCTGATTCCTTTTTTACTGTTCAATATTTCAAAGAAATAAAAATAGAAGTAGTAGATACTTCTTAATACTATGCTGATCAACTGTAATAAAGCAACAGACATTCAATATTATCTGTGTATTATCACTCACATAGGATAATGATTATGATTGAATATCCAAGAGAATACATAGAACCGTTAGTTTGTTTTTCGTGTAGTCGTCATTCAATATATATAAGAAAATAAACTTATCCTATATATATATATATATGATACAATTGCACAAAGTCTATAGATGCCATAAGCAGATTACCAGAGACAACACTAAATTATTGAATACTATAACTATTTATAATATGTACTATATTGCTTATAGTTTATATAAGTATTACGTGAATTTGAACGCGTTTGATTTTAATCGCAACTTGAAACGTAAAGCACTTATATATATATATAATATATTAATATTTGCATTAATTTATATCAAAGTGTGTCGTATTGATCATCAAAGAGAAAAAGGGATGAAAAAAAGAAAAAATACCCTTGATGAAAGTACTGGTTTTTCATATTTTTACCTCTTTTGATGTAAAACATTGTCGATTTTGTCAATTCGGTTATTAGCAACTATCATATTGGGAATTCTATATTTCAGAACGTGCAAGGGCGTGAAGTTAAAGAAATGAAAGTGGATGGCTGGATTTTACTCATATTGAGTAATAGAGAATGTGTATTATTGAAATTCAATAATGGAGTATTCATGAATCAAGGATTTGTGGTCAATGACCAGAAAGTGTTGAAAGTGTTTGGAAATCATCAAATTGGTGCTATTTCACATAATGAAGAAGAACAATCCATAGAAATAGTGGAAGAAGGAATCGTGGATTTGGATCATGGAAGTCGATTTGAAGGCTTGGTATTGACAGAAAAAGAAAAATTAGGTAAAATTGGAATTCCATTTGGATATGGTGAAATGTATGATGATGATGGAATCTTGGTGTACAAAGGCATAATGATCAATTGGAAACGATTTGGATATGGAACGAGTTATCATGATAATGGAGCGATTGAATATGAAGGATATTGGTGTGATGATAAGCGATTTGGAAGTGGAAAAGTGTATAATCGCAAAGGTATATTAGTGAATGAATGTGAATGGTATAATGGAATTGAAAGTGATATCGATGAAGAATATGAAGGAGATGGCTCAGAACCACTGAATATCGGAATCAAACATTTGAAACTGACTGAGAATTGTGTATTGGTTGATTGGGATGTTTCATTGTTGTATAATTTGGAATCAATCGAAATCGGCGATGAATGTTTTGAATCAGTGAGAACATTCAAAATCGATGGATTGAATCGATTGAAAACTATCAAAATCGGTAAGAACTCTTTTACAAAATCGAGATATTACAAAGGAAAAGATAAATCAAAATCATTCCACATATTGAATTGCGAATGCTTGCAATCGATTGAAATTGGTGCGTTCAGTTTCAGTGATTTTGGTGGCGAATTTGAATTACATAATTTGAAATCATTGAAATCAGTCAATATAGGAAAAATTGAAAACGAGTCATGTAACTTCTTTCGGAGTTCCTTTATTATTCGAGGTATTATAATATAAATATGTATACTAATTGACCCTATAGATCTTCCTTCATTACAATCAATTGAATTAGGCTATCAAACTTTTTTTAGATCATTATCAATTATAATTGAAAGTATATATTGTGTATTATTATGTGAAACGGATAGATCTTCCTTCATTACTATTCATTAATTTAGGATTTCAGTCTTTAGTTGGTCAAAATGATGAATCATGTTCATTAACAATGCGAAGTATTTATTCAATTGATTTCAATTGAAACTAGATCTTCCTAATCTATCATCTATTACAAGTGTAAAAGGTAGTTTTTATAATCCACGAACTGTGATAATGGAAAGTATATAAACGAAATGATAATGACTTGTTATAGATATTCCAAATATAGAAAGAGTGAGTCTACCTGATTCATTTATGAGAATTCAGAACAAATTAATAACAAGTATATTTATATCAAAAGAATTGATATTTATAGATATATCTCGAATACTTGAACTTAATCTATAAGATTAGCACGAAGATTTTAGCAGCAATCCATAATGTTGAGTAGTAATAGTAGTTTGTTATATTTCACGTTTACCACTACATATTCTATAGTCCTATATCAATTTATCTGTACTCACCATATGTTGATAGAATTAATCTACGTGTATTATTTTATGTCCGTTATATAATAATATATACAAACTATTCATTCAATGGAAATCACCAAATTGGAAATAAGCCTTGCGTTGGATTTCATATTCGAATGGGCGATCGAAACTCGGATTTTGTGGAATATCGATCGTTCTTGTTCACAAAGGATATCATGTCTTTTCTGAAATGTTCGATCTTCGATCTATATCCAAAAGCGTCGATTTATATAGCTTCCGATTCGAATTTTGCAAAAGGAATTATATTGAATAACACAATGAATCATGAGGTATTTTCATTCACTCAAAAAGCAACTCATTCTGACTCTGCATTCAAATCAAAGAAGGGAAACGATATAGTAAAAGAATTATTTTATGAATTATTGACTATGGGTTCTTGTGATGCACTGGTGGGAACGTATCGCAGTTCCTTTACGTTTTTGGCTTCATCCTTCCAAGGGAAAGTTCCCTATTTGGTGACTCGTAATTCGAAGTGTTTTTTACCATCTTCCTTACATTTTGGTTAATTTGTTGATATTTGGGTAGATAGTTTGACTCTGTGCACATACGCATACATAAACATTGTGTATATAGTATTGTTTGTTTGTTTTTAGACGAAATGTTGTCTATACTCTCATAAATACCGCTATCTAAACACTAATAGTGTTGAAAGGGAAGAATTCCGACATACATATACATCCCGACATATTTGAACCGTTATTTAAGTAAGAAAACCACAGTTTTTCTGTATATTCTTTTGTTTTTTTTGTGGATCAATGTCTGACCATTGGATTGTAGTCTCTTTTGAGCATTCCTGAGGCGTAGGTCACTCGTGATTGGATGCAGGAAGTTATGGGAGAGCAGTTCCCTGACGACGAGGAAGAATTCCAGAACGCTCTCCGCAACGGAGAGGTTATTTGCAGACTTGCCAACATTATTCGTCCTGGAAGTGTTCGTAAGGTAAGTTTACGCTTCTTTTTTGAATCTCAGATCAATCACGGTGCTGTATTTTTGGAGCGCGAGAACGTTAGCGCTTTCATTTCCTTTGCCCGAAGCATCGGCTGCCCCGAGATGGATTTGTTCTGTGTGAACGATCTGTACGAGCTGAAGAACTTCAAGAAGGTGTGCATGTGTATCCTCAGTGTGGGAAGATACTCTGCATCGGTGGAAGAGTTTGAGGGTCCCTATTTCATTGGTGGTAAGATGACCTACAACCGCCAGGGCGAGGTGGAGCGTGTGGTTCTGGACACCACAAGCGAAAATCCTATCTGTCCCACCTGCCACAAGCCAGTCATGTTCACTGAGCGCTTCACCGCTCTGGGCGAAGTGTACCACAAGCTTTGCTTCAAGTGCCTGAACTGCGGCAACATCATCGGCGGCGGCGACTACTGCGACCACAATAACAAGCCGCTGTGCCCGAAGTGCTACGAGCAGCTGTACGGCACCCGTCCGAACAAGGCGGAGTACAGCGCGAAGGGCTCGTACCGCGTGGAGGAGAACGAGCGCCACACGCCGGTGCTGAGCAAGAACGCGGAGGCGATGCGCGATCTGTTCAAACCCACGGTGGTGAAGTGCGCCACCTGCGGAAAGACGGTGTACCCCGCCGAGATGGTCACCTTCCACGGACAGTCCTACCATAAACTGTGCTTCGTGTGCGTGCAGTGCGGACACTCCATCGCGCAGGGAGAGCAGTTCGAGAGAGATGACAAGCCCTATTGCAAGGCCTGCTATAAGAAGCTGCCCGCGTTCAAGCTGGAGGCGCCTGCGAATTAGTAGATGGATGATGTGATAGTTTTTGTTTCATGGAGTGTTTGTTCGATAAAGAAGAAGAAAGGTAATTTTCGTTTTTTTAGAGAGAAGAAAATGAGAAAATGACGAACACGGAATTCGTGTGGGATCGCGAGTATACAAGCAGGATGGGTGCGAAGTAGATCGATGTTTGTGATTTGCCCGTTTTGCCAGAAAAAAGGGATGACGGTCACGAAAAGGGTATTGGGAGCTGGGTCATATCCATCACCTCGTTAGCTAGTTTGTACCCTTCATGATAGATACTTTTGCTCGATTGCTCTGTTTTTCTTCTTCCCCCCTTTGTTTTGGATCGGACTCTGCCTCCCTTCACTCAAAGACGTGTTTACATCATCGAAGGCATGATATGAAAGATTCCATTACTGTCCACATTGCAAACAGTATCTTGGGAAAAGCCAGATCCTTCATTCTGCAGGCCATTAGTCGAATTCTTAAATAAATAAATATACTCTATCGAAAGGACACGCTATTTGTTCCATCAAACAAATGCTTAAGCTTATACTCTTTGCCACTTTCTTTGTGTGCTTGTCGGCCAGCTGCATGACAATAGAAGGCCCTAAGGATATTCTCATTAATCAGCCACATTACTTATGTATGACGATTAATGGAAAGGAGCGTTCCGTTTTTAACCCGAGGGTGGATCAGTATGGTCGGTACATATATAAAGGACGTACATACCGTTTTTTGTGTTTTTAACTCTCTAGTGTATAAGGCAGTCAATGATAAGCAAGCCGACAACGTCTATGTCCAGCTATCACTTTCTTCAAAAACGTACGACGAAAGGAACAATATCACGCAATACTCGATTCCGAAGCTGTATACTGGATCCCTTGCTAATAATGGCGTTTTCAACATTATGACTGCCATTATCACGTTGGACAAAGGCGTTGTGCAAAGCATTGCATGGGATGATAACTGCAACACTTGCCTGACGAACTGCTACGACAACTCCGTGCTAAAGAACGGCACTGATCTGGTTCTGATCACAGACAAAACGGAGACGTACAATGTCTATAGTGGGAAGAATTGCTACAACACAAAGGCTGACTGTGACAAAGATGGCGCAAACTGTGATCTGCAGATCTACGTCGTGTGGTCAGGCAGTGATTCGAAGGGCCGAGTCTTCGAGAGCAGCAATGTCCGCATGACGCGTTTCCAATCCGGTTCGATTGAATCGATCATCCACACTCTGTAACTAGTTTCCTCTTTGTTCAAACAAACAATCCAAATGAACTCGATCGTCTGCTCCTGTTTCTCCCGGAATTCTCGCTTGATTCGGGCTTGCTTCTCCAGCTTCGCCGCGCGGCGCTTCTCGCCGTATTTGCTCAGCTCGGGCTTTCCCTCCTTCACTACCACGTACACGTTCGAGTACGAGCGTTTCTTCATGCCCATGTGGCCTCGTCCCTTGATGTCCAGACGCTTCTTCAGGAAGGACGTGCCCACGCAGATCGAAGAAATCACGAGCTCGCTGGGCTGCAGACCGTAGCGAATGCTCATCAAATTGCTCGCGTTGTGGATCACCTTGTCCAGAGGATATTGCTTCTTGTTGCAGAAACGAAGCTGCTGGAGAGCGTCCGTCACGGGCATTCCGTTCACGAGACGGGCTATTTGCACCATACGGCGTGTACGAATTGGCATTGGACGAGACTTGGTAAACGCCATGCGCGGACCGTTATTCAGCTCTGCCTGCTTCTGTTTGATTGGGTCGACAACTGTGAGCGCCGTTGTCTAGAGAATAACGATAACAATGCAGAATCTACAGACTTCTCGTATCGCTTTGTAGACTTCGAAAAAGATCGTATGAATGGAGAAAAGGTATTCACTCCTGCCGACAGAAATGGTACCGAAGTGGAAACTGCCAGCGGTCGCAGGTATTCACACATCGATGAAAAACTCCGTGTCAGAGATCCTGGTTTGACAAACTGACCCAAACGAAACATATTGATAGAGTCTAGAATAGGAAACCTGAACCAATGAAAATGGTTTTGAAAGTGGATTTCTGTGTACAATGAGGTTTCTGGCAATCGTGAAACAGCTCTTTATTTTATGATTTTTCTCAACTCTTGACCATGGCTACTCTATTTCAATTCTCGCTGGATGATGAATCGTATTTTGGGCAGTATAAGGAGATGAAGTGTCTAATCAAGGATACGTTTGGTTTTGGAAGAGTATGAACCGTTTAGTCCTTCTGACTTTGTTGTTCATGAAATCGACGAGAATCAAATCGAGGCCGACACATTTGATACGGAAATACCTCCGTTACCAGAAATGGCTCCTGCGCTTGACGAAGACCGAAGTGAACCATCAAAACGTTTGTTCCATGTATTATATATCAAGATTAGCGGTGGATAACTACTGTGAGTATTCTGACACCCTTCGACAGAGCATCGAATCGTTTTCTCTGTTGTGTAAATCTCCCAAGTTCGAGGAAAAGCGTGAATTTGCTCTCCCATCAGGTCAGAAATTGCCTCCAAATGTGTTGAAAGAGCTTTCTGTACACATTTTGTTGTGTTATTTGATTTGATTTAGTTCCAGTTCCCTTACATATCCATTCAGAGTCGATCTGGATCGATCGAGATCCAACGAAATCCAAACATGGACGAGTTAGAGAGTTTGCTTGGAGAATCGGAAGCACTCTCAGTGCTCCAGTTTATCCTCCAGTCTCGACTTGATAAGGAAGATGATTCAAAGCACATGTACACATTACCTCCTCAGGAAGATAAGGAGAAACGCCGTCAACTGCACTTATTTTTCAAAAAGAAATACCCGTTCATTCATACCTCTACCAGTCAATCCAGTATTGTTCTCTCCACACAGCGAGTAGAGTCGACATCTCCCTTTCACATAGAGTTTGAAACGAAATCGCAATCGAAGAGAACCTTCGAAACGAACAGAGGTTTCCTTTCATGGAATCCTGCGATTTGTACTCAAGAAAACGAACATCGAGCTCTTTTCTCTTAAATCGCGTCTTTGCCAGCTTCTCCACATCCACGAGCGTGCTTTAGCCTTTGCGGGCATCAAAGATAAAAAGGCCGTTACCACACAGTTTGGCACTGTCCGCAATATCACGGCAGATCAACTGCTGGCGGCTTGCTCGCAGCTTCGCGATGTTGAAGTCGGCGGGTTCTCGTATGTTTCGAAAGAAATCGAAATAGGGCAGTTATGGGGAAACAGATTCATCTTGACATTGCGAAACGTTTCTTGCTCGTGGAAGGACTGCGTTCAAAACTTGAAAGCGATGAATCGCTTGGGGTATTTGAATTACTTTTATGAAAATTGAAACAAAGATTTGTGAACTATTTTGGAACGCAACGACTTGGACAGCGAGATGAATCCTCGAGCATTCCTTCCCAAATAGGGTGTTATCTGCTCCAAAAGCAATGGGGAAAGGCAGTTCGTCTCTTCTTGGAGCCCAGCGCCGTGTTTACAGTTCGTTTGATCCTCTCGATTCATACTCAGGACGACAATTCCATCGAATCTCTTCAGCTGTTCCACGAAGGAGACATCAAAGGAGCGATTAAACACTGTTCCATTTCCTCATATGTCTTGCTTGCCATTCTTCGCGTAGCTCCCACTTTGCATCTAAACATTCCAGACGATCAATCGATTCGGCTATGACAACTTCAAGCAGCAGTTCGACGATCCATCTTCTCAGCAATCCGAGCTTTTCCTGTCCATTCTGCGCGCGATTCCCTCTGAACAGCTCACCTTCTACGTCAAAGCCTTCCAATCGCTGCTCTTCAACAAGGTTCTGCAGTGGCGAGTCCAGCACTTCCACGAAGCAATTCTCCCAGGCGATGTATTTCTCCACGAAGACTCGCTCGCTTCGGAAGGCTGCTTGCGTGAGGTTGTGTTGCCTCTCTGCGGATACGATGTGAAGCTTCCCTCGAACGAAGTGGGCGAGTACTATGATCGGATCTTAAAAGAGACGGTGGGCTGGGGAATGGAAGGTTTTCAGAAGGATTCATCGCCGGTAGAGCAGGAAGTCTCTCTCCAATGTGTAGTTTGTTCTGCCTGGGTCGTATCGATGCATTGCTGCGCAGCCCCTCGAACTGTGCGGAGGCGTGGAAACCTTGGAAGCGATTGAGTCCCTTGATGAAAACCAGGCTGTCGCTTCTCCGTTCGATTTGAAGCTTTCCTTCTGTCTACGCAAAGGACTATACGCCACAACGATGATAACCGAGCTGACGAGTGGTGGATGCAGCCAGTAATATCTGGTATTAGTATATTACCAGTATATTTTATACTATTTGGATTCTCCTCATCTTCTTAACGTGTTTGAAACAAACAAGATACAAACATCAAGCTGGTAAACAAATAAACGAATAAACAAATAAAGGAGTTATTAAAGGGAGGGCGAGTTTACATCGAGTCACTCATCGAAGGGGTACTGTTACTAGAGATCTCTTCCATATTGTTACAGGAATCACTCGAAGAAGAATAACGACAAGAAAAATCATCGGAATCATAAAATTGAGGATTAGAAAAGGAAAAGGTGTGACTCTCAGATTTGGACTCAGTTTCGCTGGTGGACTTGGTAGAATTAGACGCACACGAATCATTATCACTAGAAACAGATTTGGAGCTTGCAGTTCCGATAGAACTAGCACCCATACAAGTACTGGTACCACATTCAACAACAGTACTTTGTAAAGGATTCTGCATAGACTTAATCAAATCTGGTGAAACTTGGACATATATATTTTCTCCCCTTAAGCGCATATCGGTAATACATTTCAGTTCTTGGACACTCATTCCAGGGTGCAAACTACAACTGAGGTATGGGGAGCTCAACCCACGTTGGGATTTTGGGATCGACAGAGTCTACAAAAAAACAAAACTGGTTAGGAGTAAGGACTTTACCACTAACAGATGGATCATATCTGTATATTGGCCTCTTGTATAAAATGTTACTGCTCATAATAGTAGGATACAATCAAAAGAAAAAAGAAAAAGTGGCAATTGCCTTGGTTTCCCGCGGTAATCCAGTAAATCATGTCCATTCAACGATCGAGGTTATATACTTATTGAGGAATTCCGTTAGTCCTATACAATGGTAAGCTGCTTGTGCACACATGCTATTTGGAGGCTTTGTGGCTTCGTTTTCTTGGCGAGCTTGATTCGGCCGAGCCCTTTTTTGAATATCCCTACTAACAGCGCCTAGGGTCGCGTGCGTACTAAAACCGTCAAGAGAACTGCTGCTACTATTGTCGAGAAGTACTACCAGAAGCTGGCTTTGGACTTCGAGAACAACAAAAGAGTAATTGGTCTGGATGGCGTATCATCCTAGTCTGTCGCAGAGTGTGCCGATCTTCCTTCCAAGAAGATGCGCAACAAGATCGCTGGATATGTGACTGTAGGCTGTTAGAGGTCGGATCTTAGCTCCCAGCATCTGATGAAGAGAATTCAGAGAGGACCTGTGCGTGGAATCTCCCTGAAGCTCCAGGAGGAGGAGAGAGAGCGTCGTCTGGACTACATCCCTGCCGTGTCTGCTCTTGAGAAGGACCAGATTGAGGTTGATCAGGAGACTGCCGACATGCTGAAGGCCATGGATGTGAAGATTGCCGGACTGAAGACTGTCGGAAACAGAAGATTCCGTGGTCACAGAAGATCTCAGCAGAACTAAGTTGATGTGTGGGTGATTCCTCAATGCTCATGCCCTGTTTGTTCGCTCGAATCAGTACACACACCTTTATTCACTCAAACAATCCACACCAAGCAACGAAATATACTTTTTATAAAAATAATCAAACAAAAACATCCAGGCTCCAACTCTCTCTCTCTCTCTCTCTCTAAAACAAAACCGATCCGATCGGCAGAGAATCCGACTCTTTTCGCAGCAGCGATCCCTGCATCCAAAGACTCGGCCGATCGTTCTCCAGCTCCTCCAGCGACTTCACCATCGCCAGCATTTCCTCGTCCTTCATCTGTTCGTTGGGCTGAATTCGCTCTCCCTTCAGCAACGCGCACATTTCCTTCCGCAGCGCGAGCAGCTCCTTCTCTTTCGGCGTCATATCTACAATGAACCTCCTTCCGCACGGGCTACAAGCTCCGAAACTTTTCTCGCAGAACTCCACCACTTCACGACGCTGCGAGCGAATCAAAATCTCGACATAGCGATGCAACGGGCACCCCAATTTCCCCAAAATCGCTCCCACATTCACCGAGTCTTTCTTTCGCTTCTTCTTCTCGCCCGAGAGCGCCTCCAAAAATCGGCCCGACATCATTCGATCCACCAGACACATCAGCCAGCTTCGCGTTGTGTCGTCCCCGCCGTTCGCGGCGATGGTGAGAAGGAAATACTCGAGAAGCCAGGAGAAAAAACCATCCCAGCGATTCATTGCGATCAAAAAGATGCTGCACCAGTTATCCGCCCAGCGCGATTGCTCCACCACCTCTGCATCGAAGTTGGGAATCACAAAAGGGGGAAACACGGAGAAACTGGCAAGGGGAACGCCGGAAAGGGCGGGGATGATGATGTCCACGAAGTCACTCACTGACGTCGATTGAAACACGTTGTTTAGAATGTCTGAGATCTCGCCTCTTTGTTTGAATATCGACGGATCCACGTTTGATGAAGCAATCTTGGCTATGAGGCTAAGTTGCTTGAGAAGACTGCTTTCATGTTCTTGAAGCGATTCTTCTTGCTTCTATGCCATTATTCCTCAGAATCCACGCCAATACATTCCAGTAAGCTTCAAGAAGCCACAGACGAGCATTGCTCACTGCTTCCCTTATTCTTTCAAACGATGGGAGTTCGGAGTGAGTGCAGCGATGGCGGAGATCCACAAAGTAGCGAGGAAGGCTAATGTCTTCTGCAACCGTGTTCACAGAGCGAGAGTAGAGTCCCTTCTGCTCGACGTCGATCATTCCGTTCACCATTCGGATAATAGCGAGGGCTGAGGCGAAATGCAGCTCAGATATGCGAGACTCCACGCCCGAGTTGGGTGGCATACTGCAGGCTTCATTCATTTTAATTTGAAACTCCGTGAAAGTGGCTGTAGACTCAACAGCCACAGGAACGTTGGAAGCGCGGCCTTTCCACGATTTTACAATTTGAATTCCTTCCCACTGTAGACTGACATCGTCCGAATACAGAAGGGACTTCACATATCGCCATTCGCTCCAGTTCGCCCAGGGCACTGCTTTCGTGACAATATTCATGCTTTCTAAATCGCTCTTACTCCACCTGAATCGAACAAAGAGGGAATAATGAATACTCTAAAATAGAAGAGAAGGTTCGTCTTATTCTTCCTTCTTTTTATCCTTCTTCTCCTTCTTGTCCTTATGCTTTTCCTTCTTGTCTTTCTTCTCCTTCTTATCTTTCTTCTCCTTCTTTTCCTTATGCTTTTCCTTCTTGTCTTTATCCTCCTTCTCCTCCTTCTCCTCCTTCTTCTCTTCCTTCTTTTCCTTCTTTTCTTTCTTCTCTTTCTTTTCCTTCTTCTCCTTCTTGTCTTTCTTTTCCTTCTTCTCCTCCTTCTTCTTTTCCTCCACCTTCTTCTTCTCCTCCACCTCCATCTTCGGCTTCTTCTTCTCCTTCTCCTCTTCCTCCTCCATCTTGCTCAAATCGATCGCCCGATTCACCGGCGCTCTTGTCTCCACTCTCTCCGCCGGCGTATTGCGCTGTCTCGCCCTACACCTCGCACTTCCTCCCCTGCCCTACGCGTTCGACCCCGCCGCGCTGCGCATCGCGCCGCCCTCCAGCTGTCGCAGCCGATCCTCCACCTTCATCCGCGCGTCCTCTCCCAGCGAGGCGTCCGGCTTATCGCTCAGCGCGTCCACACGAATCGCCAGCGCCGCTTTCGACTACTCCTCACTCCCTCGCCTCTCTCCTACGGCCAGCACGCGGCTGATCTTTCCCTTGTGCTTCGCCGCCGCCTGGCCGACCAGCGACGCGTGGTAGATCAGACCGTACTTCGGGGTCTCATGGCGCGTCTTCAACGCGCGGAACAGCGCCTTCTCGGCTCCCAAGATCTGCACGGTGGACGCAGGGAACTTGGCGAGATTGAGCAGAGAGCCGGCGTGGGCGATGAGCCGCGCGCCGACCAATTCGCCGACCACCACGGAGAGATTGGGCGCGATCGCGTGCATGCGGTTTTGAAGGTATTCGTAGAGCTGAACGCGGTAGGCAGCGAGGTCGAGGACTTGGTTGGCGAGCTCCTGGATGTTGCGGAGATCGCTCTCGCTGATGTCCGTACCGGTCGAGATCAGCGCGGTGCGCTTGAGCTCTTCTTCGACTTCTGGGAGTGAGAACGAACGAACGAAAGAAAAGGGTACGGGGCTCGAGGATGTCGGAGAAGTCGAGGTCGTGCGCGTTGCGACGAATTCCCATCTTCAGGATCGATTTGCAGTATTGGATATTGTCCAGCACGATCTTCTGCATCTCCGGGAAGTGCCAGCCATACCACTCTTTCACACGCATCGCGTAGATGTTGATCTCCTTGTCCAGCTCGTCCAGCAGACTGATCGCCTGCACAATCATCGTGTCCACCTTGTCCGCGCTGAACTTCAGCTTGTAGCGACCCAGGCTGTGAGAAAGACCCAGGATCATCGCATGCATGTCCTTCGGAGTCACCGAATCGATGAGAGCATTCATCTGGTTACGAATGCCTCGCATGAGCTCGTTAATACCTGTGTTGTTGACACATTTGATGTCCAACTCTTCTTTAATCAGACCTGCAAGCTTGGGATCGGCAACGGCAAGCTTATCCTTGAGGGAGGCCTTGACAATAGATTTCTTTAAGAATTTGCGGAGAGAATCATCGAGAGAGCCATCCACCATCGCAGAGGCGGCAGCAAGAGCCTACAAGTCAGATGCGTACAAAGGAACAACTTCAGTCGTATCCTTGAATCTCTGGAAGTTTACCAGTTTCAATCTACACACTAACGCAACAAACTACAAGGCAAACACAGAATTGGCCTTCTCAGGAGTTTCGAATTGTTGAAACACAGAAGCAGCGTCTTCAATCTTTCCCTCATCCAGGACCTTAAATAAAGCATATCCTCCAGGAGTTTCGAACAGTACCAGCATCTTATCCTATTTTAATCCTAAACCATAAGAACCATATCCGTTAAAACAGAAACATACAAGAAATGAATAATCGGACGAGAAAACCTCTTTTCTAGGAAACAGCCAGAGAACCTTGCATGTCGTCGCGCTTTTTCCAGGTGCTCATTTTCAAGAGACAAATCCTACTATATTTAGAATAATAATAATAATAATAGTATGAATAGTACAATATTTCCATAGAGTTCGTAAAGAGAATCCACAGAAAAAAACATAGAGATAGGAATCAAAATGATTTTATTCTTTCGTGAATTGTACCTATTAGTTTATCACTTGGTGATAATCATTTTATCCCTTTGCTTTTTTGCGGTATTTATACCTATTTGGACAATCACCTTTGTTCTGTATCGGGTTGTACGTTTGATTACATCTCTATGGAGCAAAACACCTGAAAGATCCAAGTCGATTGTGATTTCAGGAGCTGGTAGCGGAATGGGTCAGATGATTGCAGAACACTATGCTAAATCGGTTGGAGTTTGGTGACTCAATATTATTTTTAGGGTTGTGATTTACTTCTTATTGATGTGAACCAAGCTGGCTTGGATCTCACACGATCGAAGTGTGAAGAGGCTGGTGCAAACTCCGTGACGGCTATGAAACTGGATGTGACAGATACGGAAGCTGTGCGTTCCGCCATTTATGCATACGACGTTTCTCATCCTATTGATGCTCTCTACCCATGTGCTGCGATCAATGACACGCCTAAGAAACCACTTTCAGATTGCGTTCAGGTGAAATCCAATGGAGGAATGTTATTCACAGGATTTCCCAAAGATCTTCTCCGTGAACATCCTTGGTGTGTACAGCCTTCTCCAACCAGTCTTAGAGATGATGAACGTACGATTGTGAGCGAGCTTTCAAGTAGAATCGTGGCAGAGGGAAAATATGCCTGTTCTCATCGATTCTGGGTTTTGGAGGCACTCGCATTACTCCAAACTATACTATTTCAAAGAACTGCATGCGAGCGATTGCCGAGTCGCTTCGATTCCCCCTAAAAGAAAAAGGAATCTCTATTTCATATGTGTGTCCTGGAGGAGTGAAGACAGGAATGACTCAAGTGCTGCCGTCGTGGCTGACCTGGATTTTCCTCTCTGCAGAGAGTGCGGCAAAGCTGATTATTAATGGCTGTGAGAATGGAGACTTCTTGATTGTTTTCCCCTTTTCTTGCTACTCGATTTGTTATGGATTTTTATCAGGCCCTGCATACTTAAGAGAGTCTTTAGAAGTACTGCTGGATATGGTGTATCGTGGGCTCTTTCATTAGGAGTGTTTGTTGAATATGGAATCGTTCTGTAAAAATGTGAGGAGTTGCTTATGAGAATGGCACCGTATTACCAAAACAATGCAGGTGAGATAATTATAATAAAGTATAGGATAGTAAGTGCTTGCGAATAAAGAACGAAAATAAATGCTAACAAATGAGATGTGTTATTTAGTTGCTTTACTGCGTTTAGCTAATTGTTTGATAGTTAGAAAAGAGTGTGCTCTAGCTAGTTTTGCCACAATAATAGAGGCACTAATAGAGAAGAAATCAAATAATTGAGTCGTGAATGCAGAGTTTAAGCAAGAATGAGTTTGTTATCTCTAAAGAATTGTGGTTTCTTTAGAATATGAACATGAGAAGACTGATAAGTTATTCAAAACCATTGCATGCTATAGATACATTGACTATGTAAATGGCACTTATTTTAGAAATACATATATATTAACATTGTTTCTTTATAACAAATCGAATAAACAAATGATTAATCGGTGTTTATCAAATCAGCGAGTGAGGAAATAACATCATCTATGAATCAAATGATTTATACTAAGCAATACTTGATATTGATTTTGATTGAACTTTCTGAAATGAATGGGGCAAGATGACTTTTTGTAGATTTGGAATATCTATATGCAATCAATATTCATATTTAAATATACTTTCCAATTTTACTGTTCGAGGATATTCAAAACTTTCTCCACTCAAATTCATTATGGATTTCAGATTTGGAAGAACTATATTCAATCATTTCAAATCAATTCATTGATACTTCGCATTGTTAATGAACATGATTCATCATTTCTTATTCCTTGAAGTGAACATTTACCGAGGTCAATAGATCGTAATGATGGAAGATCTATATCAATGATTTCATTCGAATTCATTCAATACTTTCGATTATTGTTGATTTGGATTCATAGAATGTATAATCCCCGAGTGTAATGGATTGTAGATTTGGAAGATCTAATCAATCAAATATTCATTGTCATATCATTACATCCAATTACAAATGAATTACTAAGGAAATTGCATGATTTCCTTCCAATTGTACCAATTTGAATAGATTGTAATTGTGGCAAATTGGTCAATTCAAATTCTCCAGCAAAATCACTGAAACTATATTGTCCAATTTGAATGGATATCAATGATATACAGTGCATTATGTGGAACGATTTTGAGTGATTACATTTTGTCATTGCTTCACTCCAACTTTTATTCCATGTTTTTTCATTCACCTGAGTAAATGAGTTTTTGCCGATTTTGAGCATTATTAATCGATTAAATCCTTCGATTGTGAGTGTCTGTATTGACTCGAAGCATTCATCATCAATTTCAATTGATTTAACATATTTAAGTTGAGAAAAATCGAGTATAGAATTTTGTATATCAGCATAGGTCCAATCAGAAACAGCAGGAGAAGTGACTGACGAGTCAATTGATTTATGTGAATCGGAAAGTGATATTTTAGAATTTGAAAGTTGGGAGGGATTTTGATGAACATCTATATTTCAAATTATATATGTGAATTCCAATACTATTTACAATGGGACCGTTCACTCTTTTGAATGGAATAGAAAAATCAAAAACATGAAGAATTGGAATATCTATAAGTCTTCAATTTCCAATATTTTGATATACTCTCCAATTTTACTATTCGAGAATATTCGAAACTTTTCTGACCAAATTGAATGAATGTTAGAATTGGAAGATCTATATTCAATCATTTTGAGTAATTATATTTATACTTCGCATTGTTAATGAACAGTTTTCATTATCACTTTTACCACATAATCCCATCATTCCAAGTTGAATAGATCGTAATGATGGTAGATCTATATCGATCATTTCATTCGAATTCATTCAATACTTTCGATTATTGTTGATAGAGAATACTCGAATGCATAATTACCTAATGTAATGGATTGTAGATTTGGAAGATCTACGTATCATTCAAATATACAGTATCAGTTCCATACCATGAATGATGAATGAACTACCATGAAAATTGTATGAATTATTTCCAATTGTTCCAATTTGAATGGATTGTAATTGTGGCAAATTGGTCAATTCAAATTCTCCAGCAAAATCAGTGAAATTGTATTCGCCAATTTGAATAGATTCCAATGATTCACAATTCAATATGTGAAATGATTTATTGATATCACATTTGTAAATATTTCTTTTTATAATAAATGAATTGCTTTCAATCATAATGGTTTTCAATCGATTCAATCCATCGATTCTGAATGTTTGTACTGATCCAAAGCAATTACTGCCAATTTTAATTGATTGCACATTTTTGAACTGAGAAGAATCTAATATTGCATATTTAACATTATTAAAAGAATTATCAGGAACACCAATAAAACTCACTGACGAATCAATTGAGTTAATGAAATTGGGATATGATACTTTTGAATACAAAAGTTGCGAGATGTTTTGATGAACATCTATATTTCAAATTATATTTATGAATTCCAATACTATTTACAATTGGGTTGTTTACTCTCATAAATGAACCAGGCAGATTGACGTTTTTAAGATTTGGAATATCTATATGCAATCAATATTCAATATTTAGATATACTTTCCAATTTTACTGTTCGAGGATATTCAAAACTATCTCCACTCAAATTCATTATGGATTTCAGATTTGGAAGATCTATATTCAATCATTTCAAATCAATTCATTGATACTTCGCATTGTCAATGAACATGATTCATCATTTCTTATTCCTTGAAGTGAACATTTACCGAGTGTAATGGATTGTAATGATGGTAGATCTATATCGATCATTTCATTCGAATTCATTCAATACTTTCGATTATTATTGATAAGGAATAATGGAATGTATAATCACCGAGTGTAATGGATTGTAGATTTGGAAGATCTAATCATTCAAATATACAGTATCAATTCAATACCTCGAATCACAAATGAACTATAGCAGAAATTGTATGATTTCCTTCCAATTGTCCCAATTTGAATGGATTGTAATTGTGGTAGATTCTTCAATTCAAAGTCGCCTCCAAAATCACTGAAACTGAATTCACCAATTTGAATGGATTCTAATGATTCACAATTCAATATATGGAATGATTTCGATTTATCATTTCCCCATTTTGTTTGTAAATACGTATCATTTCCAATCATGATAGTTTTCAATTGATTCAATTCATCGATTCTGAATGTTTTCACTGATCCAAAACATTTATTACCAATCACAATTGATTCAACAAGACTGAATTCTGAAAAATCGAGTATAGAATGTTGTATATTACTATAGGTCCAATCAGGAATAGCAATTGAAGTAATTGATAAATCAGTTGATAGAATATTACTTAAATGATGTATTTTCGGAAATAACAATTCAGATACATCTATATTATATTATATTATATATAATCTCTATTACTATTCACAATAGGATTGATCACATTTTTGAACGAATCAGGTAAATTGACATTCTGAAGATTTGGAATATCTAAATGTAATCAATCTACAAGATTCATAAATACTTTCCAATATTAGAGAATTAAGCTTTATGAAACTCCCACCTTGAGAACAAATGGATGTTAGAATTGGAAGATCTATATTCAATCATTTCGAATCAATTCAATGATACTTCGCATAGTCAATGAACATGATTCATTATCTCTTATTCCTTGAAGTGAACATTTACCGAGTCGAATGGAATGTAATGATGGTAGATCTATATCAATGATTTCATTGAAATTCATTCAATACTTTCGATTATTGTTGATAGAGAATACTCGAATGCATAATTACCTAGTGTAATGGATTGTAGATTTGGAAGATCTATGCATTTACACGTTTAATATCAATTCAATACCTCGAATCACAAATGAACTGCCATGAAAATTGTATGATTTACTTCCAATTATACCGATCTGAATATGTTGTAATTGCGGTAAGTTGGTCAGTTCAAATTGTATTCCAAAATCACTGAAACTATATTCGCCAATGTGAATGGATTCCAGTAATTTACAATTCAGAATGTGGAATGAGTTATCAAGATTATTTTTCCCTCCCTTATTCTTGTGTTGAGTAAATGAATTGCTTCCAATAATGATAGTTCTCAATCGATTCAATCCATCGATTCTGAATGCTTGTATTGACTCAAAGCATTCATCACCAATTTCAATTGATTCAACTAGTCTGAATCGAGAGAAATCAAATATTGTATATTTTCTATCATTACAAGACTCATTGGGAATAGTAATAGAAGTTACCGATGAATCAAATGCAACAATTAATTTGGGGTGCGTAATTTTAGAATTTAGTAGTCGGGACATATTTTGATGAATATCTATATTCTATTGTGATATATATTACCATACTTCGCGTATGAAAATCTATCGTTTTTTCAAATGAATGAGGTAAATCGACATTTTGGAGATTAGGAATATCTATGTGCAATCAATATTCAATATTAAGATAAACTTTCCAATACTACTTTCGTTGTATTACTGAAGCTGCGTGATTTAGAACTTATGGATAAAAGATTTGGTAGATCTATATTCAATCATTTTCAATCAGTTCATTGATACTTCGCATTGTCAATATATTCCTTTTTCTTAAGTTACCATACAGTGCATTATGACCGAGTGTAATGGATCGTAATGATGGTAGATCTATATCGATCATTTCATTGAAATTCATTCAATACTTTCGATTATTGTTGATAATGAATACTCGAATGCATAATTACCTAATGTAATGGATTGTAGATTTGGAAGATCTAATCATTCAAATATACAGTATCAGTTCAATACCTCGAATCACAAATGAACTATAGCAGAAATTGTTTGAAATACTTCCAATTGTTCCAATTTGAATGGATTGTAAATGTGGTAAATTGGCCAATTCAAATTCGCCTCCAAAATCACTGAAACTGAATTCACCAATTTGAATGGATTCTAATGATTCACAATTTAATATGTGAAATGATTTCGATTTATCATTTCCTTCTCTATCCATTTTCTGAGTAAATGAATTGCTTCCGATTTTGATGGTTTTCAATTGATTCAATTCATCGATTCTGAATGTTTTCACTGATCCAAAACATTTATTACCAATCACAATTGATTCAACAAGACTGAATTCTGAAAAATCGAGTATAGAATGTTGTATATTACTATAGGTCCAATCAGGAATAGCAATTGAAGTAATTGATAAATCAGTTGATAGAATATTACTTAAATGATGTATTTTCGGAAATAACAATTCAGATACATCTATATTATATTATATTATATATAATCTCTATTACTATTCACAATAGGATTGATCACATTTTTGAACGAGTCAGGTAAATTGACAGTTTGAAGATTTGGAATATCTAAATGTAATCAATCTACAATATTCCTAAAATACTTTCCAATATTAGAGAATTAAGCTTTATGAAACTCCCACCTTGAGAACAAATGGATGTTAGAATTGGAAGATCTATATTCAATCATTTCGAATCAATTCAATGATACTTCGCATAGTCAATGAACAGTTCTTGTTTTCGTTAGTTCCGCGTAATCCTAAAAATCCGAGTGTAATGGATTTTAGATTGGGCAGATCTATATCAATGATTTCATTGAAATTCATTCAATACTTTCGATTATTGTTGATAATGAATCACGAAATGCTTTATTTCCGAGTGTAATGGATTGTAGATTTGGAAGATCTAATAATTTACACGTTTAATATCAATTCAATACCTCGAATCACAAATGAACTACCATGAAAGTTACGAGATTCCCTTTGAGTTGAACCAATTTGAATGGCTTGTAATTGTGGCAAATTGGTCAATTCAAAGTCTCCAGCAAAATCACTGAAACTATATTCACCAATTTGAATGGATTCCAATGATTCACAATTCAGAATGTGAAATGATTTCGATTTGTTGCATCTTGTCATTGCTTCATTCCAGCTGTCTATCCATTCATCTTGAATCACTTGAGTAAATGAATTGCTTCCAATAATGATAGTTTTTAATCGATTCAATCCATCGATTTTGAATGTTGTCACTGATCCAAAACAATTATTGCCGATTTCGATTGATTCCAAATTCAAAAACCACGAAACATCCCATTCAACCAATACACAATTGTCAGTCAGTTTCAAGTGTTTGATTCCGAGATTCATTGGTTCTGATCCATCTCCTTCACAAATATCACATTTAGTACCATTATACCACATACAATCTTCAATTAACACTTCTTTTCGATTATACACTTTTCCAATTCCAAATCGCATATCATCACACCAATATCCTTCATATTCAATACATCCATTATTATGATAACTCGTTCCATAGCCAAATCGTTTCCAATTGATCGTTATGCCCTTGTACACCAATATTCCATCATCATCATACATTTCACCATATCCAAATGGAATTCCAAACTTGTTTTCTGCCAATATCATTCCTTCAAATCGACTTCCATGATCCAAATCCACGATTCCTTCTACTATGGACTGTTTATAATGTGAAATATCACCAATTTGATCACTTCCAAACACTTTCAACACTTTTTCATCATTCATCAAAAATCCGAGATTCACAGATTCGCCAATATTGCATTTCAAGACTATACATTGTTTGCTACTCAGTGCAAGTAAAATCCAGCCATCCACTTTCATTTCTTTATCCAAACAACCTTGCGCATTTTGAATGATGGAACTATCAATATAATGATTACTTATAACAGAATTGACGAAATCAGCAATACTTGACATCAAATAGAAAAGAAAAATGAAAAAACACAAATTTCTGAGTGTTTCGTCTTTTTCACACAAGCTCACTATTTTTTCAAAGTATTCTATTTTTCTTATTATTTGGGCTCTGAATAACAGAAGCATAACTTAGGTCTACAAATTCTGACCTAGGTACTGATTTATGGTACTTCGTTGCATTTTGAGCATATTCTATTTTATTTTTGGAAATTTTATGTGTTTATAGCTCAGGAATTAATGCTATTTTCTTTTCAAAACTGTTTTCTCTATTTTGCGAGATAGTGCATTATTAGCACGAAAAACATGCTTACTCTACACAGAAAGTTATATCACATAGTATGATATATTTATCTAGTAATGTATAATGCCAGATACCAAAAACTATGTAAAAGCAAAATAGACAACATGTAGATGTTAGTAACTATTATTGTTATGTGGAGGACACTACTTGCCATATCTAAAGTGAGAGGAAGCTAGTTGTTTTTGACTCTCAAAAGATCCTTGTACTCTCTTACACTATCACATTTGTATGTTGTATAAATTGTACAAGTGTGGAAGGAAAATGGTTGTTTATTGAGCATAATCGTGAAAAGCTCTTTTCTTATGCTTCAAAACAACAGGACTTTAACAAAGCATTTTTCAACATAATAATGAATTAGAAAGGCTTCATATGTGGATTTGAAACATAAATGACTATATAATCTGCCTAAGATAACAATAGCATGATAAAAATTAACTGATATAGTATTATTCTAATAAGAATGGAGACAAAATAGCATGGTAGGTAAATGAACTATCATTATTTATTATGCAATGAATGGAATTAAAGAGTAGGAGCAATAAATTATATTGTTAACACATAAAGGCACTGCAAGAATTTAAGGGATAAATGTTTGGTTTTATTGCTGCATAACCTTCGTGAAGTCTACAATATTACTATTATTTGCTGAAACTATAGTGTCCAATGTTTCCAGGCGAGCATAAAGATGAATATTTACTGAAAAAGAAAGCAGTCTTTGTTTTTTTCATAAAGGAATTTTGAAAATGTGATATGAGATTGATAAATAACAAGTTTAAATCAGGGTGATTACTCATTTTGATAACAATTGTATACCTCTTGTCATATAGTTTGCAACAAAGCCATGTACGATTCCTTCAAATTGCTGTAACAATTAAAATGCATGAAACCTAAATCGATTCGAGTGGTATTGATATTTCCATAGTATTAATGAGTAGTTATAATCAGTACAACCATTCAATATCGATAGATTAAATCCATTGAACTATCAGAAAAGGCAAGAATTCAGAAACTTTGGTAAGAAGTTCATGTATGTATAATACCATAAACATCAACAACTAATCGAAATCATTCCACATACTGAATTGTATATCATTCCACTCCATTCAACTTGGTAAAGGGGTACTTTATGCATTAGTACTGAATTCCCTTAAGTGAAAATAGCAAGTAAGAACGATTGATATGATCGATAATAAATCTACCAAATTTACAATCCATTAGTTCTTATTAATTAAGGTTCCAATATACTTTTTACCTAACATGAGAAAGAAGTTGTGACTATAAAGTGTTGAATGAATTTCTATTTCGCGAATTGCCAAAATATCAATCTACCTGTGTTTTTTTAAATGAAGAGTGTGATAGCATGCTATCCTTGATTGCGAAAACGTACACACACACACAATTCTCTCGTTTGAAACAAACAAGCAACGACATTACAACACGCTTGAGAGACTCCTCAAAAGGAGGATAACAAACTCCCTTCTCGGTGATTATTGCAGTGATATAGCGATTCGGAGTCACATCAAAAGCAGGATTAAACACTTCAGACTCGATTGGCGCTACCGCCGACCCGTCCACTCGCACAACTTCCTCTTTCCCTCGGAATTCAATCGGGATCTCATCTCCCGAAGCCAGCGATAAATCAATCGTCGAGGTGGGCACCACTGCATACACAGGCACATGATTCTCATGAGCGACCACCGATAACTATACATCATTCTCTCCTTCGTGTCCTGCATTATAAGTCCCTATTTTGTTCGCAACGTCGCCATTCGCAGCTACGCGATCCGCTCCAAACAGCACGCAGTCGATCTTTCGAGTCCGCCTATGACAAAAAAAGCCCCGATTTCTACATCAGCAATCCGCTGGCTCCGTCTGCCATCAAGTGATAAGGCACGTCTATTGGCAAGGAGTTCGATGCGGGTACGAGCACGAGCTAATTCCCAGGCGGTGAGGCGAGCGCCTTGCAAACGCGGACGCGTCTCGTCGACCCAAACGTGGATGTTTTTGCCCTGCAAGTGGCATTCTAGCCGTTATTGCGAAGCCAAGACGCTGCCATAGATCACGCCGAGGGCTGTACCAATGTCCACCGTGGCGAGAGCACCCGTGTTGCAATGATGGATCACGTTGGAATTTGGAGGAACGAGCGCAGCGCCGTGAATCGCCATTTGTTTGTTGATTTGGACGTCTTCGTCGGCGATTTTCTGCGCCAGTTCGATGAGGAATTCGTAGAAGTTGGAGGGAGAGGCGGATTCCACCTCGTCGATCACTCTCTTTGTTGCCCACATGAGATTGACTGCTGTGGGTCGAGCGCTGTCCAGGTACTCTTTTGCGTCTCTCAGACACTGCAAAAGATCATTGAAAGTGTCAGGATGCTTCTCTTTAACGGCAAACACCATGCCGTAGGCGCCCGCTACGCCAATCGCCGGAGCTCCGCGAATCGTCATATCTCCTAGTAAGATCGGACAGAAACCTACCTCGAATCGCCGTGAAAATCTCTTTCATGGAGTTGCCTAGTGAATTAGGTTCCTATCACAAGGAATATACAAGAAACAATTTCAAATTTGTTAGGAAGGACCTTTTGGTTAATCATTTCAACGTGGTCATTCTACAGCTTAGCAACCCAATTCCTTCATCACATTCCAGTAGATTGTTCGAACTCCAAGAACAGGAGGCTGACTCATTGTTCACGAATCTAATTATAAGGTTTTTCCTTCCCAGTAACGGTTTATCAACAAACAAAATATCCCTTAAAATACTACATTCCGTCCGCCATATCCGCCGGAGACACTCCCGATCGTGCCTTTTCCTACTCTTCACCATCGCCCATCTCTCTTACAAAAGCCTCTGCAATCACTTTTTTCATATTATCGTCTCCCGACTGGTACATATCACGCATCAGATCCATCAATCCCGCTGAAGGATCATCGCTTTTGGGGGTAGAACGCACAGGTTTATTCTCCGGTTGCAGCTGCAGCCAGTTCTCTGGATGCAGCTTGGCTAGCTTCAACGTGATGCAGTCTTTACGAACGAGCAGTTTGCAGGAAGAAGGAACGATCTTGCTGTACAGTTCTGACAATTAGATGGCTTCATTGAGATAAGGTACTGGAAGACCAGCGATAGTTTTTGTTTTGAATGCCCATAATACGCAGCTCCACAGACTCCTCCTCGAAATCGCACTGGATAGCTTCTTTGGGTAGTTTGTCAATTCCCTCGAGTCCTTCCTTGAAATACACTCTGTTTGATTACCACCATTCCAGAAACATACGAAACATTATCTAACGTCTGACCCCACATGAAAGATGGAATCGAAGAGAAGGTCACAGCTAAAAATGATAAAAAGGAACTGAGTGACACTCTTTTGCGGTACTTGAACGGGTGCCGTGACGGGAGCAGGAAGATTCTAATTGACATGCTTGATATTCACCTACATCCAACTCTTGTTGGAGACTCACGATTGAGGAAGTCAAAGCGCGCTTACTTCGCTCTGTACGCGCCTGTTCCAAAAAATGTTGCAACTCAGCAATGGCTATGCATTACTACAATACAAAATCGTATACATGCTTCAATATCACTTCGAGACATAGTATAAACTTTCTTTTTTTCAATTCTTTCTCTCTCGAACATTCCATAGCACCCTACTTAATTTGTGGGATCCCCGATGTAATGTGTATCGCTTGTATTTGGAGCAAAACGGTGAATAGAATCACATACGTACGATGCATAAAGATGCCAGTAATAGAAATGGGAATGGAATATTCCCGCGGTTGTTGAAAATGTGTTGTTAAATTGCATAGTGCTTAAACTGTATGGAAGAGATATCAACGTACTATTTTTGTTTTTTATATCGTATGCCGTAGGACCCCTCAAGATTCCTCTACTTCGAGTATGGGTGTACGTTGTTAAAAGACACTCTAATTATTAGAACAGGGACAACAATAGCGCGCCAAGAGACCAAGTTGGTATCTACTCACTTTCTGTATAAGATGTAGTTGGAAGGTGGAGTCCGCAAGAACACGAGCAGTTTTTGCTTGGTTACCAGAAGTACGGAAAGGATTGGAAGGCTATTGCCACAATGGTTGGATTAGCATTAGACTCTTAGATTAGATTCCGACCCGTACGGTAGTCCAAGTTCGTACTCATGCGCAAAAGTATTTTCTGAAGCATTCTCCAAGCGTTTCGTGTTGACTAACTGAATTGAACTCTAGGATCTGTACTCCCTGCCTTTGTCTATTAAGAGATTTCACGGACTTTCCTATTCGCGCCGCGCCGAAGAGCCAGAGACCAGAGAATCAAGTGAATCCAGTGAATCATCGACCCCATCTGAATCGGAAACCTCCTCAACCCTCGAGAACGCCGCGCCCACTGCTCCTATCGATCCTGTAGCTACTGTTCCGTCCATTTCTGTGAATGTTGTATCTCAAAACAGAGGCGATGTGACGCTGATGTTAGCCTCTCCGGTTCCTCAGAGCGCAATGCATATGTCGACGTTGGTTCTTCCCGAACACGATTTTTGGTTCCTTCATACACGGTAAGAGAGGAGGAATGGAGGATCATGAGTAGAAATGTATTTTTTCATATGCATAGTCCTTTTGACATGGAGGTAGGGATGGGGATTGCGTGAAATGTAGTGTAATACCAATATGGATGATATGTGCGATTTGAATTAACATGCTTTCTACACGAGTGGTGGTTTTTCTATACTAATTGCTTTTGAATGTTTGCGTTTGCGTGTGTTTGTTTGATAAGAAGGATATGAGGAGGGAGCTGTGTGTGTATAGGAAGGAAATGTGTAGAGAGCTCCCTATGTGTAGGAAGGAAATGTGTAGAGAGCTCCCTATGTGTAGGAGGATTGGTGGAGAACAGGAATCTGAGTGGTGTTTCCAATTTGGTGTGTGATGATTTGAGTTAACAATGCTTTGTGATCACATTCGCTACGCAATATGACTTGTTGCTTCTTTCCTTATGTGTATTTGGCAGGTTGGCTATCCATTACCTCAGAAAATACCGTTATCATTCCATCCCATTCCATTCTATTCCATTCCATTCCATTCCTTTCCTTTCTCCCTCCTCCCATTTTTCTCTTCCGACTCTCTTCACTCGTACTACTCATCCTCATTCCCTTTCTCTTCCCTCCCCTTCTGTATTCAACAAACAACCCATCCCTTACAACTCCTCTTCCGCCTTCTCTCCAATCATCGCCTCGAACGCCTTCAGCACATTCATCCGAATCCGGAACGCTCCCTTCTTCATCTTGCTCACCGACCCGCTTCCCAGCATCCTCTGAATCCTCTCCTCCTCGCTCTTCAAGAATCCCTCTCCCTTCTCCTTCAGTTTCTTCACCACGCTCAAATACACCTTCTTGCTCCCCTCCATTTCCCCTTTCCACGTTTCCACCGCCTCCTTCACCTTCTCCAAATTCGCATCCCCCACTCCCTTCAGTCCCGCGATCACCTCATCTACCGCGGGAATCCGACCGAACTTCGCGTCCACCGACCCGTCCGGCAGCCGCGCCGTCCCCGCGTGCTCGTTCACGAACTCCACCAGGCTCTCCAGCGACCGGTCGCCCTCGTACGGCACCGGCGCCGCCTGGCCCTGGAAGAGCTTCAGCGTGGGGTATCCGTGCACGTCGAACTCCGACGCCAGCTCGCGGTACATGTCCGCGTCCAGCTCCGCGATGCTCACAGACGGCTCCTCCGCGAAGACGGCGCCCAGCTCTTCCCAGGTGGGCGCGAGGTGGCGGCAGTGACCGCACCACTACGAGAGAAAGGGGGAAACGGGGGTACCGGCGCGTAGAACTTCACGAAGACGGTTTTGCCTGAGTTCTTCACGAGCTCGTCGAAGTTGGACGGCGTGAGCACCAGCACTTCGGAGACAGGCTTCTTCACGGTGGCGTGGGTGCCTGGGAGGAGAATGAGGAGAGCAGAACGTACCCAGACGGTCGTTCACCCAGGAGACCAGCGCTTCCGCGGTGCGATCGCCGTCGTAGTCTTCCGGCTTGTCGGACGCGCCGGCGGGGAAGAACTTGAGCGTGGGGAACCCTTCGATGTTGAAGCGGTCTCCCAGCTCGCGCTCGGAGTCCGCATCGACCTCAGCAACGATCAGAGAAGGCCTGCGAGTGAGAAATGGATAGAGAGCTAAGAAACTCGTTGGCAAAGGACTCAGCAAAAAGAGTATACTCGGGAGCGAGAGCTTGACAATGACCACACCACTATGTGTTATCCAACCGACTCGAAAGTACAGGAGCATAGAACTTGATAAATACGTTCTTCTCTCCGTTGACGACCTCGTCAAAGTTTTCTTTTGTAAGGGGGACCACAGCTGCCGCCTACCCTTCACTCTCCTTCACTGAATCGTACTGCGATCGCCAGAATGCATACCACTGATATCAGTCTCATTATAATGAACAAAAACGCAGTTTTGCATTTCCGCGGTTTATCGAACAATTCTACAAATAGAACATTTCAATCTGTTGTTCAGACTTCTTTCCTTTGCTATATATTCGAGCTCTACGAAAGGTCCTCGATTCACAGCTTTTATTTGTTGTTGTTGTTGTTGTTGTTGTTCATTTAAAATCATTTTCACACCCAATCCATTCCTCTCTCTTTATCAAACAAACACACCCAACACATTCTTCTCATTCTACATCCCCACACTCCTGTTCCCTCTCCTCTCAATCCTCCGTCGCCTTCTTCGTCACATACAACAACGTGTCGTGAATGCTCTGTCCCCACTGATTCAACATCTTCGTCATCGTCTCCACCTGCTCCTGGTCCAGCATCTACACCCTCACATCCCATCCTCAACCTCACTCTCGGCTGCAGCCACGTGAACACCACCTTCTTCTCCAGCGAGTTGATCAGACACTTAAACAGCCCCAGCCGCGCGCCATGAATCAAAAACGGCTCGATCTACATCGCATCATCCCCATCGCTTGCTCCCCACGTCCGCTTCGTCCACGCGGCACACCGCCTGAATCTCATCGAATCGCAGCACGCGATCGCCGGTCGGCCGCGCGAACACGGCCTCCAACACCGCCAAAAGCGCCACTTTCTCGTCCACGCCGTTCAGTTTCCCCGTGAAACTCCCCTATAACAACATGCTAACAACCCTCTCCTACATCGCTACGCATGAGCTGCGCGTAGTGCTCCTTGCTGGCGAGCCACCGGTCCATCTGCCCCTTGTTGACCAGCGAGAGCAGCTCGAACAGCCATTGGAAGTTTCCCTGCTCCGCGATGGCGCGGATTTCCGCGGTTAACAGGTTGGCGAAGGAGTAGACCTCCTGCGAGAGCAGCGCGGAGCGAAGAATGTCGTGGACCAGCAGGCAGCGGCTCTCGAGGGACATGGAGGACAGCGGCGTGTAGGCGAGCCATTTGATCGAGCTGCGGTAGATTCCGTCCACATCGTTCATCGTCTAGATTCCATCGTGGCCTCTGCGCGGTCCTACGCGGAAGAGCTCGATGCTCACGCGGTAATAGATCGAGTAGAGGCGCGAGGAGGCCACGGGCTGGTGGTCCAGAAGCATTTTCACTTCTTCTAAGTACTCCTGCGCCATGTCCGTCTGGTTCAGCTTCACGTACAGCCACGCCACTTCCAGCACGTAGCGGCTGTACGCGTTCTCTCCGATCTTGTCGCGGCGCGGCATTTGCGAACGCTGACGGTCAGCGAGCAGAATGCAGGATGCCTACTTCGCTGCTTGTCACCGCTTTCTTGTGCTCCACGTGGTTGCGGAAGACTTCCTTGGCTTCGCCAATAGTTCCGATGGTTTTGATGAACTCCAGAGTGTTCAGGTAATCTGGAATGAGAAACATCGAGGGACCGTACCTGGGTAATACTGACGACTAATTTGACACACCAGCATCGCGTATTCCATGGGAGCAATATGTTCTTCGCAAGACACGATAAAGCCTGCATATAACTAGGCAATCGATCACAAAAAACAGCCGTACAGTGATCATATTATTATTCGAGTAATATTCTTCTTTTTGAGTGAAATCGAGTAATGCGAGGGTAAGCTGATACCACAGTCTACAGTCACAATCTTGCACCCGGTCTCTACCGTTTGTTATATAGTTCGAGGAAACGATTGTACATTTCCGAAAACTGAGGACACTGCTTGCACAGTGATTGGATACATACGGATGGGTTCATCTGTTTTTCTTACTCACAAAATAAGAGAAAACAAAGATCTTTTTGTGATTCCTGACTACATAGTCGTTCCACAAGTGCCTAAGTATTTGCGGTTTTACCAAGAATGCGATCTGGAGCCTCACACGAATCGAAACTAGCAGTCGGAGCTTGTCAACAAGTCACTTTCTTTTTCAAACTTGAAGGTTTATGTTGTACGAGGTTATTTTTATTTCCCTCTGTCTTCTTAAACTACAGCCTGTGAATGACGACGAAATCCCGCTCGAGGACATGAAAGATGTGATCATTAATGTTTTCAAGAATCCCTATTCTTCGGGCTATCCTCAATACAACTCCTATGCGAAAATCGCGTGGATTATCGGTGTTTTAGCTGGTCTTGGCGGGTTCAACAGAATCTTTTGTTTGTATGGAGTGGTTGCAACTGCGCTCCTCGGTACATTCGGAACAATGAACGATGTGCCTGATTGGGACTATGTTTGGCTTGTGTCTTTGTCTGTGGGCGCTTATTTTGTCGCCTTTTACTTTGCTCTGGATATCTGGCTGCAGCTCAATCAGCTCTACAGGTCCAAACTCTCTTGGTGGAAAATGTGTTTTCTCCCTCTCCTCCTCCTCTTCATCTGGAGACCAGTATCGATAGAGAACGGTGTGTGCGCGTGGGATTTCTCATGGAAAACACTTATTTCGAATGATGCGGGAACATCGTTCGGCCTGGTCGCTACAACGTTGCTGCTTGTTCTGTTTTTCTACCACCCGTACGTAAACCGCTCTCTCTTCGGAGTTCTCACCTTTGTTACGTCCGTGTTCAATTCCATTTCCCTTTTTGTGTCCTTTTACCTTTCTATGCGTCCTCTCGTGATCATTTACAGTTTAGCATTGTTCGTCTCGATTTTCGGGTATCTGCTCTATTTCCTGGGTCCCGAGGTGGAGATCAAAGCCAATCTTAAAGGCAATCCCAAAGCCAATCCCGAAGCCACTCAAGAAAGCGATAGCAAGAAAGAAAAATCCGATTCTTTTGTTTCTTCCAACAAACACCCCAAGTCACAAACTCCAAATACTCTTTATCCTTCCTCAGCTCTTCTTCCATATGCTGCCACCACGCCTTTCGCACAACATCCGCTTTCTGCAATCGAATCGCGTACTACACATAACCCCTCTTCTCCATCCTCACCCCAATCGCCTCCTCCGTTCTTTCCACTTCATAGCATTTCCTGCAATACGACACCAGAAAATCCAGAGCTCCGGGCACTTCCTTCCCCGTCTCCTCCAACACTTCCTGGTTTCGCCTTTTCACTTCGCTCACGACGTCGATGAACGAATACGTGGGGCACGCGGTCAGCAAGCCTTTCAAATAGTTCCAGGCAGCGTCGTTGTGCGGAGCTTTCTTCAATATGTCCATGACAAACTCCAACTCGACGTCGATTTCCTGCTTGGGTCTCTGATTCTAATCGAAACAAAATCAATTCCAACGGAATCGTGGGTAAACACGTAGAATCGATAGGACCAGGCACTGTTGTTAAACAGATCCAATGCGATGTATTCTATGAGCAATCAACAAACACATCAATAGTGCTACTTTCGGTGTATTCCATCTCTCCTTCCCACAAATTGTACTTCTCTACCACCCAGTGACGATAGGTCCAGCTGTGGATGTTTTTATTGTCGAGTCGAATGTAACTATCGCAGTACTCCTTTTCGTTCGCATAGCAATTTGAGATTTCCACTAAAAACATGCGGTGCATCCAGGTTTGGTAACACTTCTCGGTAAGGCGACGGACATCGTCCAGAAACGCGAATTCCTTATCATAGTCGATACCGTTCTCCAGAATACACTGTTGACGAACCACCCTACATGTTATTCATATTTACAAGTCATGCCATGCAGAAACAAAACTGGGATTTATTAAAATAATTGCTGTAGTTAAGCGAAAGACGCGATCACTCAGCTCTCCACTCAGGATGCATGCACGCAGCATGCCAACCATTTCTGCAACTAGAAAAATCAGATATTCGCTTCCAAGCGTACAATGTGGTGCATATGTGATTTTACAGATTCCATCTATCGTATCCTCCAATATGGGAGTGACATCCGAGAATTCTTGAAGAATCTCCATTTGATTGGAAAGTTATGCCAACCGAAATCCATTTAAGGAAATCTCTATTTCCAAAAGATCTAATAAAATAACTAGAATTCTTATCTTTTGACTATAGTAAACAGTTAAAGAAAAAGCTCCACGAAGAATATTCAAGATAATTAGAATCACAACGAGGATGAGAATGGTACACACCATATACATTCCACAATGCGCAATCTTGGCACCCTTTCGCTTCTTACGCAACTGCAACCGATCTCGCTGTATGGTATCCGTTGTATGCTCAACAGCTGTTTCCAACTCTCCCAGAAATTTGTTTTGTCTATCAATTTCATTTCCAATATTGATGGCGTGGTCTTTCAGCTCAACAAGTCCTTCACTGATCTCATCCAGCACTTGATCAATTTTCACCTTGTTCTTTTCATACATCTGCAGTGCTGCCTTTTGGGATGCTGTTAAATCCGCCTCCACTTCCTGGATTCGATCTTCCACGTCCATCTTAGCTATGAATCACTCTTTTATAATCTCGTAAAACTTGACTCATATGGGGGAGGCGTTCCAGGGAGAATTGTGAGAACCGGAGCATCCACGTTTGGGGTTTCGGTAAACCCTACTATTCCTGAATTTGAGTGAGTACCCTACTTTCAGCCGCATGATTTTCAGATGCCTTCGCTTCAAGTCTTCTGATTTGAGCGAATAGTATGGTCAGCACTTCATCTCTTTGAATCCTCTCTTTCTAAATTATTATTATTATTATCGTTAACTAAAATTGTACCTCGGTGCTTTTTTTATCTTTCTGGATCTGGGTTTCGAGATCACCCACCATGTTTGTTGCCTCCTTCAGCATGTTGTAAATTTTGGAGTTTAACTCAATAACAACCTTTCTGTTCGTGCACACGAGGGATTCTTTATCCCTTCGCTCGATCAACTACCAACAAACGAACGATTCGAAATTACGAGTTTGATGTCTTGAACCATGGAGAAGAGAATCCTCTCTGTGTAGTCAAACGCGTTTTCTTCGACTGGGTGTGGATCAGGGTCTTCGTTGACTCCCAGTTCATGTCCAATTCGCCGCAATTTTGTTAAAGACTCTTTGATTTCGGATTCCATTAAAAAGCAAATTCACAAAAGGGATCAAAAACGATCCCTTCCTCCAGTTACTTGTAGAGCGAGTGTCCCAGTACAAGCTTTTGCATAATATCATACAAATATCGTAGACTAGCGAAAACATCGATTCGAAAGACCTCTTTCGTTATCCTGTGTACCAACAAACAACGCAATGCGATTTTCGTTTCATAACTTCTAAAAATCTGCGGTATGAAGATGCTGCAGCGCGTGATTGGCATGGCCGCACAGCTATCGACACATCGCGAAATGGGCTCGCTTCGATCAATGGAATATAGATGGGACCGTCTGTTCGTCTTTCAAAGCGAAGGAAGCACGATCCACTCCGATTATCATACACAAAGAGTGCATCGGAAGGGATGATGTGTCTGAAGTGCCGCTATGCATGAAACGCTCATTCCATCCATACGCGGATATCCGTTTCATTTCCATAGCGACTCAAACCCGTGGCGTGGAAGAAGAGACTTGGAATAAACTGCATTCGAATCTGCCAATAACACTCTCATAAACAAAACAAACATGTTTGATGATTCGAACAGAGCGAAAGTGCTCTCTACAGATAACTTCGGCACTGCGAAATGGCCCACAATGTGTTTAATCCCAGTTCGTGTCTTCTCAACACATGCATTCTCTTTAGAACTGTTTCCATATCGTTCGCATTCTTCAATCTCACATAGGCAATGCCTATAGACTCGCCTGTATTTACATTCCGAATAATCCGCACACTCTCAACTACATGTTCCGATCACCCAAGTGCCTCACCTCCATGCTTTGCCTCTATAACAGACGATATCTCCTCTTCGGATGCATCCTTCGCTACGCAATCCAATCGAATCGAGTGACTAATCGTCTCCTTCCTCGTCGTTTTCAAATCTCGGAGCTGAACTGACATTTCATCTTCAGAAAGCTACTATTTCATAATGCAGCACTACCAAACTTCAAATTGACTGTGTCTACTTATGATTTCTCTCAAGCTGGCTTCGGAATCGAGAGAATGAAAAAGTTGGGGAATATCATATAATCTTTCAATTGGAATGACTTGGCATGATATAAAGAGTGCGCAAACATACACCATTCGCTCGAATTCCGTTTCAAGACATAATCATTCTCCAGATTCTGTTTTGATAAATAGAACTCAAGCCTCTTGACGATTTCCTCTTCTTCCATCCAATTTGGCTTGTTTCGAACCTTCCGTTGGGAGTATTTGATGCGATCGGGTTTTTATTTTCATCCGAAAAGCAATTAATATTCGCCTTTTCGATTATACTATGTTGTCGCGTGTGCTGACCCGCACTGTGAAAGCAGTGCCTACCATGACTCGTGGTTTTTCTGAAGTGAAGTAAGCTCTTTGAGGGAACTTGCATTTTAGGAAGTCAGGAATCTACACAAAGACGGGAGACAAAGGATCTTCTTCTCTCTATAATGGAGAACGAAGAAAGAAATATGATGACGTCTTTCAGGCTTTGGGAAATACGGATGAATTGAACTCGTACGATTTTGTACACATTCTGAGGTTAGATTCACCGGATTCGCCCGGGGCTATGCTGAAGCCTCAAACAATGGACTGGCGCCAAAGTTGATTGAAGTATTTTTTCTTAAATTTCTGCATTACCAACAGATCCAAAGTCGGTTATTCGACTTGGGAGCTGCCATCGCCACTCCTCCCAAGCGCAGTTCGTATCTATCTCTTTTTGCTTCATTTACCGCAATAGTTCCAACAAAGTCGAAAAAACGAAATTCCCCGAAGACAACATCACCACTCTCGAGAAGTGGATCGACGAATTGGATTCCCAGCTTCCTCCTCTCAAGACGTTCACTATTCCTGTTTCAACTCGCGTTTTGTATGACCCTTAGACATCAGCCCCGGGTGGAGCGTCTCTGCAGATGTGCCGCTCGATTTGCCGTCGTGCCGAGCGTTCGGTGGTGCCTTTGGTAGAGCGCGATGAAGTGGATTCGGCTGTGCAGCGCTATCTGAATCGTCTGAGCGATTTCTTCTATGTGGCGAGTCGCTGGTCGGTGGAATTTGACAAAGTGGAAGAAATTCCGTGGGTTCCTCATAAGCAATTTTGGTTTGTTTGTTGGACACAAAAAAAGTTTGATTTGAATCATGAACGACGGTTCTTGGAACCTGGAGTGCTATGATGTGGCGAGTGATGAGAGAGCGTTTGCGAATATCAGGGCGCAGGCAAAACAGCAAGCCAAAGTGACGAATCGAGTGCAAGACCAAATTCAAGAGCAGCTGAATGTAGTAATTTGGGTGCTGTGAAATCGTAGCAATCTTGCATCGAGATTAGTGCGTGGTGTGGAGAAATCTTGAGAAGAGACGTTTCTCCCAATATTCTCACATCTCTGAGAGATGGAATCGTAGATTATAGTGTTTTTAGCAACACGTAGGTGTTGTGTCAGGTGGCATCTATTTTGTATCCGAACTATATTGATAAATTTAATGAAGCGCCGCGTATGTGAGAATGAAATTGGTTGAGTTGTAGAAGAGTATATGGATTACAATAGCAACATTGCGGTGTTTGGTGATCACTGCAGAGCGATTGGGATTGAGAGCGAATTAATTCTGGATTATACCTTCTTTGATGATCAGGATGTAGTTTTGTTGAGCAGAATGACACAATTAGCTTCCAAAAATCACCACGTGTTTGCTAGAGTACATGGACCATTATATGCGACAGAACTCTCAGGAAAAGATTTATTCTGCTAATGAAATTCCAACAATGGAGGTAGCTGGAGTTGGTGCTGCTGCCGGTACTACTGCTGGTACTACTGGTGCTACTACTGGTGCTATTACTGGTGCTACGATGAACGAACCTTCGTTGGTGCAGGATGCTTTAGAAACGACCGTCAACACACAACTGCTACCAACAGAACCTGTGGATGAGAGTCGTCTGCGACGGCTGTTTTGCTTCTGTTGCTATTGTTGTTGTGTTTATTTCGAACAAACAAGACGGATTCCTAAAACTGTTAGAATCGGACTCGAACAACAATTCCTCGCATGTGTTCTGTAGCCGTCTTCCATCCATTCTCTTGCAACGACAAAATTGCTGCATCTCACAAAGAGAAGCACCAGAACGATCGGTTGCGAGTATGCACACACTCAATCACTCTTGTTCAACTACTTACTTTGATAGGCAACAAAAATTGATTTGCTGGAAGCGAATTTATGAACTTCAGTTTCCTCTTATCTCAAATCAAATCTCATGCAAATTATTATCAAGGTAAGATGCTCGAATGAATCATTGACCTCTAGACTGTGTCCGGGAGAAAAGTAGGCTTGGTTTGTTTTTTATGACTCCTTTAGCGTGATTTCAACTTGGACGATAATTTAACAGTAGATTGCAGTGGAAAAAGGAATAAGGATGTAGGTTGCCGATTTGAAAAAGTCGCTGATGGAAAAGGAAGGAATCTCTCCGGACCAGTTTCGACTGATTGTGAAGGGGAAAGTGATGTAATGTGTACCGAGTTTCATTCATGTCAAGGACGGACGATAAAACGCTTCGGTCGTATCAGCTTACAAGCGGAACTGTGATTAATATGGTGTTGGCGTTGCGTGGAGGCTGTTAACTCATGTACTCTTTTTTGACGTTTTTGTTGAATTTCACTCGCTGATCAATGCCCTCGAATGTAGCAAACACAATCCCAAACAGATTTCTTTTCACACTGGATTTTGCTTGTTTTCGAGTGGGTACTCGTTATAATGGAAGTTAGTACCATCGAAACTCTTGTATACTTGAGATTGATGATTGTTGTTTCTAGAGTATCGTACTCAATAATCTGCGCTACGTAGTTAATACGCTAGATGAAATAGAGTTCGAGTTATTGGGAAAACGTTCTTTTCTAGTTCTGTTCCTCCTGTGAAGGATACTCCCATGGGAATAAGTGAGACGAGTCGTCCGTATGTAGAAATGTCGTCTCCTACAGTAATCGGAAAGAGTAGCTGTTGATTCTTAGAAAGTCCCTCTAAACGTTGCGCCGATTGAACCGCGCTCCGACAACGTGGTTATCGAGCCGGAAGTGACCAATATATCTCAAATTAGCCAGCCATCCTTCGATTCTCCACTAAACCGCTCTCTAATCACCAGCCGAATTGTTCCCTCTGTAGACCACTCGGTTCTGGACGATTTGGACGTGCGTCCTCTCTCCTCGTTGAAGAGCTCGTTCATCGACAAGCCTAGCGAGCCAGATTCTTTGAATATAACCGTAGAAGAAACGATCGAACCGTTTTTTATTTCTCTGTTTGTTTTATCGGTAGTGATCCAGGGTTCATGCCCCGCTCGCTGCTCCACTATCCTCAATCCATAACGAATCTGAGCGTAATAAACGAGCGAAGCATTCTGGAAGAGAGCGGACTTCTCGAGCAAACGTTTATCGAGGATGAGAATCAGGAAGCGCCGCTGGTTCTAGACGAACTGAGCATTCCTCCGCCTGCTCGGACGTTTGTGGAAGCGGACAGACCCAGTTTTATAAATACGCGAACGCGATCGAATTCGATCGAAGCTCAGGAAAGAGAGAATGTGTGGGACTCGGAGGATGAGGAGATTAAACAACAGGGAGGAAGGGCTTTGATTGTTTGTTTAAAGAAAGAATGAGAGAAAGAAAAAAAACATAGTAAACAAACTAACGAATTGATAGAAAGGTGTTTAGATAGGGATCAGAGTAGGTAAAGAGATCCAGAGACGTTGAGGATGATTCCTTTGGGGAAATGATCTCCACCTGGCGAAGTCGGGTGTTCTTTCCACTGTGATGCATCTCACTAATCACCACTTGGAGCGAAAAGGCCTTGAGCGGCTCGCCATCCACCGTGGTTTGCAACGTGTACCAGTCGTTGATTTCGCCCACTTGAAACGTTTCGTACTCTTGGAATGTAGAACCATCATCTCCATACAGGACCGATATGAGCAAAGGCGAATAGGTTGTATCTGTGGCATAACTTATGTAAAAGCGAATGCAAGTAATTATTTTCCTTGAAGCAAACTACCGGTTAAACTTCACAGAGATTGATGGTACATGAATTTCGATCACATGAGGACCTTCTCCATTGGATTGCCAGTATGTTGCGATCTACTATGATAGATGATAATTGTTTTGTACATTTCCATCGATCATGTTCCCAACTCCATGATCCAACTCTGCACTAGAGACCACCCATGTTGCTTCCGAAGAGATATTCTCCGTAGAGTCCATACAATAAGAGAAGTTGGAATGTCTGAGAAAAATTGGATTTCTATGTATTTTTGGAATGTGTATACGATGATTGAAAAAAGTCATAAAGGAGCATTGTAGATGAGATTGTGAGTTCATTTCACCTGAATGACGCCCGTTTCCAAAACGATTCGCTAAAGAGCAGTGTTTATGTGTGGTTCGGGAACAAACAAATCCATTGCAAATAGCCTTTAAACAACTCTTGCAGCAATTCTACAATTCAATGCCTCTTTCCATTCAAACCTTCTGAAATTCCCCTGGTTGGTAATGAATCCACTCGAATGGACTGGATCCCCACAACGATTGGCATCATGTCAGGAGACAAAATGACTTGGTATCCACTGCCGAGCGCAATCTACATGGCACTCGTTCTCCAAACATACCGTTACGCCAGCTTGAATCCCAATCAATCGGTTCATGTAATTCGACAACACCATCATCATAAGTTTATCTTTGAACTCCCCATCGATCATCCACAGAACTAGTTTCAACACAGAAGCTTCCTCCTCGCAAACCACCACCACTCCATGATCTGCCGTAAGGGGAGACACGTGAATTTTCTCTCGATCCAAAATGCATTGCATCAATTGCGCGGTAACATTTCCCTTCACTGCGGAAGCGGAAGACGATTCGCTGGGCAGATGCTCACTCTCCGCATTCAGCGTTTCTCGCCACTCCTTTCCCGATAAGCTCTGATCATTACGCATGTTCCGCTTGTTCGATCGAAATGAGCTGGATTGTGAACTTGCGCCAAGGCCCATCTCCATACATTGCGATAATGGCAAGGGAGTGGCTGCAGGGCGTGGTCGTGTGGTTTCTACGTGATGGAGGGAAATCTTGGCTTTGTTCAAAAGGCTCCAATCAATTTTGTTTTCTGCTTGTTTTTTATTTTTATTTTTATAATTTATATTTTTAGATACTGCATTTTGGTTCGTTGGGTTTTGGATGGGATTTGAGCGAATCGACTTTGATTGTGTTTCGTTGTCGTGTTTGTTTGGTTCTACCGTTCCTGGACTTTGCACCTTGTGGAAACGAGTCTGAGATGAAATAATTCTCGGAAATAAGGAAGACGAAATCTCCCTCCATCGCGAAGGTGCAGCGGAAGTCGTTGTGGAGGGAGGTGGTGGAGCAATAGGAGCAACAGGAGTAACAGGAGCCTTGGGAAGTGTAGATTCGGATACCGCGGGAATTGGAGCCGCCTCAGATCCTGATGCGAAACATGACTTGAACTCCCCCTCCCTGATTGACTCCTTTTCCTTCACTGGAGCACTCTTTGGAGCTGCTACACATCACAGAAGGAACGTTACAGTACGAGGCTCTTTTGGAGGCATTATCCAAGTCAGTGAAATTGGCTTACTAGACTGCTGAGAGATCACCGGAGCGAGGTGATCAAGCAAAAGGTACTTTGGTTTTTGAAAAGATGCTTCGGTCAGTCGTCCATGCGGATTACCCGCATTCGGCTTCACTTCAAATAACTACAATGCAGAATATAATACAGGCATACAGATTCGTTCGAATCCTGCAAAAGACTCTCCATGTTGCTCGAAACGTCATTCTGCTTTGGTTTCCTTGTTTGTTTTGGCATCATCACTTCGTCCCACGCATAGCCATTGTATCGAACCTAATGTTGACAACCGGTTGATTTCCCACGTCATCCACATCGTCCTCCTCGCTCTCACTCAGATTATAAGAGTACATTCAAAAGGTGTTCAACAAAGAGAAACAATTAGACAAAAGGAGTAGCCAATGAACTCTTCTCTTCGGTCTTCTGCACCGGCTTCCGTGTGGCAAACGCAACGATGATCACAATCAGCTCCACCACACAGATCACAATCCACAACAAATGCTCCTTCAAGTACTTCGCAAACGTCATCTCCTCAGGCTCCGGCGTCGGCAGCACCGTCGGCGCCTCCGTGGGATCGGGACCGAGCGTCAGCACGCGCTCGCCGACGAAGAAGATGTCGCAGTGCTTCTCTCCGTTGAGCGTGAGGTACTGGTAGCGGAATCCGATGTTATTGTTCCGCTGCAGATGCTCAGCGACCGCTCGGGCGTTCTCGATCGACGAGATGGCCTTGTAGAACGCGATGCCCTCCTCCTTGGGAAGAGTGACGCGGATCTGGACGGTAGAGAACTAGACAATCACATTGGATAAAAAAGAAAGTACCCAGTTAGGCTCCTCGGTAATACGATGGACAGACACGGTTGTCTTCTTCACATCATAGGCCTCACGAATTCCATTGGGGAAGCCATGAGAGTTGTACTCGATGAAGCGAGTACGAGAACCGGAAACATTGAAAACAAAGTCAATGTTGGCCAGGCCAGCAGCAGGCACCAAATCGAGGCAGTAGGTAGTTACAGGATCATCCCATTGTGTTACATTCTCTGAAACCTCATGGCAGTAACGGGTCATCTTTCCGTACTTGCCAGCAGGACAGTCCACAGCCACATCGACTCCGCTTTCCGTTTCAGGCCAAACTCCATCCTGAGCACATTTCAGACTGAGAACCACAGCAAGAACTATATGAGATGTGGAGAACGCAAGGTACGAGTGATAGCAACAAAGTACTTCATGATATAATAATACCAGAATAAAATATGGCAATGGGGAGTTTAACAAACAGGCACTCTATTTCAACAAACGTAGATGTCGCAGTAAAGTTCCAAAGGCACTCTTCACGCAGGGCTTGGTAGCCAGTGCAGTTATTACGTTCTCTGGTTGCTCTCTCCACAGAACATGTTCAATGGAGTTCGCCTTTAATGTGGACGCTATGTCGACCAATTCCATATCGTCCTTTGCCTCTAAAATCACTTTGTGCATGCTACATGTTCACCCATTTGCCAAAAATCCACTCCTCCAAATTCTCACAGTACTGTAAAACCACCGGATCATTGCGATACGTCCAGAGAGCAGCCGTCGAAGCTAACCTTGAGTTCTGGATTTCGTATAGTACCATGACATCCCTGAGCGACAATTGCACCTAAATTCCACTTTTTCGATTTAATCAAATCCTAGTTCGCAATCCCTAGTTTTTCCAGTACCTTTCTTAATATCACATATTGTACAATGGGATCGATATCCGTTTGGCCTGGTTCGCTCATGAATTTCTCAAACAAGTCAAAGAGTGATTTCATACCCCAACAATCCGAACAGTTCCTTCAATTTTTCATACAACTCCCTCAGTGCATCGTACATCGCAATCTCTCCCTTCAGCTGCGGCTTCTTTCCAGCAGCCACCATCTCCATCAGCTTCTGCTTCTCTCCATTCAATCCTTCGCTCACAAATTTCCCGAACGTTTCTCGCACCAAATTCCCCATGTTCCACACCGCTCTCCCCATCTTTAAATCCCCACTTTTCAACATTCCCGCCAACAGCCCCGCCAATTTCCCCGCGGTTTTTACATGCAAAAACGTGGGCGCCGCGCGAAACCTACATGAAATCCCGCGGGAATCGCTACGAAAGCAGCGTGACGAGCATCACGCGGAGGGCGTTACAAATGGCGGGAAAATGGGAATCGACGAAGCAGCGCGACGACATACGCGATTCGATGAAGTCACAACAAAAGGAAACCGAATCATTGGCTAAAAAGGTAACGGTCATGGCCTCCGAAAAGAGAGAAAACCGCGGTTTGATCATGAGTTGGCTGGTCACGTGGGAAAAAACGGCTTCTGTGTCGGGGTGGAATTGAAACGCCAGCGTGTTTTTCAGCTTCGACGATTTCCGAGGCGCGTAGAACAGAAGCGCTTCAGAACCGCGGGAGTCGTCAGAACCGCGGGGATCGTCGGGAAGCTCGGCAGCGCAGAGCACTTTGCGGGAGCGGAAATCGGTCAGTTGCTGCACGAGCAGATACAAACAGACCGGGATTCTACATTCCAAAAATCGGGGGTTTTCTACACGGAGTCTTCGTGTAAAGCGGTGAACAATCGCTTGATGAGCGTGGCTTCGGTGCCGTTGGTGACGACCTGCCAATCAAAATCGATCATCACTTTGGAGAGCTGTCGAATCTCGCTGAGTTGTTTGAAGGAAATCATTTGAAGCATATAAATCCAGTAATTCTCGTGGAACAGATGAAACGAATAGGGACAAACGTCAATCACGACGGTGCCCGGAGGCGTTTCTCTGATCAAGTCGAGCAAAACGGGGAATAAAAGAGAGTATTTCTATGGGAGAATCAAAGAGTGGAAGAAGAAAAAAGATACGGGTTGGTATTTGATGTGGAATTGGGCCAAGTAAGCGATTGGAATGGTTTGGCATGCAAAATAAGCGTAGGAATGCGCCAGGCCAAACGGGAATTGGTAAATCCCTCGCCATGCATCCACACTACGTAACACAAAGCACAGAAACAAACAAAAGCAACAAGCGCCCCTTCGAAAAGAGCAAGTACTGTTTAATCATCGCGTCGCAGCTCTCTTCTCCAGCGAAGGGATCGATGTTTCCCACTTGATACGCTGCGCATCACCTCAAACAAACAAAAAAGAAATACGCATATAGAAGAAGGACGGGAGTTTGAGTCGACGGAGAATGATGTAGAAACGCTCGCGATCGATGTTGTTGGGACTGACGATGTCGCGATCCACCATGAAATTGAAGGCGGTGAGAACGAGATAACCCAGAATTAAATAGGTGAATTCCATGTCTTTATGGTGCAGAAAGGAGGAGAGAGGTGAGGAGGAAAGGGTTTGAAACAATTTGAATACGCTGTTCACGTATTCAGCAATAATTGACATTGAGAATGCTTGAAGTAAGACAGAGAGAAAAAAGAAATGGATTACAATAATCTAAAATGTGATCGGAAAGGAAAAAATCGGATAGAATTCTGGCGTGTCTACTGACGTCTTTGTTATCCGTAGCATCTTCAGAATTACAAGCACAAAATGGGACATGTACATAAAGCAGCTATTTGAACCATTTGACGAATTGCGTTATAGGAGTATGGCGAATTCAACACGCTCTGGAAGACAAAGTCAAAAGAGGTGTCTTGCTGACTCCTATAACATATAACAATAAGCTACTCATCAACAAAACCAATACACAATTTACAATCCTCATAAAATAGCGGTAATTGGGATGATTCATAGTGGGGTCATCACAAATCTGACCAACTTCAACCCATGCACTTTCCTACAATAAAATTCAGTTCTTCCAACATACTGGAGATAGAGCAAAAAGCGATAAAAACGATTCGGCTTTCTCCAAAAAATGGTTCGCCATATCATCAGTTAACACGGAGAGACTGATAATGGATTTGAGGCGACACTTCACGTTCTATCAAAAAGGAAAATCAGTTAGCGATGTACATTAAGCGAATTCAAACACCCATTTTCACAATATTTCTCTAGTAGATCATCGAATTTTTCTTGAGCACTTGGCTGCATACCAAAAAATGAGGAAAAATCGATGAAAAAGAATAAATGCAATAGCCGGGAATCGAACCCGGGCCTGATCCGTGGCAGGGACCTATCTTACCACTTGACTACTATTGCTCCATTTTGAAGCTGCCAAAATGACCTGATATAAGATGGAAGGTGAATTGAATAAAAAGGAAAAAAACTAATCGAACCTAAACAACCACCAAACAACCACCAAACAATCAATCAATCAACATTGGCATATCGGAAATGAGTTTGACTTTTGACACGCAGCCTATTTCAAACGAAGTAATACTCTAAGAGAATGGAATGATGGTGTAGGAACTTGTATCCCTGTGCCAAACTCTTAACAAGGACCAGATTAATAGTCAACTTGATGTTTTGAAAAAAATACGCGGAGCTATTACGATGCGTACGAGTTTTGGACGATTTTTGAGAGAAAGGAAATGATAGTCCTTACGGTCTTCTCATTGAGCAGGGAATCATTCCTACGTTGATTGTGGGTTTACAGTGCCCATCTGTGAACGTTAATTTGGAGTGTGCTTGGATCTTGGGAAATATTGCCTCTGGAACAGCGGAGCAAGTATGGATGGATAGGGTATAAATGAATGAATTGTGTAGACTCTGGAAGTGTTCTACTCTGGAGTGGGTCCTATCTTGCTAAACCAGCTCAAAAACTGCAAAGACAAGTCTTATCTTTCGGTAGCGCTGTTCTTTGCAGGGAATCTCTGCGGAGAAGACAAATGCCGCAACATTCTCGTCTCAAGCGGCATTATTGACGTCGTTCTCCAGCTTCTCAACAAAGTACTTGCTTCCCTCCACTCCTTCATCCTTTCAGTATCTTTTGAACCAGGAGATCATGGAGAACTGCGTCTTCTGCCTTCGCAACGCCGTGGTGAACCAGAATCTTCTCCAGAACCGCGGTTTATCGCATCTCCAGCTCATCCAATCACTTTATCTTCGTCTTTTGACCGCTCCGAAGCCCCTCGAGATCCACACGGGCATTCTGAGCGACGTTTTGCAGCTTGTCCAATCCGTTCTCGAGAGCAATCCCGTCAATATCGTATTTCCCGCGGGACCGGCTCATCTTCCAGGGCATGCCACTGATGAAAATCGCGGGGGAGTGCATCAAACGAATGGACGCATCGGTGACGGCGTCGATCGAAGAGCGTCTGGAAGAGTCGCTGAATTACCCGACCAAATCGATCTTGGAGACCCTCGGGAACATTATCGCGGAGAACGATCTCTACGCGAGCTATCTTCTGCAGAACGGGTATTTGGCGTTCCTCTCCCGCGTTTATTTTGACAAAAATAACGGGGATTTTCTGCTCCGGTTGGAAGTGATCTTCAATTGGATGAATCTGTCCGGAGGAACGTGCAGCCAGGCGCTCTACGACACGGGGATCCTCGAGACGCTGGTGGGGAACGTGCAGGCGCTGAATCCACAGTCGAGTTCGATCGAATTCGAGGCGGCGAGGCGGTCGATGGTGGTGATTTGCAACTTTATTTGCGAGTGTGATGATGCGACGCGGCTGTATTTGCTGTCGTGTAATGTACGAGGGCTGCTGGAACAGTATTTGAATCTGGTGCAGGGACGATGGCAGGACGAAGATCATGACTTTATTGTGGACATGTTGAGAAGGATGAGCGAATAAGGAGAAGGAGAGGGAGAGAGTGAAATTACTATTGATAGATTGTAGAATTGTGTTTGTAAGAAACAGAAAACTAGAGATTGGTGAGGATATCGGCTAACACACGGCCATCGTCCGAGAATAAAACATCCAGGATCTAGAGTGAATAGCTATTCTCCGAGCCCACTTCTTTGTCAAGAGAAGCAGAAAGTTGTTCAATGTACTCTGGAATACGGTCTGGATGTTCGATTAAATAGTTCTAGAGTAGAATATAATGGCTGTCACTACGCGAACTCTATGCATGGAGGATAGAGACCCGACCAATAATTTTAGTTGTCGGATAGCGTCTTCCTTCTTTGTATCCATTATAATAACCAATAGTATGTTTAATGAATCATATAAGACAGTGATCACCGAGCACGTGAATATAAACAAACAAAGGAAAAGACTTACATTTCATCATATGGCACATCTTTTCTATACATCATCTTTTGTCTTTCAGCAGTTCTTGCCAATCTCACTTTCATTCCAGTAATCTGCTTTATAGCCTATGCAATTTATGTTTCCTATCTTCTCGTACCTCCATGTGCATATCCATCAAAATCGAAAGTTGAGCATCGGTTGCAGAGTCCAGATCGAGTCCCAAATACTGTGCAACGGTAATTCCCGAAGCTCTTGCCGACGGATTCGACTTTTCCAAAACTTTCTACTCATCATTTCCCTCCATCTTCTCTTACCTGTAATTCTTCATTTGAATAATTCATCCCATTATTATTATTATTATTATTATTATTGCTATGTCCAAAATATTCATTTCTCACATCTCTATAATCCTCCCTCATCGGAAGGAACCAGGAATCTCGTTCTAAATCCATTTCGCGTTCCCTCCATTCTCCGTAATGTGTTTTGGGAGGGAAACTCGATTGGAACGGATACGACAAGGGATCGGGAGTGTTGTAATAATAGGGGTATGGGGCCATACTGGCATCAAACGACCCAAATCCATACGCCTGTCCATAATCGAAATCAAGGTTGTAAGAGATCCCCGCGGGGAATCGATGGAAGGGAGTTTCATAGTCTTGTGAGGGAGTTTCATCGGTGGGAAGCGTGTCTTGAAGGGGCGGAAGCGAAGAAAGAAACGACGTTAACGAGGGAGTTTCATTTATTAATTTGGATTCGGTTTTGGGAGTTTCATTCGGTGGGTTGGAAGACGGTGCGGCTTGCGCGGTTTGCGCGGGTTGCGCGGCAGGCGAAGCAGACGAAGCAGGCGAAGCAGGCGAAGCCGAAGTGGCGGGTGCTGCAGGAGGGATGGGTCCTGTGATAACCGCGGGAATGGGTTCCGCGGGTTTCAACGATTTCTGTATGATTTTTTTGTAGTTGAGTTTTGGCAGAGTTGGGGCCTTTTTCCTTCCCTCCATTTCCACGGTTCCACTGTTTCTACTTTTTCGGGGTTTCTCCCTCACCGTTTTCCACGATTCCTCCGTTTGGGACGGCTGAATGGCGGGGGTTTCATCCTTGGTGGGAGTTTCCACAGAAGGAGTTTCATTTTTTGAGGGCGTTTCATCCTTGACAGGAGTTTCATCCTTGGTAGGAGTTTCATCCTTGGTAGGAGTTTCATCCTTGGTGGGCGTTTCGTCCTTGACAGGAGTTTCATCCTTGATAGGAGTTTCGCTCTTCTCGGGAGTTTCGCTCTTCTCGGGCGTTTCGCTCTTCTCGGGCGTTTCATCCTGAAGCACCACCTCTTTTCCCTTGGGCTGCTTCCAGTTGCCGAACACATCTTTCTGCGGGGGAGCGTACGCCACGAACCGCCTATGCGGGTGAAACTCCCTCACGTGCTGGAAGCAGGCGGCGCAGAGATCGTAATCCTCGCACTCCTACTCCCAAAATCGGCCCGATTTCTGCACCCCTACCTTGCAGGAGTAGCGAACGCCCTCGATTTCCTTCCCGTTGCGACACCGATCGCACTGAAACTCCCTGTGCAGCGTGTTCACCGCGCTCACCGCCGCGGGCTCCTTGGCCTGCTTCCTCGCCTTCCTCCTTCCCTTCTTCCCCTTTTTCTCCATTCTGTCCCTCACTCTCTCTCCGAAACGCCCACTCCTTCGGGTCGAAACCCTCCATGCGCAGCAGCTCCTCCATTTCCTCCCTCGCGCGCTCCTCCAGCTCCTTCCACTTCGCCTCCAGCATCTCCGCGCACTCGGGGAAGCACGATTTCTCCGCCTGCTGCCACTCACATCCCCGCGGGAATCCTACCTGCAGCGGCGTCAGGCCCTCGGCGTCGCGCAGCGTGCTGTCCGCTCCCGCGTCGAGGAGCAGCTTCACGCAGGCGGCGTTGCCGACGGAGGCGGCGACGTGCAGCGCGGTCTGGCCGTCGACGTCTTGGATGTCGAGCAGTTTGGGGAATCTGCAGGGGAGTGGAGAGAGAGGAACCGACAATTTGAGAATGTGCTTGACGAGAACCGCGCGGGAGGGCTCTGGGCCCAGGCAGGCGCCGATGAGGCAGGTGGTGATGTTTTCGCTGACGATCCGAACTTCGGCTTTTTCACTTAGCAGCCATTTGAAAAACTCGTACTGGCCTGAGTAGCAGGACCACAAAATAGGAGTTTCTATGATGAAAGCATATGTTTGAGGGAAACCGCCTAACGAATTGCACTGGTTGAGCAGCTTTCGGTCCTTGGCCAGAATCATCTTACCAATGTTGACATTTCCTCCCTAAGAATCAGCAGCAATGCAAAAACGAATGCCTTGGCAGCAAAAAACAAAGCGGTGTTATTCTTCGTCACCGTCACGTTGCTCACGTTGCAATTACGCTTTATCAACTCCTTCACGATTTGCTCATATCCCTCGGAAGCAGAGATCATCAAAGCTGAAAAACCATCGGAATCCGTCTGGTTCACATTTGCACGTTTCTCATCCAGCATTTTTATCACAGTAGCTAAGTCACCATCAGCAACTGCCGAAAAGAACGCATCTGCATCCTCCATCGTAATTTTCTCGTATCGTATACTCACCTCTTCTTCATATTGCATTGTAACAAACAAAAAGCAAAAGGTTTAGGAATTTGAAAATGCAAAAATATACCCGATTTTCGTCATCTTCGCTTCAGATATCAATGAGCGGCGGATCGAATGTAGGGTAAATGATTTTTCAATATTCAATACTCATCCTTCATTTCCTTGTAATTACAAATACTATCGAGGTTGGAGGCAAGGAATGTAGGTCAACTCGCATTATCTGCAACTGTTAGGTACCAAAAATGTGCAGTGTGGAATTCCTGCAGCGGATTTAGAAATGTCTCGCGACGTGGCAGACTCACTGTCTGGCCAATGTGTGTACGAGAGAAAGATATATTTGAAAACGTAGCAAGGGATATTGCAGCTGTTACGATGGATTTGGTTGCAGTAACTGCGGTGCAAGATTGCTTCTAGATGAAAACGGCGAATATACCACTATTCGCAAGTTGCCTATATGACTATTTTATTGATTCATTTAGTTTAATCGATGGATCCGACAATACGGTAGATATCTGTTCTGTTGAATGGGGTGGTGGTTATTGTACCAAGGACGAAGAATGCCATGGAAAAGGTCTCTGCATCAACAATCAATGTGTGTGTTACAGCAATTGGCTTTGTCCCTATTGCTCGATGGGGCTTAACGAAGACATTCTGATTGGTGCGAAGTGCGGAGATTATGTTCATGGCGGGGGATCTTGCTCAGATGACAGTGATTGCTACGGAAATGGTGTTTGTCTTGACGGAAGCTGTATGTGTAACAGTGGATACGTGTGTTCCCACTGCTCCTCGTTAGCGATCGATATTGTGAAGGGAAGTAGGAACGATTGAGGAATAATAATCTAAGGCGAGGAATGTCCTTGTGATGGAGTGAACTGTGGAAAGTACGGAATGTGCATAGGAGGGCAATGTGTTTGTGACAGTGGATACAAGGGACAATTTTGTCAAATTAACGTATTTCTACCCTTCTTCTTATGATTAGATCTGCGACGAAATCGACTGTGGAGAACATGGTGTGTGCTCTCTGACTCTCGGAGGAATCTGTGTGTGCGACGAAGGGTATTCAGGAGCACGCTGTGACACGCAACCAACAGGAGGGAAGGCTTGTGAATCCGATCAGGACTGCGGAAATGGAGTGGGTGGAATTTGCCACCCCGTAACGCATACATGCGAGTGTTACAAAGGATGGACATGCCCTGGATGCGATAAAGTGGGGAGCGTTTGCGATGCAGCAGCAATGATTCATGGAGGAGGAAGTTGCGAATCGAATAAGGACTGCGGAAACTTTGGTCCTGACTATGATAATCCAGAGAAAACAGGAGGAAAGTGCGAAGGTGGAATATGTGTGTGCTTTGAAGGATTTACATGCACGCATTGCACAAAGGAAGGTAATCCAGAGGATGTTGTCAATGGAAATCTGGTGTGTGATGGAGCGAAAGCAAGTTCGATATCTTACATGGTATTGATGATAACCATTCTAGCAATTTACGTATTCTATTCTATTTGTTTTATGCATCATATTATACACAATTATATGTCACTCAGAGTGTGTAGGGTGTTGGAATGATTTAGAAACATGAACAGAATAATCCAGAACGAGGAACCAAACGACTCTAGTTGATAATAATAATAGAGTGCTGTGAGTTGATAGTTGATTTGCTAGCATTGCACTAATGATTCTACTGCATCTACCGAGAACATATTGTTTTAGAACACAGCAGCAATACATAATTGTAATATCTCAATGACTTTCTACTGTTACCACTCATTACATAAGCGAAATAATGGATTGAAAAGAGGATTGGAATTCCATCGTATTTGAATGACATGTTCGAGTGTGGTTGAGCATTGTTGGGGAGATCAAATAAAGGGGGGCTCAGCAAAACGAAAGGCTCATCTAGCCAAACCTCCACTTCCAACACCAAGATGCAACCCACACAATAGAGTAGCCAAGTGTGAAAAGTGATTTCTTCCTTTTCGATTGATTCCATACACTATCATTTCTATTCTCTAGATATCGAATGAATAGCTATCAATCCAAAGGAAAACAATTAATAACTAACTGATTGGGTTGGTTGTGGAAGATGATGCACATCATAATTATCAATGTGTGCACGTTACACAACGACAGATTGAGCTGTAGAATGAGTTTACCGATAGTAGGAAAAAATGCGATTATTACTGTTTCAAAGATAATAGGAATTCGATTATAAGCACGAAACAAACGAATTGACTCTGTAGAGACATAATTTAGAAGTGAAACACACTGAGGGAAAGTGAGTGACAAATTATGTCAAATCTATGCACAATCAATACGAATACCTATAATTATAAACTATGAACATACGAATCAAAATATATGTAGAAATAAGACTGGAAGACAATTGGTCATAGAAACAAGGAAAATAATATATATTATGTATAGAATAACCAACTCATTTGATACAAGCATGGATAGCACACATAATCTTGATCAACACCAGAAAAAGGATGTTTTCTATAGTTCATATGAACAATTTTCTAGTCTAGAAATATAAGATGAGGATAGATGTGGAATTAATGGAAAATACACGAAGTCCATTTGGAACCAACGAAACCTACAATTTGGACATTTTCTGACATTATAGGCAATTCCTTCGAAACAAATCGAAAGTGACATAACCAGTTGGATCGACAAGCCAAAGTAAAACTATTCTTGAGCCCTATTATTTCGGTGGATTATATTGAGATAGCGAAATACACTACTGAAACTGTTTTCTACTGTACTCCTTTAGAACTAGCTACAAAGCTCTGATAACACCAATAATAGTGTTATAAACACAGACTAGCTTAGGAAATCTTGTTTCAAAGATACTCTATTCTCAAGTGTTCCGAAAAACAAAAAAACATTCCAAATAGCGTTCTTCACTTCTCATATAATTGTGTAGGCTATTAATGTGTGTGAATACCCAACCAAAAATAACAAAGCTTCCCAAAATGAACAATGGAATATATTGTGGAATTGCAATGATTCGACATATTTCCTATCGAATGCTCCATCACTCAATTGATAATGGTTCATTTTTGAATATTCACTTTGAAAATAGCAAGACATATTTGATAGAAGAAATATGAAAAATCGAGAAGCAAATAGAACTACTTTTGTTGGAATTTGAGTAGCAGGCATTTCTAGCTCAACTTACACCATGTATACATACTCCTAAATTTCCAATAGAAAAATAGAATTGTGTTTCGGTGATATATAAACTAGATATTAAACTGGGTGTGCTTTTGGATTTTCTCATAATTTTTTTATTTTGGTCAAATAAAATGGTTGGGAAATGTATTGTGTTATCTTCCATGCTAATGAATAGCCTATTTGACTGAATTTCGTTTTACCGAGCATCTGCTGGATGGATACGGTACGCTCGGCCACCCTGAAACCCTGGTCAAGGGTGGAATCAAATACACTGTTCAGCGATTCCAGGGAAAGCACAAGAACGAATTTCTATTGCGATCAGAAACTGGTGATGTGTATCTGTTTGAAAATAACGTACTGAAACAAGAATGGAAGGAGGACGAGAATGGAAAGAAATCGGAGGAGTTTATTCGATACAAGAATGGTCGAGCCGATTTCAGTGAGCGATTCGAGTATATTTTGGAACAAATGAATAGCAAACGTTTTGTTTACCACAAGAAAGGGCTTCGAATGGAAATCTGGTCAGCCAGAACGGGACATTTGCTGTATCACGGAGGGTACAACGAAAGACGAATGAAAGAAGGCTGGGGCATCGAATACGATAAAGAAAGCGGAAATGTGGTTGTAGAAGGGATGTGGAGCAAAGGAGTATTGAAAGAAGTGATTCGCTGTTTCAATGGAGATACGATGACCGAATTAAAGCAAAACGGAGCAGATAGCTTGGATCCAACGAAACGAATTCCGATCTATGTGGGTGGATTTCGCTATGATGAAGACAATGAAACGTTTATTCGTGAAGGGAAAGGATGCTTGATTGATGAAAAGACTGGAATCGCAACTCGAGAATGTGAATGGAAGGATGGAAAGGAAGTGAGTGGAGTGGATCTAATTGATGGATGGTACGATCCAAAATTGAGGTATGGTTTATCAACAGCCATGATTCCTAGACCTGATTCTGTGCCTGCTCCTGCTCCTGCTCCTGCTCCTGCTCCTGCTCCAAAACGCGAAGAACCTGTTCCTCTTCGATTCAGCGTCACTGGATCTACAAAATGGACCGATGTGAGTTTACAAGTGACCGATTTGAAGATTTCATCGAATTGCTGTAACGATTTGAATGCATTGGATCTGAATCGATTCGAGTGGCTACGATCTATCGAAATCGGCGATGAATGTTTTGAATCAGTGCAAACATTCAAAATCGATGGATTGAATCGATTGAAAACTATCAAAATCGGAAGCAATTCATTTACTCAACTGAAACAATCTAACTGGAACGACAAGAAGGCGAACAACATATCGAAGTCATTCCACATATTGAATTGTGGATCATTGGAATCCATTCAAATTGGTCGATATAGTTTCAGTGATTTTGCTGGCGACTTTGAATTGAAGAATCTACCACAATTACGATCCATTCAAATTGGGACAATTGGAAGTCAATCATGCAATTTCCATAATAGTTCGTTTGTGATTCGAGGTATTGATATGATATTGAATATTTGAATGATGCATAGATCTTCCAAATCTACAATCCATTATATTAGGTAATTTTACATTCCGTGAATCCTTCTCAACAAGAATCGAAAGTATTGAATGAATTGGAATGAAATGATTGATGTAGATCTTCCATCATTACAATCCATTCAACTCGGTTGGTTTGCACTTGATGGTAGAAATGATGTTTCAGCTTCATTCACACTTCGAAGTAATAATGAATTGATTGGTTATGATTTGTTTTGTAGATCTTCCAAAGCTAACATCGATAACTTCTGTGGGAGGCAGTTTCTATTATCCTCGTGTAATGACATTGGAAAGTATTTCTGAATATTGAATATTGATAGTATTTAGATATTCCAAATCTTCAAAATGTCAACCTACCTGATTCATTCTGGAAACTGTATTATCCCATCGTCAACAGTAACTATTCATATTTTCAGTTGATTTTAGATGTTTCTGAACTACTATTTCCTAAAGTCTATTGCTACGATTTCATTCAATCAATGGATTCATCCATTACATCGATAATTCTTCCTAATTGGACCTGTAATGATATTGATTATACAATATTTGATTTCTCTCGATTTACACAAGTTGAATCTATCAAAATCGGCGGTGAATGCTTTTCTAGAGTGAAAACATTCAAAATCGATGGATTGAATCGATTGAAAACTATCAAAATCGGTAAGAATTCATTTACTCAGGAAAAGAATGATGATGGAAATGATAAATCGAAATCATTCCACATATTGAATTGTGGATCATTGGAATCCATTCAAATTGGTGAATTCAGTTTCAGTGATTTTGCTGGCGACTTTGAATTGAAGAATCTACCACAATTACGATCCATTCAAATTGGGACAGTTGGAATTGAATCATGCAATTTCTGGGATTGTTCCTTTGTGGTTCGAGGTATTGATATGATATTGAATATTTGAATGATGCATAGATCTTCCAAATCTACAATCCATAGAATTAGGTAATTTTACATTCCGTTATTCCTTATCGACAATAATTGAAAGTATTGAATGAATTGGAATGAAATGATTGATGTAGATCTTCCATCATTACAATCCATTCAACTCGGTTGGTTTGCACTTTATGGAGGAAGGAATGATGAATACCGTTTTTTGACACTTCGAAGTAATAATGAATTGATTGGTTATGATTTGTTTTGTAGATCTTCCAAATCTAACATCGATAACTTCTGTGGGAATTAGTTTCAATGATCCTCGTATAGTGACATTGGAAAGTATTTCTGAATATTGAATATTGATAGTATTTAGATATTCCAAATCTTCAAAATGTCATTCTACCTGGTTCATTCATTGAAGTTCGATCGAAATCAATTTCGAGTATAGTTTGATTGATTTGATTTGATTCATAGATGTTCATTGGAGACTCGCTGATCTTGTCAAAATCAAGTATTAAATCTATAATTTTGATTTTGATTTGTTCAGTGATTCGTCATTGTTTAGGAACATTTCCATTCATTGATTGTTTGTTTGTTTGTTTGAAACCGATTCTTGATCACAATTCATGATTCTATAATTATCAAAATATCAATCCTGCCTGATTATTATGATGTTCTTCTTTACCATTTTAACAATGATACTGAATTATGATTGTTGTTTCAATCAATCAATCATGCGTTAAACAGTTATAAAAGCATGAACAAATGATTGAATCAATGATTGAATCGATGACATTATTGATGCAGAATTACAGTTCATTGGTTGTGATAAAGGTCTTTGTTGTTTTGAATCACTCCACAGAGAAAGAATCTTTCGTTCATTCATTCATTGATTTGATCGTATAATCATTCAAATATCCCATTGCAATTCACATGATTGGTCCACTTTATACAGATTTAACGATATTTCCTTGTCAACAATCCATCATTCATTCTTATGGTACAAAATATACATAATCACAGTATGCACTCAATTCAAATCGATTTTTGTAGGATTACTCATTCATTCATTCATTCATTCATTTGTTTGTTTACTTTTCAGTGTTGAATTGCTGAAATCGAATCGAATCCAACTCCAATATCACAACCAATCACATTCCCATTCATTTCGATTCTCTCTCATTCACTCTTCATTATCATAATCATGTATTACATTCATAATAAATAACTAATACATATCATTGAATGGATTAAGATCTTAAGCAATGAATACTATTTCTTCTATTCTTTTCGTTTCTCCTTTCTTTCATTCATTCATGGTACAAACCATCTCCATGCTATGCAATCTTTGTACATCCAACTCATATTCATTCAATAGATTGTGACCAATTACACAAATCATTCCAGTACTATTCTATTCACATATAGCATACAATCTGTGATAGTATCTATGAATCATTCAGTTACAATCACTATATACCAATCATTGTGCATTCCAACTAACAATAACGGAATTTACTACAAATTCCAATCATCCATTCATCGATTGGTTATTCCAGTACTAAGTATCAACAATATTGTTCCTGCTACTCAGAATTAGTTATTTTATGAAAATGGATTTAACAGAATCAAACATTGTGTTAAACCAATGAAATGACAGAATCATGTTTGTCTGGATTCTGTTTGTTTTGAAGCAAAACTATGCATGATCTATGTAATTCGTTTCAGGATGTGCTAAAACAGATCCCTGTGAAATATCATCATTTCAGCTATTGTTCGTCATAATTTGTGAAAATGACTTCATTTCCATTGCTACTTCATACATATGTTATTTTCTACTATTCTATTACATTCTAGTATTGTTGTTTTCATTCATATTGGCCATTTCTGATTATTCCACACTTACCTATCTTATTTTCACAGTATTCTATTCAATGGAGTATACTAATAAGCCAAAATATACAATCAATCACAAATACACATTATTCTATCTTCCTATACAGAATAATGATGATGATGATTATGACAAAACATCAACTATTCACAATCAATCCTATTGAGAATAACTATTGTGAAGACTCTTGTTTGTTAATACTGCTCATTCCTTCTCTCAGCTTATAACACGAACTAGCAACATTATTAGTTGTCACATTTAGAATGTGAATTCATTATGGGCTTTGATACAATTCATATCACACAATATGCACCAAAATGAAACAATACACATTTGTTGTTATTCTATTCCAAATATTCATTTTCCAAGTATTGATTCAAAGTATCTCGAGACTATAGTATACAGATTAGTCATATATCAAAGGAAATACAACAATACTTGTGGTAAATGATTGATTCATCCTTCCTATTTCTATTGATGAGTTCATCCATATTTGATACATGTCACACAACAAAAATGATCCTATTTTCACTACAACAAACAGCTCTTTCGATCAATAATAATATGATTTATCAACTTGTAGCCATCTTAAACCCCATTAATATGGAACAATAGTAGTAAGAGAATGGCACTATTTGTGTGAAACCTGGTGGCAGTTTTCTTTATATGCTATTTTGCTCCATGACCACAATTGCGATCCTTTGTCCATCGTTGTAATCGACCAACCGATTCTGAGTCCTCGACTATCGTTCCTAGGCTGTTTGGTCGACAATCATCGGTCAGGAACCAGGTTTTGTGCTTTCTTAGACCAATTCCTTTAACTATCAACCTAGTGTCCGTTTCTATTTTTGTGCTTGTTGCATCAGTTATACTTGGATGCAAGAAAGCAGTAGACATACCTAGCTAAGGTGAATTATTGTTATTTCTCTCGTATTTACATGTTTGTTTGCTTATTTGTAATGACCGAAAGCTAATATGTGTACATTGTCATCACAAATCCATCTATTGTTGTCTATACAAGTCATGAGTGTCTTTGGTAAAGAGAGAACATGCATTATTCCATTCTCATACAAGATTCACCTATCAATGGTTCATTCGATTCAATCAATCCTTACAAGTTCAGAAATCCATTTATCACTTCCATGACTGTTCTATCCAAACCCAATCAAGTCATGTTCAATAATGTGGACTCAATCAATGTGGTGACAAACACCAATGGTGAAGAGGTAACGATCTCGCCTGATTATTATACACTGACTGAAATCATTGCCATTCTGAACACCATGATTAATACTACATTCTCAATTTCCACAATGGCTACAAGTTATGAGTGTATTTGGATCCAGTCTCCATACTCTATCGATTTCACGAGGTACATATGACATGGAAACGATCATTGCAATGTTGAATGCGAGTAATGTTCTATTTGAAGTAGTGTATAGTGAAGAAAATGCATTTCGAGTCTATAACCAGTTTGTGATTCTTCCTCTGACACAACTTATTCATTCCTTGAATAAAGTGATTCATTTATCGAGGTGTGTGTGTGGAGCATGAATGAGATTAAGGAACTATGGAAGCCAGCAAAACGAAGAGGTGCCACTCGAATGATCATCAATGGATTCAAACGAAACATATACTTCATCGATCTTATCGATTTCTCTTCAAAACAACACAAATCGATACAGGAAGTATTAGGATCACAATAGAGTACTGGATTCTACAAGAATCGTGGATACAAATATGTCCTTGTATGTATTGATGGATATTCGAAATACCTGATGACTCGGAAACTGAAGAGTAAGAGTGCTACAGAAGTCACGCATGCGATGAAGGATATCATTCAAACATATGGTGAATCACCAAAGCATATTTGTTCGGATCGAGGTACCGAATTCACCAATGCCATCTTTCGTACAAACATCTTGAACAAGTATGACATCACCATGTATCACATGGATTCAGCGAATACAGGCAGTACTAGCTGAACGAACAATTCGAGATATCAAGGAACACATCATGGTTCCTTCATTCCATTCAATCAATGGAAAGGTGTATGGTTCGATTTGATCGATGGTGCAGTTCGTAGACATAATGGAAGGAACAGAGACATCGGATATACACCCAATGATATTTGGCTTAACTACAACAACGATATCTTGTAAATGGAGAAAACAGAACCATCCAACATGACAGCAAAGGACACAACACCTCAATTCGATGTTGGTGATTATGGAGTGACACGATAACCTCGCATTCTGGAAAAGCGATCATTGACAAGTAAATGGTCTCAGAACTTGATTGAAGTTGTTGATATTGACGATCACATCATGCCATTAATATACGAAGTGGAAGGGCAAAACAATCGCACACAGAAGTGTTATGATTGGGAACTGCTGGCTAGCAAATGCAAACCACAACCAGTATCATCCATCACTCAATCCAAGAGTGATAAAGAACCCAATGCATTGAGAGAGGCAGCAAGATCACATCGACCCATTACGAGCACCCAGAAGAAGAAACAACAACAACCTCGCTCAAGTGTCCAAAAATGATCGTGATGCTCTTCACACCACTCAGACATACAAGAGAATGGATATTCGTGAATGCAGAGATCGTATGACTCTCACTTGTCCATTCTATTCCATTTATCAGTTTGGTATGGGAAAGGGTCACAAAATTGTTGAGTATATCGATGAATGGCACATCGAGCAATCACACACCATCCATTGAAACACTCACCTCGTATCCCTTACCCACAATCGATTCGATGGAATCACAATGTTTGAATAGGGCATCATTCTCATTGTAACATGGAATCGATATGATCGCCAGATATAAAGCCGAAGATAATTGGAATTGGCATTGATTATTGAATGGTTGAGTGGATGTGAGTGTATGTTCAAAGAGTGTGGCATTATTGACTTTCACAAAACACCCAGAATGTGTCGTCCATGAATATTGAGGAAGGCCATCCACTGTCTCACACATGAGGACATGTTTGCCGTCATTCTCTGGCATATTGATGAGCATGTTATCGAGCTTTTCGAACGTGTAATTGTTTCCATTGCTGCTGAATATGTACAACATTGATTCAATTTACTTTGGTTGATTTCGTTCATAGGGTTTGACATACACATCCTTCAGACACGCGCCATCATCGATGAACAGATCGGACAACTCAGGCGGCACTTCATCATTCACGACCTTGTAGACCACGCGTACATAGTAGTTGGAGATAGGGAGTTTGCTTCAAATCGATTTTCTCTCTATTAGCAACATATTTTTCCAAATTATACTTTTTTCCTCATCAAATTTATCACTTTTTTTAAACCTCCATTTCATTTTAGATTCTTCTATTTGCCAATCCCGCCCCCTCTTCCTTTTAATTTCCAACAAACACAAGAAACTATCCACACTTCCATCCATCAAAAACGCATCCTCTGGATTCTCTCCTTCCCTTCCGCAGACACCACAATCATCTTCGTCTGGTTGTCTTTATACAGCACAAACGGCTTTATCTCCTTCGCGTCGTCAATCTACCGCTCACTCCCTTCTCTCTCTCTCTCACTCTCCCGAACGTATTCATATCCAAATCACGATACAGAAACGCTCGCTGATACGACGCCCGATTCATCTCTCTCTACTCCTCACTCCCCTCCATCGTCTCCACTTCCCACAAATACAACTGATCCATCACATTCAGCGGCACCGCGTAATATCCGTCCTTCCCCTTCATATTCGCGTCCTCCACCGTTCCCACGCCCGCATTCCCGCGGTTCCGGTCCAGCTTCGTCTCGACCTCCTTCAGACGCGTCGCGTTTTCGCTGTAACTCTCCAAAAACGAGCAGATCTGATCCGCCGTGATTCCGTTTCGCAGCGCATTCATCACCGACTTTCGCGTCATCAAAAAACTCGCCATGTTCGGAAGAATCGTCTATTCCTCACTCTCCCCGCGAGAATACCCTCTGCTCCAAAAACTGCCGCAATAATTGAACATGAAGCCGGTTCTCCGCCAACAAACCGAACGCGTACACGTGAAAATTCGCTTCGATCACCACACGCATCGATCCCTCCGCCTTCATGAACCCTTCACCCCCGCTCTTTCGGCCCCCTTCCCCGCGGGACGCGCCCTCCTGCGTGAAAAGCGCGGCTCCCAGCGGGGTGGCGAAGAAAACGCGCTTCCCCGCGGTTGTGGGCGTGTAGACGACGCCGGCGATGCGCGCGATCTCGAGGAGCTGCCGCTGCGGTTCGCTGAGCGCTGCGACGTCGTAGGCCCTGCAGGGAATCATGTGGCGCAGACTGAAGAGGAAGGAGAGCGCGGGCAGCGCGTTGGCGGAGGTGATGTGCGGATGCAGCAACCACCAGGCCTGGTCGCGGTAGGACTTCATGAGGAATTGGTAGCCCGTAGCGGTGATGGCGAATTTGGCGGCGGAGTCCGCGCGGAGAAGCTTGCAGCGAAGAAAACAGTCGCGCACCTCGGAGACGGAGGGCGGCTGCGCGTGGGGGCTGCGCGGAGGAGGAAAGGTGTAGGAAACCGGGTCGAGGAGAAGGGAGTTGTTGTTGTGGTAGCAGTCCTCGCAGTAGAACACCGCATCGCTCACTTCGTGCTTGAACTCTTTCTTGAAATTCCACTGGCAGTGGTTTCCGCTGTTTAAACTCTTCTAAAACTCAAATTGATCAGTGCAGCGCGGACTTCATAGTTTTTGAGAAATACGGGATTCAGCTCGATCGCGTCGGGATCACTTGCACACGGCTCGCAGATATGGACAGCAAGCAGCTACATCGGTAAACCACAAGAATTTGAACTACCTTTCGAAAAAACTCGTCCATTTCCTCTTTTGATACATTGCGAAAATTTGAAGCGATACGCTCCCTCGAAAGCGGCCTTCGAACACAAAAGAGCAAATTGAAAATCCTAATGCCCTAACAAATATACCAACAGACTCCCACTGATAACACTCTTTTGGCAACAACTGCAGCATCGTGTGTAGCGTTCCATACTCGTTATACCTTCATAGTACGCAATTCTTTTCCATTACAGTGTCTCAAAGTCGTCTTTCGACAACTTTGACAGAATCTTTTGGAGCATGAATAAAAAATAGGCGATTCTGAGACAAAAACCCTTTTCTCTTCTCATAAATGAGTTCCTGTAAAATTCAAATTGCACCAGGGGAATGGAAAGAGGGTTTGGTGGGTTACTATGACCCGAAATCAAACCGATATTTTGTGCAGAACGATGACCAATTTTTCTGGACTCCTGCTGCTTCTGTCCAACTCACATCGCCTATGCAACAGATCCCTGGGTAAGGATCGTTCGAAACGTGTCATTTGTAGAGTGTGTGAAACAAACAAAATCAGACCCATTGAGGCTGTTACAAACTTGGATCGGAACGAAGATGTGAATTCCGACGACATTCTAACGATGATGCAGAAATTGGAGTGTGATTTGCTACATGCGAACGTCCGCACGGATATGCGAAGAATTGAGTTTGAATATATGCTGCGGAGAGATCAAATGAAGAAGAGATATCAAGATGGCTTATCCACACTCGCTGCAAAGAAGATTCCAGTATCTTCGAGTTATCACCCCTACTCAAAGCAAAAGATGCAAAAGCAAATCGCCGCTTCTCATCCCTCCCAGTTCAATCAACGTCAAGAACTCCTCCAATGGGCGTATAACCACGGTAACACCTGGGCCAAGACCTTTCTGCACACTCGCAACACAAAAAAAGTCCCCGACAATCTGCGCATTAAAACCGATTATCTTCTGAAACACGAAAACGATCTTTGTAGCGCTCTTGCTTCCTCTCCATTCCATAGACACAGCAGCGTTCCATTTAGATGAATTTGGCTATGTGAGCCTTTTCCCTCCAATCCTTCTCCAAGACACTTTATCTCGCGTTCACAATTATTTAGTGTATTCCAAGTACACCAAACCACTCGAACGAAAACGCGCAGCAGCGCGCATTCAAACACACTATCGAGAGTTTTTTATTGAAAAAGAGCAGTTTATTATTGGCGGCATTTCTTCGCTTACCTTCTCCGATCTACAAAAGCTAAATCCCGTCGTGGAGGAGTTGATTCTACTTTGAGTGGTGTGTTATTTGTAGTGTACTGGTTAATTTAGCGGGCACCGACTTAATCGTGGTCGATGACCACATTCCGCTCCAAGCGGTCGCGATTGAGTGGAGCGAGGAGCAGAAGTGCTGGTATATTCGAGCGATGTATCCGAACGTGCAGTTCACTCTTGAAGAGGAGACAACGATGAGCATCAACGAGGGTCAAGCGAAGCTGAAGCCGAGCACGTACTTTTCTATTGGAAGTCATTCCTTTTCTTTTTCAACGGCAATCGATTCTTGGTGTGTTAGTTTTAAACATGAGCGATCCGTATGCCAATTTAAATATTGGAAGATTGACACTGAAAAGTGGTGTGTTGAAAAAGAAGTAAGCTCGGATGGAAAGAGAGTGAGATTGGTAGGCCAAAGAAAACGCACAAGAAGAAGGAAAAAAGCACAGAATCTGCAGTTGTTGAAGCGATTCCGATTGAAGAAATCAACTGCATCCCCACCGATGCCGAACCAGGAACTGGACGTATTATTAGCACCGGTAGTGTGATGGATTAATTTGCAATCCTGTTTAGGAACGGTTGTTTATGGTAAAGGAACGAAATTCGTATCCGAGTTGCGTGTGGGCGATGCCATCGCAATCCAGCATCCATCCACGTATGTTATGTTATGGTCGGTTCAAACTAACGGACAGACTCGGGGACGAAATGAGAGTCGTGAAGATCATCGCGTCCGATACGTCTCTATCTCTCTCCTCTGCATTTAGCAGTGACTTCTCCACAGAAATTAATTTCATGATTTACAAAAAGCAGGACGAATACGTCCCTCCGGAAGTGATCAAAGAGCGAGAGAAGCAGGAGCGCGATGCACTGGAGAACTCCGCTTTCGGCATCTACAAGGGAGCTGGGTACACACAATATGTGGAGGATTGAACAATAGAGGCACCGAGTTCACATACAAAGTGAAGAAGCAGAGTGCGTATGGAGGGTGGAAAACGATTACGAAGGTACGTAGCTGTGAGTTAATTCGATCTGTAGAAGACAAAGCGACCCCTCACTCGTGAAGAACTGCTCGACATGCGAGTGAAGAACAAGTCGGATCGCTACTGTATGTGAAAGAGAGAGGAAGTGTGTGTGTGTGTGTATGCCGATAAGGAGTGTTTGTTACAGAAAAAAGAACAACCAAAGCGGAATAATCTTTGCTTTTCAAATCACATGGTTCTCCCCGTTACTTCTTGGGTCTGTAGGAGCAACCAGTTACAACGCGCGCCTTGCCTCCAGTGGGGGTGCAGAGCAGAGCATTGCAGCTACCCATCAGCCACGAAGCCTCAAAACCTACTTCTCGCAGACGACAGCAGTCTGGGCGTGGCTGAAAACAGTCGTACTACACAAATCAGAGCCATAGAGAGCAAGTCTTACATGGTGAGGCATCCGGGGCACTTCACATCCATGAAGAAGCTGTTGGGAGCCTGAACAAGACGCTTCAGCTTGTGCTTCTGAGCCTCTTCCTCAGCACTAGGATAACGAAGATCGTTCACCTAAATCGGTAAGCAACTGCTCAGACACCATCTCCACGCTCATTGAAACCTACCATTCTTGCAATATTGATGAGAATTGATTATTCCTGCCGTTTATATTTCAATGAATTAGAGGGGCTTGATCGCTCCGCCCTGTATTTCATTCCTGTATAATTCATTTACCCCATATTTCACAAACAATTCCTGATACAAAACGCCAAACTTTACATATTCGATAAACTTTAAACAGATTCTCCACTCTCGAAGCATGTTCCATCCCACAGACTCGATCAGCCGCGATTATACACTCCCTCGGTTGGAATGGGAGTGAATTCCTGGTTCCGATGGTTCGTTATGGGCTGCTCGAGCGGCATGACTTCTTCATCTGCGTGACTTTGGTTCATATCTACCTCACAATCAATTTGCGTTATGTACGAGAGATAATCTCTCGGTTGACTCGGTAGTAGCCCTTATAGGAGAAGGGATGCACAATCACGCGAAGTCGGATAATCACATACAGCAAGATGGACTCGTCGACAATAATCACAAGATCCTGGTACTTCCAGGAGAGTACAGTTGTCTACACCTCAGCGCAGAGAAAAAGGCCCACGCCAATGATTTTTACAAAGGTCGATCGCAGAATGTAGACCAAAAAGGTCCACAGCAATCCGGAGAACGTCGCCCTGCTCACATACACTCGAATTGTAGACGCATTGTACTGCGAAGACTGTAGAATTGACGAAATCGACTACAGTCCACCATGGCCTCTACGACCCACCGAAATATTGATGTTCGTGCAGATAATGATAACCACAATCACAATCGACTGGAAAATGTAATCCACCACGGTGAACGCATTGCACAGTCCGTCAATCTGCGAGTCGCAGTACGAAGAAACCCCGTTCAAAATCAGCAGCCCTACAAAAATGCACGATCCGAACTGGATTTCTTTTTCCTACATCGCAGGAGACATTGATTCCTACGACAACCAGCTGATGTGTGATCTGCCATCCACATGACATTAAAAACATGGTAACGAGCAAAAGGGAATCGACACATCGTGTAATAAACGAATTGAATGTAGAAAAGGCAGGATCTGGTGAAAGAACGTTTAATTGATAAAAAGTTCGTTTAAAGATATGAACGTTGCTACTGTTTAAAGTAGTCCAAATAACCGCGGTTTGCAGAATCGAAGAAACGAGTTTCATGATGACAATGACAACTAAACAGATATCGATGTGTCGAATGTGCGTGGTTCCTCGAAATCGCGTTTTGCTATTCTGAATGTGAAATAATCGCGGTGAACAACGATGACAAGAAACACAATTAACACAATTAAATAAACGAGCATTACAACGGGCCAAATCACGGTCTCGGGCTGTCGCTCCATCGTGAGATTGACTAAAAGACCGTTGTAATATGTTTGGATGAGGATGGAACCCTGCGTTGGAGGGAAAAGACAGCAAAATACTGTTACGGTGAGCGGAGAGGAGTGGCAGTTTAGAAGAACCACGGAGTATTGGTTCTCGTATTTGGCTGTGTACACGTAGGTGAATGAGGAGTCGATTTCTTTTCGCTGCGAGGTGAGATTTTTACGAAGGATGTACAAAGGAGGAGGGTTGCAGACAAAGATCATCGTCAATACGATCCGAGTAGGAAAATACATCAGGTCTCTGATTTGAGTCGTAAATCATCACAAGTAAAGGATTCTCCCCTTCCTAAGGATAGGATCGCAAAATTCTATCAATACCACAGAGCTGATGCTGATTGTAATTTGAGATTGCGCCGATAAACCCATTTCGGGAGATAGGGAGTATTTTGATAAGGCACTCAATTCTACTAATTATACGAATCGAGGCAAACAAACTCTTCGAAAATCCCATGCTATAGCAGAACCCATCACAAAACAAGGAGAAAACGAACAGAATTAAATCCCTTCTCATTCCTTTTGCAATTTTATAAAAAAATAGAGAAAGGATCTCTTGGAATGAAAACAGATAATTGGGAGTGTCTTTTTGAGTTGAACAAAACACTGTTGTCAAACAAACAATCTATTTCAAACGAATGATATGACTCTGATTTCCAATGCTCAATATAATGGAACACACTTTTTGCTCTATCGCCTCTTCCTCAATCTCCTCTTCGTCCTCTTCCTCCGTTTCATTTCCAAATATCCCCAGTTTCTTTGCTTCTTCGCTCAAATCTCCAACAACGCTTCCCACAGTACAATGTGGAACAGGAGGATCATAGAACTTTTCTTTTTTGTACTTCACGAGAACCTCGTCCAGCTGGTGGATAAGATCGACGACTTTGTTGAATCCGCGTTGAATCAAGAGTGAACAGAAAGATCTCGATTTATCCTCATTTGTGAAGATACGAGTTTGTGAGGCTGATATGTAAAATGCTGGCGTTGCTACGGCTTGGCGAACAGAGTTTACAAAGGACTCGATTTGGAAGCCACGCAGAAAGAATAAACGCGTCAAGCTTACGTGAAAACGATTGAATCCTTGCGTTTCTGACGACAAGGGTCGAAACTGCTTTGAGCTGCTGAGATTGAGTTGCGAATTTAATTCTCTAATTTTGTCATTTACGAAAAGAGTGGCTTCTTCTCCTTCCACTACAAATGACCTGTTTCTTCTGCAAAAGTACCCAAAATATAAGCAAACGATGGCCAATTCCCATCCACATGCTGGATTTGTCTGATCCGTTTGGGTTGCTCCTCTTCCTTGGAATTGTCCTCTTGCCGCGTTCTCCTTTTATCTGCAACGCCTAGCTGCGATGCCTCCATGAGTCGATTTGAACAAACAGAAAATAATGGTACAAAACTACTCTTCAATGGGGTCATCTTCCATTCCCAGCATATCATACATCTTCATCTACACTCAATCCTCTCCTCCACACCTACATCACTCAAATCCATCACCAAATGTAGAATCTTCGTGAACTCCTCCAGATCAATCACTCGCATCATCCCTTTTTCCTTCTCTTCTTCGTTCTCTTTCTCTTTCCACCCCAATTCCTCAAAAACGCTCTTCTCGATTCGACTAATAAACGTTGGTCCCAACTCCACGAACTCTTCAAATCCAATTCCACTCTTCATCACCTCGCGAAACCGATTCCACGCTTTTTTCACGTCCTCACGACGGAACCACCGCAGATTCTGCATTGAACTCCACCGCGGGGAATTGATCGCAGCGAACCGTTTCATCTGCAGAGTGGGATGGGCGTTCCGAACCGCGGGGGAGAGACTTAAAACCTGGAATCGGATGCGTTCCATGACGGCTTGCATGTCGTCCCCCTCTTTTTCCGTCTTTTTCCCGCTTCGATGACGGAAATAGCCCAGATTTTCGACCTCCGAAAAATCGTCCAGAATTTCGGCACAGTCCTGAATATCGCCAAAATAGTCCGGAAAATTGGCATCCAGATAATCGACGGCATCGGACACGGTGATGCGATTTTCGACGAACATTCGATCGAAGTCGTTCTCCAATCGCCCGTCGGACCTCCGTTTCCCCAGCAGCATCTTCTTGACCATATGAAAGAGGCCCCAGAACGAGTCGTTCCCCGTGATTAAAGGCGTTTCATCGACCCAGCGGTCGCCGAAGATCCACAGCTTGAGGCAAATTTGGCGCAGATCGCCGTGGCTGCAGTCCACCACGCGGTCCAGCAGGCTCTTCGCGCAGGACCCGAACAGGCGCTGCAGGCCGCTCACGCTCCTACGCGTCACGCAGAGAAACACCCAGGCGGTACATGCGGTGCGACGGCGGCTTCAGCTCGATGCACGGAGGGTCGGAGGGCAGTTTGGGCAGCAGGTAGCGGATGGCAGAAATCGTGCTGTTTTCGTCCACCGTGTCCACCACCCACACGAAACGCCCGGACCCCGGTTTTGGGGTTTGGAGCAGGGAGACGAGCGACTGGAACAAGCGGCTGGTGGTGAAAAAGAGTTTTTCATTGGGTACCGGTCGTTTCGAAATCGGTTTTCTTTGGCGAAGGAGAGGTCGAGCGAAACGGGTAATTGGTCGATGACGAAGAGAACGGTCTGGGCGATTTGGTCGGAAGGAGGGATTACATCGTTAGGGTACATATATCCACTTCGGACCCAATTCGCAAATAGGGCCATTTGGGTCGTGACTTCGTCGTTCGAGGACGGAATGCCCTCCATCACATCGGAGAAACAGAGAAACAGGTTGTTTTCCGCGGCAATGCTGCGAAGCAAAGATCGCTAGAATTCACGGCGGACGAGGTTTCTACTTTTCCACTTCCCGGGGGTCCGTGGAGAATGCAGAGGGAGGGAGCGATGGGGGCTTCGATCCAGTGTTTGAGCTGCTGTTTGGAGGCAGGACGGATGGCGAGCTGGTCGTAGGGCGGCGTGTAGGAGTACAAGTCGACGATGGCGAGGGAGTCGGCGGGGCGAGGGGGCAGGAGTTGGGATGTGGCGAGAGGAGCGTATTTCCAGGACTTGGAGGACTTGGAGGGCTTGGATAGGCGGGGTGGGTTGGTTGGTCGACGGGGTTTGGAAGCGTTGGAAGGAGGGGAAGGGGTGGGTTTGGTTTTCAAAGGGGGTTCGATGGGGTTGGGATACAGAGGGGGTTCGATGGGTTTGGAGTTCGACGGATTGATGGATTTGGAGTTCGATGATTCATTCGATTTCGAGTTTGATGATTCATTCGATTTCGATTTCGATTTCGATGGCTCAATAGACTTCCGATTGAATGGCTGACTCGGCCTCACACGCACCGATTTCTTTGGCGTTGCGTTCTCGCATTGATCGGGTTGGGAGCGCACCGATCCGCTCGTTACAGTCCAATCCGCTTGCTTCTTCGATTCCTCTGCGCTCCCATCCATCGGCGGAGCAGCGGGGAACGAAGGCGGCCGCTTCTTCGATCGCTTCACGGTCAAAATCAGCGATCCATCATCGGCCGAGCTCGTTCGACGCTGCAGAGGAAGCTCGGGAATCATCGCATGGCTTCGCCTTCGCTGAGGAGACGCCAGCACGGGTGATTCATTGCCCTCCTGCTCGAACAGAGAAGACGTCGAGGAGGACGTTGAAACACTGGATGTACTGTGCGAGCCTGATGTGCTCATAGAAGGGTTCGAGCTGGAAGGAATGGATGTGCTGGCAGAACGATCCACATCCAAAGTACTCACTGAGTTTGATGAACTACTAGCACTCGAAATACTAATCACACTTGAGGAACTAGAAATGCTTAGGGTACTCTGCTTATCCACATCCTTTAATTCTCTCTCAACACTCTCAGCTTCAAATGCATCCATATCACTGTCGTCGCTCACAATTGGTTGACGCTTGGTAGAGTGCACTTTAACATCTGGACTACTCACAGATGACTGAGACTTTAACTTCTTCAACCGTGAACTCTTTAGTACCATGTCTTGTCGAGACATCGAGGCACTAGTAAACTCATCATCACTCGATGTCTGCACAATTGTAGATCGCTCCATGGTTGACATTTCCTGTTTTCGGCATTTCTTCGGACTTTGCTGACTTAACAATATCCTTGAAAACATAAGTGGTCGTAGATACGGATACAGCCTTCAAAGAATTCTGACAAAAAAGGCGGTACAATCAAAACTCTCGAATTTCGATACTGTTATTCGCAATATACGCTATACAGAGATACAAATCGAACTAGCGAGTTCTAGCTCTCAGTAATAATCTAGAGCAGGAATAGGTAAATAAAAAGAATGATAAAAAAGCTCCCATGCCGGGACTCGAACCCGGGTCGGCGAGGTGAAAACCCGCTATCCTAACCTGCTAGACTACATGGGACCTGTTTTCGTTCCCAAAACTACACCATATTTTGTAAAGCAACTCAGAACGGAGAGAAATCGGGTGTAGGGAAGAAAAAACAAATGAAGCAAAGCCCAAGCATACACATTGCACCCTACACTCTATCCAAACAAAACGAAAGACAAAAAAGCTCCCATGCCGGGACTCGAACCCGGGTCGGCGAGGTGAAAACCCGCTATCCTAACCTGCTAGACTACATGGGACCTGCTTCAACTCTCAACACACCACTATATATAATACTACCCTCATCCTTTTTGAAAAACCATTATTTGTTGTTTCGATCTGGAATAAACTTATGGTACATCACATTGGATTTTCAACTGATATCTAGAGTAGTGACGATCGATTCAATGTTAACCTTTCTTTTTCGAAGAATTGGGATCATCTCCAGGGAAAATATATTGGAACTGGACACCCGGACATGACAAAATTGTATGCAGTTTTGTGTGGTGGATCGTTAACACTGTAGTGAATGGGCTGTAAATATGCAGCGTGACACATTGGCTTCCCATATTGGCCATGAAGATATGCTTTATTTTGTATCTATAGCGGAAAATGAATCTGTGGCGCGTGTGCGTTCTACAATGCTCGAGGTAAGAGAGCAATGGCTCTTTTGTGGGATTTGTTAACAGTAGAAAATGTTACAACCCTGCGGACCTCCACCCGTTCGTAAAGAACAATTCTAAGGTCATTCTTTATGATATTTGTCGTATTTGAGTTGTTTGTTGAAAAGGAAAGCAAAATGGAACATTCTAAGGCGAGTCACATTTGACAAGCAGTTAGTCGGGATGGCGAATAATTCGTTTTTTGTGGGTGAAAATCAAATGGCCAATTGATTCTACAGTTTCCGGCATACCTATTACATTGACAAATAATTTTACTCCCAATGTCTGTTTCCGAAGACATCTACAAGGTATGTTTTATGGGCGGGTGGCTCATGCAATGTAGTTGTGGAAAACAATAGATGTGTCGGTTTTAGAGAAAATAGACAGAATGCAATCTCCGTCGTATTGGCAGTAAGAATTGGCTTTATCAGCTACTACCTAGTTCGTTGATAAAAGTATACCTGAACGAAATACAATATGGGGAGAGAGCCGAGTCTGTTGATGAAAGACGATATCTGATAATAATGATGCGTTCCCTGCTCTGTACGCCAGAATTTCTGCAGGGAGAAGATACCACACACAATGCCTTCTGGATTTCTGCCTCTAATTTCCTGGATGCCTACATAACCGAAGTCAAAGAGCGTGAAGATGGTCGTCAGTTGATCAAGGACTTATTTTGCGATTTTCAGTCCTATGTGCCGCAATGTCCCTCCGAATACAGTGCGGACCCGACCCAATTCCTCTCCTACCTCTCCAAGCTCCTCTACGAGTCGGACTTCACGGTGTCCTCGACTCGCTACCTGGACACGCAACATTTCGACCGCGTTGCTTCCATCCACGAGCTTTACGCCAATTTCTGCCAAGTCTCCCCTCGCTTCGCTCTCTCCATGGCGGAGCAATACCCTCTCTTCCCCTCCTCCCTGTACTACTCCGGCAAATCGCTCGAATCCGCCTCGTTCTTCCTTCATTTCTTCCGCTACCAGACCGTTCTCACGCCCATCATGATCGAAAACCGGCTCAGCTGCCTCACCGCCACCTTCTCCAAGGACCAGCAATCCCTCATTCTCGACTCCCAACATCGCACCATGAGCCGAATCCACGCTGCTCAGATCGACATGCTCCGCACCTTCCTCACCGCCTCCCCCCATTCCCGCGATTATGTCCTCAATCTCACCGCGATGCTCTGCGAAGCCAACCGCGCGCGTCGCTCCAACCCGAACGATTTTCTCTCCTCCGACGGCCTGCTAATGAACCTGTTAATGGCCATCCTCGCTCTGCTCGCCCCCGTTCTCGACGAATCCCCGCGGCACCCCACCGCCAAGAAGTGGCTCCTCTACTTCTTCAGCGACCTCGGCCGCGTGGACATTCTCCAGCGCAACCTCCCCACGCAGCCGGACGCCTACTACGCGATCACCAGTCTGCTCAACTGGCTGCGGCCGGCCAATCAGATCGCGCGGGACCCCGACCCCAAGCAGTGGTGGATTCTCTTCCGCTCCCGCGTCGAAGACCTCGCCATCCTTCCCGACAGCGAGAAATCCAAGCCCTCCGCGCCGCTCCTCTCCTTCTACCGCGATCTCCGCTCCCTCGCCCTCGCTCCGACCCTCTCTCCCGCGGTTCTACGACTCAAACCGCTCTACGACTACACTCTCAATTTCGCCCTCGCGGGGCGTCGTCTCTCTCCGCTCACGCCGCGCTTCGCCCCGCCGCTGCGCTGTGCGCGCTGCACGCAAGCGATCACGACGCCCTCGCTCTTCCGCTGCCTCTGCTGCGCCGCGTACTTCCTCTGCCCCGCCTGCTTCCAGAAGGAGGTGGCCGAGGTCTGCGCCGCCTTCACTCCGCCCTTCCCCGTTTCCACGCTCCAGCTCTTCGCGCAGATCCGCGACACCGGCGAGATGGACCAATCTCATCACGCGCTGACGCACTTCTTCGCCCAGATCCCCGCCAAAATCCCCGCTCAGGCCTACGGACGGCTCTTCCGCCCCGTTCCCTCCTTTCCTCCGCGGTTGCCGGACGCCATCACCACCTGCAGCGAGTTCCGCGATTTTCAGAAGCGCAACAGTGCTGCTGCTACCATCCATATTGATAATATTAATAATATTAATGATAATATTAATGATAATAATGATGATAATATTGATAGTAATGATAATAATGAGGATGATGTTGTTAATTTGGATTATGATTTTTTCAATGAAAATAACAATAACAATGAAGACAACGACAAGGCCGACGCCGAATTCACCGCGTGGATCGCTCAGAAGGTCGAGCAGATCCGCGGGAATCGAAGAGATTCCGCGTACGTGCGCGTCGACGGCGAGTGGGACGCCGAACTCGCGCCCTACAAGCACTCCATCTGCTTCTGCGGGTCCCCGCGGGAGTGTCTGCTGCACGGCCCGCTGAGCCGGGCGTTTCGGCGAAGCAGGAACCGCGGGAAGGGGGAGTTCCACGGTTTTCTGCACCCTGAGACAGCGTGTTACATGTGCGGAACGTCGCCGATCATCGGAACAGTGTTCCACTGCATGCACTGCTCGCTGTCGCTGTGCTCGGTGTGCTACGCGGAGGAGATGGAGATCGGCGGGGGTTTCCCTGCGCATCAGTGCAATCACGTGTTCGTGCTGATCACGCACCCGGTCGCGCGGCATTGTTTCCTGGCGCACAATCGCCACGACATGCGTTGCGTCCCTCACACCACGCAATTGATCGAGAATGCGTCCTGCATGACCGGATGCATCCTCGACCAGTTCATTGCCAATGATGCGTACATCGACTGCAATGCCGACAATCTCCGCGTCGAACTCTTCGCTTTGGCCATCAAATTAATGAGCATCGGCACGGCCGGCTTCTTCCAGAACTTCCAGCTCATGGACGAGATGACGCGTCTCACCTTCTCCCGCCAGCTTCGCCAGGCCCAGCTCGCCGTAGGCCTGCTCCCCGCGGTTTTCCTCCGCTTCTCCGAGCACCTCTCCTTCGCTCTGCTCTCGCTGCTGAACCTGGCGATCCCCGCGAACTGTCTCTTCCCCACGCAGCTCCATCTCACCTTCTACTGCGAGGACTTCTGCTTCATCCCCGACTCCGCCATCCCGCCTCCCCGCGGGGACTCCCGCTCCCTTCTGCGCGACGTGGTGATTATCGGTGTGATGAAGTGCCCCATGTTCGATACGCTCGCCAGCTCGCTGCTGGAGCTCGTCTCGTTAACGCTGGAGTGGCTGGTGCGCACGCAGCCCGCCGAGGAGATGCGCTGCTGGATCGAGCGCGGAGAGAGCGATTACTCGCTGCTGCTCTGCGCGCTGTGCCTGAACCCGCAGCTGCTGGACAATCTCTCGCAGCGTTTCGATTTGATCCAGATGTTCTACTGCTTCCGCGGCGCCGCACGCGACCGCGAGGACGCCGCCGCGTCGTCGATGCTGTACTGCTACCCCGTGCTGCGACACATGCTCTGGCTCTTCGCGCAGCAGGCGTTCATCGACTCCGCGTCGTTCGTGGACCCCGCACGCGCCAGTCTCGTGCAGTTGCAGACGGTGAAGCTGTTCGCCTCGCTGCTGCGATCTCGTTATGTGCCTTTTTGTTTGAACAAAGTCGATTCTAGGGAGGCGATGCCGGACTGGCGGAGCTGCCCCAGTTGCTGTACCCGCTGTGCTTGCCGGAGGGGCTGTCGGGGCAGTTCGTGGAGGACATGATCCACACCACTGTCAACACCATCGACGCCCTCACCGAGTACCAAACGCGCCTCGTGCAGCAGGAAGAACTCCTCCGCAACGAGGCCGCCAGCCCCTCTCAGCCCGCCACGGAACTGTATTCCCAGCTCAAAGCGATGACGCGGAACCTCCTCGAAAGCGTGAAGCACGTCATCAATCTGCTCTCCCGCGCCGTCAAACATCGCGCGCTCTTCCAGCTTCTCACCTCCGATCTCCTTCTCTCCCGCGTCACCAGGGTCCCCTTTCCACGGTTCTCCCATCTAGTTCCTCCTCCTGCTCCTCGCCACGCTGTACAAGCCGATTTTCCGCGGGAATCCGGCGTGCGAAACGATTCGATTGGACTTCGATCGCTGGCTCGCGCTCATCGTGAACATTCTCTCGCAGCTCGTGCTGGGCTTCACGCCGCCACGCACGCCCCCGACGATTCTGCCGTCGATCTTGGCGGAGCTGGATCCGGACCCCTCCTTCAACAACTTGGTGATCATTAGCATCATCGAGGACGATGCGTATTTTTCGATCGAGCTCGTGGACTGGCTCGTGGGGTTCTTTGAAGATCACCCGCAGATGGACAAGGCGCGGTTCGTCCAGCTGCGCAATGTGGTGCAGATGATTCATAAGTACTTCGATCATTACAAAGTGCTGAACGAATATTTGCAGAGCGTTCTGGATGATGCGCCGGACGAATTCATGGACCCGCTGATGTGCACGGTGATGCAGCAGCCGGTGATCCTGCCGTCGAATAATCGGTGCGATTTGTCAACGGTGGAGAGACAACTCGCGATTAACAACCCGACAGACCCGTTTACGAGGGAACCCATCACCAAGGAGATGATTAAGCCGGATGAGGAGTTGAAGAAACGGATTCATGAGTATTTGAAGAAGAAGTTTAAGGAACGGTTTGGATAGAGTGAGCGAGTGAGTGAGTGAGTGAATGATTGTTTTGTGGGTATAAATCGAGTCAATATCGCTTTATGGTTATTTGGTAATTTGTATCTGTTTCCGTCCTTCCTTTCATCTTTGATCCCTCTTTGCAATCTCGTTTGTTTGTTTGTTTGCCTGTTTGTTTGAGGCATACGCAATAATACAAACGGTGCGAACAGATATGCGCACCAATTCCGTACACCCATTTTTATGATTGTACATCTTCTTTCCGGACAAAACCTCACGCTCTCCGTCGAGCCGTGCGAGAAAGTCGCGGACGTGAAGAAAAAAGTTCTCACTATTCTTAATCTGTGCGGAGGAACCTTGTCGCTGCTCCACTATGGAACGATTCTAAACGACGATTCTTCGCTTCAAGACTACAGTAAGACGCGATCGGAGTGTGTGATTCATAGATCTTACAAATAACTCCGTTCTCACAGGACTTATTAAGCATGACATCGATAAGCCATCAATACAAGAACAAGAGGAGCAGGTGGAGGAATACTTGATCAGCATGTGCCTACAAAACGGAAAGCAGCAAGAGTCGTCCCCTGAAACTCCCCACAGCAGTAGCGAAACCGAGGAAAGTCGGAGTATACGAACTTTCAGCGAGATCACGCAGGAAGCCGAGAAATACATTTTCTCTCATTCCCTTGAGGAATTGTGGCAAACGTACCTTACGGACGACTATTTCATGAAGTCCTTTTCACAAACTCCCTTTTTTCGTGCTCTTTTGGAAGATCCAGCGATTGTACGCGGGTGTCTTCTCTCTCATCCACTCATCATCAAACTAATCGAATTAAACCCGGGACTCGATCGCATGATCCAGCAAGATGAGAATGTGAAGCTGGTAATGCAGATGATCCTCTCTCGCAACCATCCCTTCGCTCCGGAGGTTCGCAGCGAAGTGCTGCGTCGTCTGGAGGAAGGCATTGGGAGAAAGCTTGTCTTCGCTCCCGAGCATGTTCGTTTTTTTCTGTTTGTTTCATCAAAAGATCGAGTTCATGCGCAGAGCGAATCAACGGATGAAGCAAAATAGCGATACGGCGTCCATGCGCGCATTGCACGTCAAGCAGGCGAAAAAGTTTACCAAAGGTGTGGGTTTTAGCGAGCTTTCATTGTAGAGCAGCTTCGTGCTGCGTCGTCGGTGGTGCGGTCGCATCCGGAGATCGTTGTGAAGGTACTCGCTTTGTTCTTCATGTATTGCGTAGTTTATGAAGAACACGCCGCTATACAAGCTGCTGATTCACAAGAATCCGAAGTTGTTGAAGCAGGTCTTGTCCTCCGAACGACTGCAATTGCTGTTTTGTCCAGAGTCGCTCGAAGCAATTGCGGAGATCGGGGAGAATGCCAAGATGATTTCGAAGGAAGAAGAGAAGAAAAAGGTCCTTTAAAACGTAATTATTATTCGACTTGTTTGTAACAAACACTTTTTCTTTGATCATGCTGGCGCGTGTCATTTCGGCTCCTCTCCTTCGCTCCATTTCAAGTATATCCGCTCAGCACTGTTGTATCAACACTAGTTCGCCCGTTTGCAACCGTTACTGCTGCCATGGTGAAGCAGCTCCGAGACCTCACGGGTGCTCCCATGATGGATTGTAAGAAAGCTTTGCAAGCTGAAGGTGTGGACGGAAACATTGAAAAAGCAGTGGAAGTGCTCCGCAAGCAGGGAATGAAGCGAGTGAACAAAGTGAGTTCCAGAACTACGCAGCAGGGCGTGATTGCCTCTACCATCACAGAGAAGAAGGCTACCTTGGTGGAAGTGTGAAATGTGCGAGTTTGTTAGTCTTAGTTGCTCTGCGAAACGGACTTTGTGGCTCGCAACGATCAGTTCCAGAAACTGGCGCGAGACATCTCCTCCCTAGTATTCACGACGGGCGTAACCTCGGTGGACGCTCTTCAGCAATCCAAGTTCGCTGACGGTTTTTCTGTCGCTGATCGCCTCCACGAGACGATTGCGAAGATGGGAGAGAACATCGTGCTGCATCGCTGCGCCTCCCTCGAGACCGCTTCTCCCTCGAGCATTCTCTGCAGGTACGTCCTACCTTTCCTTTTCCACCCAGTTACGAGCACAATTCCGTCGGTCCGCACATGAGCCAAATCGCTGCGTTGGTTTCGTTCGCCGTCGACGGCGACGCGAGTAAACTCGATCGCGATGCCCTGCACAAGATCGGAATGCACATCGTGGCGGCCAGTCCGGAGTATCTCCGCCGCGAAGAAGTCCCCGCCGAAATTTTGGCGGGCGAGCGAAGATTGGTGGAGGAAGAAGTGAAACGGCTGAACAAGCCGGAGAAGATCGCGAAGAAGATGGCGGAGGGAAAGCTGGGGGAGTTCTATCGGCAGAAAGTGCTGGTGGACCAGCTGTTCGCGTTGGATGAGAAGCAGGGAAGCGTGGGGAAGATGGTGGAGAAACTGGGGAAACAGGCGGGGTGCAAGGTGGCGATTGAAGGGTTTGTGCGGATGCAGGTGGGGAAGTAATTTTAGAGGGTGTTGAATGAATGAATGGATTGTTTGTTAGGAATAATGAAATGAAAAGAAGAGAAATGAAATGGCTAGAATTGAAATGGAGTGTGAGTGAATGATGATAAGAATGTGATGTTTAAATAGGTAATTGAATAATAATAAAATGAGAACGGCCATATCTGATGGAAAGCGCCCTAACCCGTCCGATCTAGGAAGCTAAGTCATCACGAGTCGAGTTAGTACCAGTGTGGGTGACTCGCTGAGAAGTCTCGATGCTGTTCTTTTACTATTTTATTTTTCACTTTTACATTTAACATTCTATCCTCTCCTCTCCACTCCATTCTACACATTTATTCATCCATTCTTACTGTTATTATTATTATTAAGCAATTGCTATGTATTGGCACGTTTTGCACGAAAATAGATTTTGGACATTTTCGACCAAAACTGTTTTTCAGACCCTGTCAACTGCTAGCTAGCCTCTCGAAGTCGCCCCTTAGACCCCATTTTCCATCGCTCGCCGTTACTCGCCCTGGACAACTTGTAGCTTTGGGCTTTCATAAGAAACAAGGTGTGAACAACTATCCTTAGCATATTATGTTCACCCCTTTTGTCTATGGTAATGAGAGGCAAGCCATGCACTACTCCTTACTCATCCAAGGCCTACCCACCAACTATTCGTTCGAATGGATCAACCCTTACAAGTATCGGAATCCTTACATCACTTTCATGACTGTCCTCTTCACACCCAATCCTTTCATGTTGAACAATGTGGATTCTACCAATGTGGTCACCAACTCCAATGACGAGGAGCTAATGATTCCTCCTGGATACTACACGATCGGTCAAATCATTGCCATCCTCAACATTATGATTGATACTACGTTCTCGATATCTACGAAGGCTTCGAGTTATGGATGTATTTATATCCAGTCCACACACACCATCGATTTCACCAATGTTCCGGACATTCGAGAAATCCTCAGTTTGGAAGGACAAATGGTCATTCTACCCGCTTCGTTCTATGGATCGAACGTGATTGATATCACGCGAAATCGCCAAGTGATCCAAGTGTACTCGTCCCTCGTGCGTCCCTCCGATCTGAAGATTGCCAACCAAAACACAATCTGCTTACCACAATGATCATTGACGATCCCGGGGTTAATTATCTCCGCACCGTGGAAGACATCTCCATTCCCATGATAACCCGATTCGATCGATTGATGTTCGTGTTCCGCGATATGGATGGTAATATCATGCGATTGAACGGCAAATTCGAACTCCAGTTGACGATCGAAGATGTGTACGATCAAGTGCCTTCCTCAATTCTACTGATGAACCAGTTCAGTATGATGGAAGTGTTCGGCAATACTACGAAGAAGGAAGTGAAGCTGGACAATCCTCTGTCATTCGATCAATGTTACATATCGTCTGTATCACTCTCTATACCGATTTCGTGCTGCACAACGTACCATCCGATCAAGTGATATTAATCGATGCGGGGACATACTCACACGAGGTGTTAATTCCCAGAGGAACCCTACGACATCACGAACGGCATGAATGTGATCCGAGTGTACAGTAGTATCAATGCGCAAACATTCGGTCTCAAGAGTCCGCTGATCGATAACCTGATTCATGTATCGATGGGACTGAACAACATGATCACCTGGGACAACCTATCGATCGATGTGATTGAACAATCGAACTTGGATTCCATTGACTGGGTACTGAGAGATGCGACTGACCGCCCGATCTCATTGAATTCGAATGTGTACATCTCATTCACGATATCTTGTAAGTACAACTTCAGTAAGGAATTCAAGAAGATAGATAGATAGATAGATATCAATGTCTATCTTCTATATATATATCTGAAAAGTAATAGTTTGATTGTTGCTTCCAACAAATCAGCCAGATATGTGTCACAGCTTGATATTGGACAACTACTCATTCCCATAGAGTCCATTCTTATGGATTTCAGCTTTATCATCAACAATACTGATATCGCTATTAGTGAGTAATTCTATTCATCCTAATGAGTTGGGAACCAAAGCATTTCACTTTCATCAACCAACTCAAACAGCAAGTATTATATATACTATTGTTATTCATGCTCGTAATAGAACAACATTGTGAATCACTTTGTATCCCTATTGAAGTGGTGTACAATTCGATCCTTCCTTTAAATAGGAGATATTCTGCATTATTTGGCAGGTGGGGGATACTATATGGGTTAGAATAAGGGATAGTATTCTCTAGCAATATAACAAACTCTGATAGGTTCAGAGTGCATCAAAACGACAAAAACTGGACACCAACTATCCAAAAACCTAGAAACAGTGGAATATGAATATATCTCTATTTGTTCGTATAAAATATATTATGTATTCTACATTATTTTGCTCAGTTCTTCAACGACACACCCACCTTTCTCACAAACTCTACTATTCGATTCTACTATACACATATCACATATTATTACTATAAATGATAACCCAAAAACTGCTTATCGCTAGCTTTTCCATTTTCATTCCTATCATCATCTTCTACATACCCTATTTCTTTCTATCCCATCTAGATAAAATTCCAAATGAATAGAACGAAAAACAAAACGCTTCCACTGGAAACAACACTCTTCGATCTATTCATTCCACAATATCCCATTTCCGCTCATCTCCTTCCACTTCACAGTAAAAACAACTCCCTCCCTATTCGAAATCTATTCTTCCACTCATACCCAATTTCAACACTATTTTCACAATTGCACAATTCCTGTGTATTTTTGAAATCATTTGTTTTACAATAAAAGCTATTAGATTCGTCTTACTGGGTTTGAATGTATTCAAAATTTGGAATTGGACTTGTATGTCCTGTCTTTTGTTTTGTTTTCGGACTTCTATGTGTTTTTGTGTGTTGTGTTGTGGGAGTGTAAGTATTGTAGCTGGGATGGGTTCTGTCCTCAAGTTGGTGTGTTTGAAGAAGCTAGTGTAGTGTGCGCTATCGTTACTTTGACTAAACTGTGTGTGTGAGATATGCATCGTGAACGCATTCAATACCATAATGGCGGTGGACCCTGGTTCCATTTTTGCTGTGTGGAGTGTGTTCCGAGTGAGGAATTTCTGTGCTTCAAACTGTGCAACGTGGCAAACCCATTCATGGCATGTGTGACCGCGGATACATGGAGATAACTTGCAACGTGGGAGGTATCTGGTACAGGCACGACGTTCTTGCCTAGGATAGCTGTTCTGTTTCTCGTATTTTCATTTTCATATTGTGAGGTGGTGGAGTGTGGTAGAGAGAACGGATTTGCGACGAGTGAAAGGGCAAACAATGGGAGGAAGAGCTGTAGGTTGGTAGAAGCGGAGCGTGTGTGGAACTTGGGAGAATGGGACAAGAAGGCGAAGTATGCGAACTGCTGTGGACACGGTCCTCGCCTCTGATTGATACGAGCCGAGTGAACTAGAATGGCCAGTGGGAGCAGGCGAGTTCCAAGACGGTGCAGTTGTGCATTTGTGGGTCTGTGGAGCATGGGAAGGTGGAGGTGTGCGTGGTGCGGGCGTGTGGGAAGTGTTGGAATGGAAGAGAGTTGAGGTGCGTGGCGGTGGTGTGCCCCGCGGACGAAGCGGCGGGGTAGCCGGAAGGGCACTTGGGGCAAGTGTTGGATACGAAGTGCGATGTGGACTAGTGGGGCATGATCACGGATGGGTGCAACGCCTATCAGCAGTGGGAATCGATCGATCGATAGGGGACGAGCTCCTGCCAGCCCATCCTGCCGATGCTGCGCTGCGCTGCGCTGCGTGGCGGGCGATGGGGCGAGGGACGTGGCGCTGTGGACGATGGGAGATGGGAAGCAATCCACGATGTACTGCACGAGCAATGTGGGCGTGGGCGAGGTGATCAACGACCCATTCGAGCCCATGAACATCCACATCGTGTTTGAATTGGCCGAGGCCACGTTCTCCTATCCCACCACCGCGATCTCCATCTCCGACTACACCATTGGCTTCGCCTTCGCCTTCGATGGCTCCTTCCCGCGGTTCTGCGAAGGCACGCACGCTCTACATCAATGCCAACAGGTTGGTGTCCCGAAACGGCCTCCCCTTCCCCGCGGAAACCCTCATCGCGACCTTCTCGACCCGCGCCGGCGTTCGGTTGGCGTTCGGTTGGCGTTCGGTTGTGGCCTGCTCGGATTGTGGAGAGCGCGATTGGTATGAGGGAAGTGGAGTGGGCGCAGCGCAGCGCAGCGTGTCTGTGCAGATGGAGGTTCCCTGGAGCAGTGGCATCTCCGATGAAGCCCCGATGGATGGCCTTGATGGGCAGCAATGTGCAGAGCGAGTTCTTCGAGACGCGCTCCGTGTTGGTGGCGGGCGCCATTGTGAACAGCGTGATGGCCATCAGCTGGCGTGTCCGCAAGGGCGCCTCCTGGTCCGCCTTCGCGTCCTTCTCCGTCTACCGCCCCGTCGTGCTGTTGCCTGCCTCCCTGCCTCCCTCCGCGCCCGTCGTGCTGCTGCCGCCTTCGAAGCCACGCAGGTGCGCTGGGTCTGGTGGTGGTGCGAGCTCTTCGTGCAGGCCTTGGTTGGCTCCCACTCCCAGCTCTTCGCCGCCGACGCGCTCCTCCAAGAGGGCGACGTCCAGCAACCCGAGCTCTCTCTCTCTCTCGATGCGTGCGTGGCCTACTGGGTGCGCGTGGCGCTGTGCTCCGCCGCGTGCTCCATCCTCTCCGAGGCCTCCTCTCCCATCACCCTCGCCGCGTATGTCGTCGCGCCCGGCGCGGTGCAGAACCTCGAGGTGGCCGCGCTCTCCTCGACCTCGCTGTGCGTGCAGTGGGCAGAGCCGGCGGAGCTGGGCGGCGCCAGCATTCGGTACTACGTGGTGCGACGCTCGTGGATGGCGTCGATGGCCGTGATCCAGAGCGAGAGCGAGAGCGAGAGCGAGGTCGCCAGCACGAACTGCTTCCTGGACCTGCAGAGCGTGCAGAGCGTGCAGAGCGTGCAGCACGCGCCCATCTATCTGAGCGTGGCCGCGTTCACCGGGTATCTCTCCCGCCAAGAGAAGATCCCCGCGGTTCTGTATGCGGTGTGTGTGGAATCAGGCGGAGGGTATTGAGTGGGACTGTGCGATGGCGATTACCGGATCCTTCCATGATCTCTGCACCGCCACGTGCGAGCTTCGCGCTCCCGCGACTTCCTCCTTCCTCCTTCCGCCGAACCGTCTGGTTCCCCGCGGGACGCGATGTGTGGCACGTGTTGGAGGGTGGGATCCCCGCGACTTCCTACACGCTGGAGTGCGTCCCGAGCGAAGTGGGCAGTGCCGAGTGGATGGGCAGGCAATTCGGAGTGTCCACGATGGCCACGTCGGAATTCGTTGGGTGTTGGTGGTGGACGGCGAGCCAACCTCCTCGCTCACCGGTTCGCTCTGGGTGTGGGTGTGGGTGTGGGTGTGAGTGAGCAGGAATCTGGTGGGCGATGGGGTGGGGTCCGTGGCTCCCTACGAAGGTGTGCAGAGTCGACCGGGCTCTCTGGATCTCTTCCTGTCCAACTGGGCGCAGAACGCCACCGTGGTCTCCGTTACCGATCCCTTCCGCTTCCTCTTCGCCTCCGCCTCCGCTTCCTCTTCGCCTACGACGTGACCGGCGCGCTCATCCGCGCCCACCTCGTCGATCACGCCTGGTGCGCCGTGGGTCGCGATGTTTCCACGTTTCCACGATCCAGACCGATTTGGCAGTTGCTGAGAGAGAAATGGTTGCGGTGTTTGGTTTGGAAGATGGATGGATGGATAGATGGATGGAATTGTAGAGATGTGGAATGGTTGAAGCATTGTAGGATTTGAATGAGAATGGAAAATGTGTTTAGGAAGGAAAGAAAATGTAGATTTAGAGTGTGTAGGGTGTTGGAATGATTTAGAAACATGAACAGAATAATCCAGAACGAGGAACCAAACGACTCTAGTTGATAATAACAATAATAATAATAGAGTGCTGTGAGTTGATAGTTGAAACAAAGAAAAATAGAAAGAAAGATAGTGTATTTAGAGTTAGTTGGTTGGTTTAGGATAAGGAAATGATAGAAAATGGAGTGAATGGTTAACGATGTGCGAAGATAGGTTCTTTGTGTGAAAATCACTGGATCAAAACCAATTTCCATTCCATTCGATTTGATTTACTAGTTTTACTAGTATTAATTGCTTTCAAACCCAACCATTCCCAAGTCAAAATGATTTGGCTAGAATCATGGATGGATAGATTGGATTATCGAAATAATAATAATGATAATAATGATAATATAGACTATTTAGACATAGTGGAGTGAGCAACCAAATCCTTGCTTCATAACACGATTTCACTATGATATCATAAATATACAACCTATACAGACATAGTAGACAACAAAATGGACTTTTCCATTCTGAGTGTTTCCAAACAATCCTGATATTATTATTATGATAAATATCTATACCTCCGAACTATTTCAACCACAAAAATGTGAACAAAATGATGCGAAACACAAGTGAGTACTTCACTTGGAAATCTTGGATCCAATGTGTATATGGTAGCACTCTATCATAATTTTTAAATATGAAGAATACTTAGGTGTAAGGAAACAAACTGATCTCTCTGTTTTCTTCATAAATTCTTTATATTTGGCTGCAAATTACGGATTCAAAGAGTAGAGGCTAAGGATTTGTGATTCCAAATAGATAGAATGGAAGAACTTAAGGGAAGCGAATTTCTCCTGGACAGTTACATAACGCTTGGTGAAGCAAAGAAAATCACTATTGGCGGCTGCAACTATAGCCTCCAATGTTATCAAGGTGATCACGAGGATGAATACACGTTGACGAGAGCTGGGAAGGTTTGTCTATTCCAAAATGGCATACTAAAGATGTGCTTTGAGGTGGATGCGGACGAGAGCGAAATCGGTGACTTTACCCGATTTGAAAAAGGATGTGTCGCTTTTGTGCAGTCCTTCGATGAAATCTGGGACAACAAGAATTTTCATCGTATTATAGACCATGTCCGAGGCGAGCGTATGGAAATCTATTCGCATGCGAGTGATCACCTGATTTATCACGGTGAGTTTAACGAGAAGCGAGAACGAGAAGGATGGGGCATCCAATATGACGATAAAACGGGTGCCATGCTGCTTGAAGGGATCTGGAAGGAAAACAAGCTTGTGGAGATCATCCGCAAAATCGAGGGAACTATCATGACGGAGTTCAAGCGAAACGGTAACAACACCATCGCTTCGAATCGAATTCCCCTCTATGTTGACGAATTCGTGTATGATGAATCGAAAGAATCGTTTCTTCGAAATGGTCGAGGATACTGGATCGATGAAGAAACTCGGATTGCTACTCGCGAAGTGAAATGGAAAGATGGAGTGGAAGTGAGTGGAAGAGATCTCTATGATGGATGGCATATTCATTCACTCACTCAATATTACTTGTTTATTTAATACTATTGCTATGTTAATCACATTGCATTTCACATTGTTTTGTTGATCAAATAGAAAGCAAGGTTTTCATTCATAGGATTCATGCATTCCATCCATCATATTATTCAATCGATTGTTTTGTTTAATGATACTATGATTCCTATTCACCATTTCAATCTATGAACCACATTCCTTTCTCTGCAACATCATTCTTTGTACTCAATATGGATGGTCATTGTGACAGAAGAGAATCGAAGTATCAACAGAGAATCAATACAACAAACCACTTGTCAAATAGACATGATGGATTTTGCATTCTACATACTACTGCCATACTCTCTATTACGAATCAAACCATTCCAACAGTATTCACTATTGTGAGTTCGATTGTTGCAAAACAATATTAACTACCACATAATTGATATATTTTGAAGAACATATATCCATTCTAGACTTAATAGAACAGCCATTCTGACATGAGAGAGTAAAGGTGATCAAAATGCGTAATAATTTACAATTATAGCTATAAGTATCTGAAAATAACACAAAAATAAATGAATAGATGGAAATGCACCGAAATAAAGAAAAATAGAAATGGGTGGAGAAAATGTGATTTTATCCTATGTATTCTAGTTTGTAACACACCAGCATATCAAAGCCATACACAATAATCCATGACGTGTGTTCTATCGAGAAATAATGAAACAGATCTTGTTTCCAAAATAACCGTTTTACCATATTTCTTTTTATTTCCATGCAAAAGTTTGCTGATTTTGTCAATTCTGCTATTAATAACTATCATATTGATAGTTCCATTATTCAAAATGTGCAGGGATGCTTGGGTAAAGAAATGAAACCAAATGGCTGGATTTCACTCATATTGAGTAATAGACAATGTGTAGTATTACAATTCAACAATGGAATATTCATGAATCAAGGATTTGTACTCAATGAGCAGAAAATGTTGAAAGTGATTGGAAATCATCAAATCGGTGCTATTTCATATAATGAAGTATTCTTGGTAGAAGGAATCGTGGATTTGGATCATGGAAGTCGATTTGAAGGATTGGTATTGGCAGAAAAAGAAAAAGAAAAAACAGGTAGAATTGGAATTCCATTTGGATATGGTGAAATGTATAATGATGATGGAATATTGGTGTACAAGGGCATAATGATCAATTGGAAACGATTTGGATATGGAACGAGTTATCATAATAATGGATGTATTGAATATGAAGGATATTGGTGTGATGATAAGCGATTTGGAAGAGGAAAAGTGTATGATCGATATGGTAAATTAGTGAATGAATGTGAATGGTGTAATGGAATTGAAAGTAATACTGAGTATGAAGGAAATGGAAGCAAACCACTGAATATGGGAATGAAACATTTGAAACTGAGTGACAATTGTGTATTGGTTGATTGGGATGTTTCATTGTTGTATAATTTGGAATCAATCGAAATCGGTGATGAATGTTTTGGATTAGTGAAAACATTCAAAATTGATGGATTGAATCGATTGAAAACTATCATAATCGGAAACAATTCATTTACTCAAGAGAAGAATGATGCTAGAGATGATAAATCGAAATCATTTCACATATTGAATTGTGAATCATTGGAATCCATTCAAATTGGTGAATATAGTTTCAGTGATTTTGGAGGCGACTTTGAATTGAAGAATCTACCACAATTACAATCCATTCAAATTGGGACAATTGAAAGTGATTCATACAATTTCTGGTGTAGTTCATTTGAGATTCGAGGTATTGATATGATATTGTATATTTGAATGTATAGATCTTCCAAATCTACAATCCATTACATTAGGTGATTTTGCATTCAATTATTCCTTATCAACAATAATTGAAAGTATTGAATGAATTTGAATGAAATGATTGACGTAGATCTTCCATCATTACGATCCATTCAACTCGGTGGATGTGCACTTCAAGGAAGAAATTATGATTCAAGTTCATTGACGATGCGAAGTAATAATGAATTGATACAAAATGACTTGTTTTGTAGATCTTCCAAATCTAACATCAATAACTTCTGAAAAATGTAGTTTCGTATATTTTCATATAGTAATATTGAGAAGTATTTCTGCATATTGATTATTGATAGTATTTAGATATTCCAAATCTTCAATATGTCGATCTACCTGGTTCATTCTGGAAAGTTCGATCAAAATCAATTTCGAGTATAGTTTGATTGATTTGATTTGATTCATAGATGTTTCTTCCATTCTCGCTGATCCTGTCGAGATCTACGGGTAAATCTATAATTTTGATTTGATTTGTTTAGTGACTCGTCATTGTTATGAACATTTCCATTGATTGATTGATTAATTGTTTGTTTGTTTCAAACCGATTCCTGATCACAATTCATGATTCTATAATTATCTAAAAATCAATAATACCTGATTATTATGATGTTCTTCTTTACCATTTTAACAATGATACTGAATAATGATTGTTGTTTCAATCAATCAATCAATCAATCATGCGTTAAACAGTTCTAAAAGCATGAACAAATGCATGAATGAATGAAAGATTGAATCGATGACATTATTGATGCAGAATTAGAGTTCATTGGTTGTGATAAAGGTCTTTGTTGTTTTGTGAATCACTCCACAGAGAGAGAATCTTTCGTTCATTCATCCATTCGTTCATTCATTCAATGATTTGTTGGTTGATTCAATCATTCAATCAGCCATCCAAACCAAAGTGAATCAAATATGATACTATGAATGAATATAGAATAGAATAGATTTAATGAATGAATGAATGAATAAATGAATGACATACTTGTTACTGATTTACAGATCATTGGTTGTGAGTAGTGTATTGAGATTGTCAATCAATTCTTAGATAAGATATTATTCATTCATATATTCATTCATTCATTTGATCGTATAATCATTCAGATATCCCATTGCAATTCACATGATTGGTTTACTTTATACAGATTTAACGATATTTCCTTGTCAACAATCCATCATTCATTCTTATGGTACAAAATATACATAATCACAGTATGGTCTCAATTCAAATCGATGTTTGTAGGATTACTCATTCATTCATTCATTCATTCATTTGTTTGTTTACTTTTCAGTGTTGAATTGCTGAAATCGAATCGAATCCAACTCCAATATCGCAACCAATCACATTCCCATTCATTTCGATTCTCTCTCATTCACTCTTCATTATCATAATCACGTATTACATTCATAATAAATAACTAATACATATCATTGAATGGATTAAGATCTTAAGCAATGAATACTATTTCTTCTCTTCTTTTCTTCTCTTTTCTCCTTTCTTTCATCCATTCATGGCACAAACCATCTCCATGCTATGCAATCTTTGTACATCCAACTCATATTCATTCAATAGATTGTGACCAATTACACAAATCATTCCAGTACTATTCTATTCACATATAACATACAATCTGTCATAATATCTAGGAATCATTCAATTACAACCACTATATACCAATCATTGTGCATTCCAACTAACAATATCGGAATTTACTACAAACTCCAATCATTCATTCATTCATCGATTGGTTATTCCAGTACTAAGTATCAACAGTATTGTTCCTGCTACTCAGAATTAGTTATTTTATGAAAATGGATTTAACAGAATCAAACATTGTGTTAAACCAATGAAATGACAGAATTGTGTTTGTTTGGATTTTGTTTGTTTTGAAGCAAAACTATGCATGATCTATGTAATTCGTATCAGGATGTGTTAAAACAGATCCCTGTGAAATATCATCATTTCAGCTATTGTTCGTCATAATTTGTGAAAATGACTGCATTTCCATTGCTACTTCATACATATGTTATTTTCTACTATTCTATTACATTCTAGTATTGTTGGCTTCATTCATATTGGCCATTTCTGATTATTCCACACTTACCTATCTTATTTTCACAGTATTCTATCCATGGAGTATACGAATAAGCCAAAATATACAATCAATCACAAATACACATTATTCTATTTTCCCATACAGAATAATGATAATGATAACAAAACATCAACTATTCACAATCAATACTATTGA